TAGCCACATTATCTCTTACCAGCTGTACAAAACTTATTTTCAGAAGCTTTTGTCATACACTGTAGCGCTGGTCAGACTGGTTCTCGGCTGGCGGGAAAGAGAGCACAGGGATCAGAGAACGTCTGCTCCACTCTACTCTGCTCCTGATTGGACGTTGTTAGATACAATGAGGACAGGAATGACCATTATGGTCAGAAACTGCTGCAAAATGGAGGATGATTCATTCTAATGAATTCATGAACAAACCTTATTGTATATTTTGTATGTTTGAATAATTCTGCTGTATAGAAATTTTGGAAACATAATCCATTCTTTGCAATCATATTAGTCCATGTATCACTATGCACACAGATTTACTTCCACATATCAGCATATTCACCAAACCTAATAAAAAACTGTGTTGATAGAGTATAAGCAAAGTCTTTTTTTAATGGTTATTTCTTAAAGAATGTCTTGTCCTTTTGGTTTTAAAGGCCACTTTTTTTTTTAAACCTGGTTTCTCTTCCGTTCTTTTTCTTTCAGTACCAGGAGTTCCACATTCCAGGAGCACTGGAGTTTATTTTGGAATTTTATTTCCTATGTAGATAAGAACTTTCACAGAATCATTTGAAAATATTTCTAAGCCTGAGTTATTCCTGCTGTAACCTTGACCCCACACATCAAGCAGACCTTTTACACCAGTGTTCCCCAGTTCTCCAGTGATCTGTATGAAGCCGTTTGTGATATGATGACCGATTAAGACATCAAAAAGTTCTCTTATAGTTTCTCTTCCCTGTTTTGTTTGCTCTGGGTGGCTATTCTTCTAGCTGGTTAACTGGGATTAAAACCACAGAGGAAATCCTCTCACGTGACGCTTCTTTTCACTGCAGTGCTTCTACAGCAGGATCACAGACCCAGGACAGACAATGTCTCATCAGACTCTCTGTCTCTAAAGCCCATTATAAATCAGGCCTCCTCTCTTACACACTAGAGCAAAGCAGCCTTTAGATTGCAAAAGTCCAACCTGAGGCTATGCAAACTAAAGCCTAACGTGATGTAACTGTCCCACTAAAAAAGTTAATATTGACATCTGACTGATCTGTGTTAAGCTCTCTGTTTTTTCACTGGCACAGACCTGTGGTCACTAGGACTGCACAAACCAGAAAACATAACCATATTGTAGTTTTATTAAAACATTTAAATTTACACTTACAGTACCAGTCGAACGTTTGGACACACTAGATTGTTTTTCATTATCTTAAACACATTTGGATGTAAAAGCATATGCTTAAACATTTCAGAGATAATGCCTATGTATGAATTTATGTCTAAAATTCAACTTTAAACACTGCTTTTGTTTTTAAATGGGACTTTAGTGAAATTGTGAGTTGGAAAATGTATAGTTGGAACCACAATCACTGGCTACGTCCAAGACTGCATACTACTATAATAAATAACATATCAAAGAAGTACATCTCTATTAGTTGTGGGTTCATTAGTGTTGTATATAAAGTATAGTACATTGTGGTGTTGGAGCCATAATCTCATCATAATTACTAAATGTTCTTGTTAAGTCCACGTTAGTGTTGTGATGAGTAAGGGCGTGGTCCATACAGCCCTGTTTGGTAGAAGGCCAGTAATTCCGACTGGAATAATATTTCACATAATACTTTTACTATTTCCTGGTTTTTGTGTCTTTATTGTATTAAGATTAATATTAATATTAAGACACTGACCAAAAATAGGCATATTTGTTTGATCACATGATCACTTTGATTGATCCAAGCTTTGTAAGGTGGCGTCTGTGATATCAGTACTGCAGTGATGATCATTATAATAACAATTAACAAACGATATACTGTGCAGTTCTGGTGATTACTCAAGTTACGTTTTTACAGGGTGTTTAATAGCTGCAGTGTCTTTTTTCCTTTTTTCTGTCTTGTTAGCGATCATATTATACCCTGACTGTGTTTATGGTTTGCATGCTACTACAGTCAGCAGTCTTCCACTCCCTTAGGCACTCATTCACTCCGGTGCTGCCCCTCTTTCTCAAGCATACCTGAAGAGACACGTGTTTGATTTATCAGCCCACTACACCCATGTCCATCCATTGTGTTTCATCATGGAATAACCCAAGGAGTGGAAAGCTGAAAGCTGTTTTATGATATATGCTGCATTTCTACCACACAGCTCACCACCTAAAAACATAATCAATATGTGGCATCAAAAAGGAGTCTAATTTTTGTGTCCTTTTAGTGAAAACAATGTTGTCAGGGTGGGGCTGCATGTGAATGTCTTTCTTTAAAAGCATATCACAATCAAGCAGGAGCGATAAGGGTGCTGGGCTTTATCTCAGAGGGCAGTGTAATCTTATCATTGCCTGGATGCGGTGTGGACTATCAGTGCATTTATTGTGGTAAGAGTGCAATAGTTCCTTTCTTACTTACTCTGAGAGTGAATGGTTGCCTGACATCTGCAGCAACTTCTGCCCAGTTTTTGTCTTTCTTTAACCCTTAGAAGTCGCACTTCCTACGAGCAATAACAAAAATGTGGTGGAATTTTATGACCGTTATTTCTCACTCATAAATCATTAATTAACTAATTGATACAAGCAAGGAAAATCTCGTGGAAGTGCGGACTGTAAAACTTCAATCAATACCTAGTGTTTGTAAGTAGAGTAAGTTATTTTCTGTGAGCACAGTTGTGATTTGCAGAAAGAAGAACCATCCCTTGCAGTTTTGATGTTTTTGGCATATCTTGATATCAGAACAAGCAGGAAAAAATGCAGTCTAGAACCTCTAAATACAAAACTCATACATATGTAATTGCCACACTCATTCACACTCATAATTCATTAACGCATGTGGAGAAATTCTGTTGAAAGTGAGGACATGTAAAGTCATATACAAGACAAAAAGTTTGAGTTATTTTCACTTAGAAAATGAATAAAACATATTTTAACTTTTTGATCAGAGGTACCCAAACTTTGAATACAGCTGTAATTACACGTGAATAGTATAACAAAAGTAATAACTCCTGAGTTCTGAAAGTTTATTTCTGACAAGATTGAACTTTTTAGGTGATGAAGATGATATATTTTATATAAGCAGCAAAAGCGCATAGATTAGGTCAGCCTGAATTCAATACGTCTTGTATGAAGCTAGTTCTGTGTTCATCTAAAGGCAGTCTGTGTCTGTTATTCTTTAGATCGGAATTATTATTTCTTCTGATAAGCGTTTCTGAGTTCCTCAAAAGCATTTGTGGTGTCAATTGTGAAATCATTTGCCAGAGGCAGTGAGGCATTTCCCAAAACAACCGCATCTGCCTTTGTGTTCAACTTCGATGATGGTATTCAAATATTACTATGATGTAATATTACATGCATTAGTTTGTGGGATACATGCTTTGGCCAAAGCCTAGCTGGTGTCAGACTACCTTCTATCAGCACACCCAGCTCCTCCCCAGCAGTAACCTAATGCTCTGTGGCTATGGGATTAAGCTCTTACCACAGCATATGGCCTCTGCTGGATTAGGCTGTTGTAAACACTGGTGCACAAAGTGGCCTCTCACTTCCTCCACATCCTCACTGTAAGAGTGTTTAGTTTCTAGAGCAACTACAGCTAGTTATAATGACGTGGTTTGATCAGTGACACTTTTAGCCACTGTAGAACACTCCCTGTGCTATGCTTTACATTTACAGCAGTTCCATTTGTCATTTCAGAGTGTGAGTGCTCCCCATGAAGGAGAGTGGAGATTGGTAATCTTGGTTAAGCCTTTACACTGATGCTAACACTAACCCTGTTGTCCAAGTCCACTATCACTTTTACATATAAAGAGGCCTGCTTAGACCAGATCCACTGTGTCGTCCTGATAAGGTTATAAGGTTAAACTTTGGTATAAGTGCTAAAAACACCAGTGTAATGTGAAGTCATAATTGTATCAGCGTGATCAGTGTTGCTAGTCTCTCACAGCGCCTTTTTTATATATATATATATATAATATGTGTGTGTGTGTGTATGTATATATATATATAAAGCTTGCTAAAGTGAAATTACATCATAATTGGAAAAAAACAACAAGAGATACAAGATACAGGATATCTTTATTGTCACTGTACAAGGACGATGAGTTGTCTTTTGGAGCCTGTAGATGCTTAATTAAAGATAAGACTATAAAGTATGAAAGTATAAGCACACATATAGACTACAAGATAAAAATTATAGAACAAATAAAGTGTAACAGTGTAAATATATATATATATATATATATATATATATATATAGAATAAGAATAAAGTGTCCATAAAAAGACAGCTGACACTTGCTGGAATAAGCCTTTATTAATAGGTAGGTTTATGGTAGTTGTCATGAAGGGCTTATGTAGGTGTCATGTAGCCTTATGAATTATTCATTATGAATTTGGTATCGTTTTTTTTAGACACAAACACAAATATTGTTTGCCGTTAGAAGAAAAAGTTGATATCTTCCGTCCAGTGTAGTATATTTTGTTTGGACAGCTTTGCTGGGTTGTGTAAAACTGTGCTCATATATTATCATGCAATGCAATGAAAAAGGAAGTAGAAGTGACAAGGCATCATCAGTTCTCATCAGATCTCTTGTAAGCAGTACACAAAGACAGAAGGTGACCTGCTGAATTTCCATCGATTTAATGGTATAACGTTTTCTTTCTGCATTTTAATGTCTCTTAATCATTTCTGTTTAACAGTGCTGGAATTTTCAGTGTAAAATTCTAATATCAGTGATGTTTATTGTGCTGGCATTGCTTTAGCTGATCTCTACTTCTTCAGTAAGTGCAAAGAGTGAGGCATATGGGTGATCTTTTTGTGTAAGAGACTTTTTATTACATGAGCTTTCACTATTTACAGTTCACAGCCTATTCTCAACTGAAATGTGACACGCTGTCCGTGTCATACTTTCCATTTCCCATTGTCATCTATCGCTCCTTAATCATGACTCAATGCATTTTTTACATGTCTCACATATTTTTCATTTCTGTTGAAGGACTCGAAGAATGAGCTTCGTCCCCGTCTCTGCCACATGAAGAAGGGAGCCACAGGCTATGGCTTCAACCTCCACAGCGAAAAGTCCAAACCGGGCCAGTATATCAGGGCAGTGGACGAGGACTCCCCTGCCGAGAAATCTGGACTTCGACCCCAAGATAAAGTGGTGCAGGTACAGTACCTCTATCTCCTTCATACAGCTCTGAAAAAGCTCAGGTGTGTGCACCCTCCTGGATTCTAACCAGCCCACACGCTCTGGGTTAGATAATTGTGATTCTGCTGAAAATAAGATTTGAGGCTAGCAGTCTAAAGGGTTTTAGGTACGTTGAGTACGTCGATTCTTTTCTCTTGGAACTTGAGAAGTACCAGTTTTCAGCTTTGTTAGAACATTGCATTCATGGCACATTAAACAGTAAAAGCTCAACTTTCAGTATATCCAACCCAGCCTACTGAAGTATTAAAACAGTGTTCATGAGTTAATCCCATTACCCATCAGAGCAGGAGTGGTCAGTGTAATTATTGGCTCTTTTGAAGTACAGAGATTAGAGCACACATCTCCAAGGGTCAGAGAGCGCTGATTTTGTTTTCCAGCCTTCCCACAGTGTGTGTGGTGAAACGTGGTCGGGCTTAATCCACTTATTGTCTCCTGGATGGAGTTACAGAGTTCAGATGGCACTAGGGCAGCTCGGCAGTTCAGTAAGGCAGAGAGAGAAAACTCAGTGTGTACCATGCTGTAAGACTGTGCCCACAAGAGCTCTAATCAAGGCTGTCTGTTCTCTTTTTACACATTTAAAGGGTCTATATCATGGGAAGCAGATGTTTACTTGCTTTTTTAAATAAAAGAGCTGGATGTACTGTGTAGACTAGTGATGCTCGGGTCCAGCACTTCTATTCTGACGCACTCACACTTTGTTAAGAGGGCTTTTATTTTGGCACACTGCTGCGTTTTTTTTAGAAAAACAGGACACATTTCACATTTGCAAAGAAACACTTGTTTAACAAACGCGGTAATGTGATCATTCGTAAGTATTATTTGTATGTGGAACATTTCATTTCATTAAGAAAAAACAAAGTGAGAATTTGATGTGTATTGCATTTTGCATTTTGTCAACAGATGAAAAGAGGTTTGAAAATGATCATGTTATGTAAATGTTATAATTATATATAATAGGGGGAAAATAAAATCAATGAGAACATATATAATAGGCCTTTTAAAGCTGTTGCCATATGGCTGGTGAACAGTTTTTCAGGAGTACAGAACTGGAGTAGGGATTAGGAGGCGCAGGGTGCAGTGGACTCAGACGTAGTCAGAAACTTCAGAGATTTTTCTTAAGGGCATTGTGCCAGTGTTCAGGTTCATGGAGATTTGAAGAGACTATAGCCGTCTGGTACTGTCCCACCCTGGATTTGTGCCTTCTGCCTCCTCTGTGCAGCTCTGACTCACTGATCTACCGCTCTGCCTGGCTACAGCGCAGTTACACATTAAAAAAAAAACTGTTGAGAGAACCTAAAATTTTAAGGCAATATGATGCATTTCGATTTTTCCATTTTCTCATCAACTTTTGTAGGAATCCTTACTAATGTTCATTTGTTTAATCTACTTAGATTTGTTTGTCCAACATTAGGCTGGCAATTAAATCAGAATTCTTCAGAAAAAACATAAAAGCCTATATTACAGCATTTGGCAGACACTCTTATCCAGAATGGCTTCCAGTCTAATCATGTTAGAGAGGAAAGCTAATGTAGCATTAGGAGTCTTACTCACAGACGCTTATTGGTACAGCATGATGTTCTTGCCTGGGCAGTGAATCAAACCCCAGTCTGCTGTGTGGAGGGAAGAGGTGTTACCTGCTGTGCTATACAAACTGCAAGCAAAAAAACTAGATGGTGATGTTTTTACAATCACACACTCCTCGTCTCAACAGATATTAATAAGTAAGTTCTTGCCTTTAGCTAAAAGTTGGAATGTTGTAGTGGGTAACACTGTTGCCCTCCACCCAGCAGACTGAAGTTCAGTTCTCCTTAGATAAGACTCCTAATGCTGTGTTACGTACCTCGGTAACATAGTTAGGCTGTAAGTCAATCTGGATGTTGGTGTCTTCCAGGAGACATAAATATAAAGTATTATATTATTATAAAATATTATAAAATATAAAGCGGCTGTTTTCCCTTTTAAAAAATGTTGTTTTATTGGCAGCCTAATGTTAGATGAACAAATAAGTCTAGCTAAGATAAACAAATTAACCTTAGTAAGGGTGACTGCAAAATCTGCTGTTGAGACAACTCAAAAATTTAGTGCATCATGTTACTTTGAAATTTTGAGTTGTCTCAGCACTTTCTGTTTTACAGTGTACCTTCTCTAATCTGAAGGAGGTTTCATTTCATGTTGGGATGAGTAATGGTCTAGCCTGTTCAACCAAAGATCTTGAATAGTTTATTTGTTGAGCACTTTGATGAGTTCCTGTTGTGCTTTGTAGTGTCAGGCTGTTCTACAGCCTCTCACAGAAGGGATTTACATTTTAAAGGCACTTCTCTGCCCCACTAGGCTGGAATAGCATTGAGGCTGAGCAGAATTTAAATGTTGGCAGTCATTAAAGGCAAAGCAAGCTTTCATAGTATGGATTACGTTTTCTCTTCTGCTTCCAGCAAAGCTCTGCTTTGCTTCTGGCCATCAATACTCAGAGTATTCAGACATTTAAATGCCATAAATGGGGGTTTTCCCACACTAGAACATGAAACTGAACATACTGCATACTTTGCCAGCACATTCTCACCTTTCTGGAGCCATTGTTTCCTGTGTTGGTGTATAAGAAAGTATTTGTGTTTCTATGTGTATTTGTATTTGTGAGCTGTGAGAAGAGTAGGGATATCTCCTGTGTTGACTAGGAGACACAGAAGGGGGCTGTTGTTTGCCTGCTGTTCTTTAATTGCCTGCAGAATGGGAGGCTGGGATAAGCATTCCTTAAAGCCCACTCCTGCCCTGGCTCTCCTACACACATTCCTCAGCCTCGCAAGCACTGACACAGACCCCCAGTGTTTCCCCAGGTGTCTCTACACCAACCGATAAATCATTTCACCAATAAAATCAGCTGATATTAAATGTTTAACAGATTCATTGGTTCAGAGGACTGTAATCAACAAACACTTCTAATTTACAGGGAATTGTATGTTTCTGAGCATAATAAATTTGTTGAGGTCCAGAGACTGTTATCATTTGTCCACTGTTATTAGAGCAATATAGGCAGAACTTGTACACAAAACATCATTGTAGTTAACATAGCAAAATCTAAGCTTTAGCATGAGGATATCATCACCAGTAGGAACGCCTTGACTTTTGGCTTAATTTCTGACCAACTGGGAAATCCAGCTTTGTGTAGTACTCGACATACCACCCCCATCCACCTGCAGAGAGCTCTCTGTTTTTTTTTTTTCCTTTGCTGATGCTCTTTATTTATGCCTTCGAGCTCTTTGTGTATGCCTTCAAGCAGTTATGTGGGAAATGTCATATTAACAATGAACTGGAGTCATGTTGTGGACCTGCCAGCTCTGTTATGCTGAACTTCCTGACCTCTTTGCTGACACATTCTGTATTCAGTACAGACAAAATGACATGCTTCTGTATTTCTCACAGCCCTGACTGATCTGGCTGGCTCTCTGTGCTGTTTGGCAGGTGAATGGCGTGTCTGTGCAGAGCATGCAGCACTCGGAGGTGGTGGCTGCAATCAAGGCAGGAGGAGATGAGCTCCGGCTGCTGGTGGTTGACCCCGACGCAGATGCATTCTTCAGCAGCTGCGGGGTTCTCCCCACTGAGGAACACCTCACAGGTGAGTCAGAGCCAATTAAACACTGTATTGCCAATAAACATAATGCATGAACACATAATGAACATTCATTTCGGTGTATAATTCCTCCATTTAATTTGGGAGAGAAGACATTCTTCGACCTTTGTGAACCTTAAAGTGACAATTTGGCCAAAACATTACTCCGTATGTAGTCAATTAGCCAAAGCCTGTTTGCTGTCCAGAAGCTTTTTCAGTTTGGCACAGCTACTGCAAAGTTAAAGTAGATAACTACCGTTATCTATAAAAATAGACAAAAAGAAAATTCAAGCTTCAAGTTGGCTGCTAATGGTTTTTAGCTATGTGAAGTACTCTTGTGCATTTTTGGATATCAGTATTCCATGCAGTGTCAGAAATAAAATAAGCAAGCCTATTTGAAATTACTTATTAATTTGTTGTGGTTTGATGAGGGGGTGTGATGATTGAGGCATGCTGTTTGCACAATACCAGTATAATAAGCAAGACTTCTGTCTATCAACAGAGATCCTGGTGTTTCAGAGCTTACCCTGGCCAAGAACCATATACTTTGACGGGAAAGGGTTATTCGTCTGATGTAGAGACGATGGGGTTGGGGTTACAGCATGTACACACCCTCGTGAGATAAACTGGGATGCCTGTTGGCAAATATAGAAGATCTTGCTTAAGAGCTTCAAAGCAGTCAACTTTTAAAAATCTCCAAAGGACTCACTTTAATGCAAAGCAGACAACTGCTTGGAAAAGTGTGTTTCCTCGACTGAGAAGACCCACTGAGTGGAACTATGTGCACATGGCAGTGTGGCTAGCCAATAGCCTTGGGGCAATAATTGATATTTTTGAATATTACGATAATTGTACTACATGCCAATAGTTTGCATTTTGTTACAATTTTGTCCTCTTTCACATTCTCTTTCAGAATGTTCTCTTGACAGGTGATCTTTCCGGTTGTATAATTATTGTAATCTATGGTTAGTTCAAAAATGAGCAGTAGAAAAGATTGCACTTAATTAAAAGCTTTAAAAGCCAACCAAACAAACTAATTGACTACACACAGATTTTCAGTCAGCCTAAGCCTGCTGGGGTGCAAGCAAATGAAAAGCTAAAATGCAAGCTGTAGAGTAAGCATCTGTAAAGTTCATGTGTGGTACTTGAGAACTGAATTTGTATCACGATGATATTGTTTTATCACTGTAATTCCGAAGACGATAATCATTTGTGTCAAAGCTTAAATGCCAATCAGAATGAAAATGACAAAAACCCAGTAGTTAAATAGTAACTTAGCATTCTGTAGTGGGCAGAGCATCTGAATCTTAGGCAAGCATGATGCTAATTGGTTGGATATAAGCATCCATTACTTGCTAGCTACATTAGCCTTCAATGCCAAACTAGCCTTCAGTGCAAAACTAAGGAAGACTTCGGACGCTAACCATGTCTTGGCTCATGAACTGCAACTTCTTGCCAAACTATAGCTTTAAAACTCAGTTCTGTTCATGGGTTTGAGTGCCCACACTCTGACCAACACACACAGACACACACACACAGCGAGTATGATCAGGCAACTGTTTAAACATTAACTCGCAGCCTTCACAGCCTCTATCTTGACATGAGAGTATTAGTCAAAGTCAACAGAGTTCTTCCAGCTGGTAGTCCTGGCAACCATGACCATAGCAACAGCACGGGGTCGGACAGGAGAATAGACAAATCCTGAATATATCAGGCGTGGCAGATGCTCACGCCAGCAACCTGGCCATCACTAAAATTACTATCTCCAGCCCAGTTTTGTAGCTTTTCAGCATTTTCAGTCATCCACCAAACCAAGTTCTCCTACGACATCAATCATTCCTTGAGATGAGGCAACATCACAAGTGACCAGCTGTTAATACAGAGTCCATAATTTTGGACTTTGCTTATTGACCTTTTAGTTAATAGTTGTCTGTTTTTGCATTGTCATACAGATACTGAATGTTTAACTTGGAAGAAGTCACTCATTTATTCACCAGCACTTCCTTCCTCACTATTGACTATATTGTCACTTGTTCCTAGTGCAGAATGAACATTTCGAGGTTTACACATTTATAACTACAAGATACCTCAGAAGAATATTTGACCGCATCTAAAATGAATGTTTGTTCGTGATGTACTTGTGTGAGAGCAAGAGTGACATGACAGGCGTCTTATTGGATAACCTCTTTCCTCTTTCTGTTCTTAGGCCCACTGCCTGAACCTGCTGCCAGTGGAGAGAGTGCAGAGGTAGAGGTAAGATTTTTTTCTTTTAGGCCCTTTTTCAGATTTTTAATGAACATTATTACTTACATCCCCAACAACAAGCACAGCACCACACATTTTTGTTTGTTTACATGTAACTCACAGGGTAATTATCAAACCCCTCAAAACTCTTAAGGAATATACAGTGCAGTAGATCTCCAAGACTGGGGCTGAGAAACTCTTTTCTGCACACTAACTAAGTCTTGGATTAAATTACACTGTTAAAAGTGATTTTCTGTAGAGAATCAGACCAGCACTCAGCTTAATCTCCATCCTAGAAACCAGTCATTAAAGTCCTTTTGTGCCTTTACAGCGGGTTTTAAACCTGAACCAACTGCTTTGGCATTCCTTTTCGAATCAAACACGTTGAAAGGCTGTTAGTATCCATTTTTTAACGTTTCACTGTAAGTTCGTTGTTGACTTAGATGGCCAAAATGTGTAACATTAAGGATAAGACAGGCTGGGTTAAACTGAAGAGAAAGCAGCGGTGCACCACGGACCCCCCATGAGGTTCTGCTTTCTCTCACACAACATTTCTCTATCAACCACAGTCAGATTACACTGAGGAGCAGAGATGAAAGGGGTGAGACAGAGACAGAAGGAGAATCTGCGCTTGCTCCTTTATATTAGTGGAGGCTTCTTAGGCAGATAAAGCTGCACTGGGAATGAGGAGATGGGTCTGGGTTTTGTATCTGTAGTAGAGATATCTGTACTTTGTACAACTAACGATGCCACTCCAGTAAGGTTGCTTAGTATGAACAAAACACTACACTGTATGGTGTAGATTTTACAGTCAACAACTGGCATCAGGGTTCCTGGCTGTTTGTTGTAATGTTACAGGGACACTACTGCAATTGCTAAGTACAGAATCTATGTTAAAATACTGGCAGCAGAGTTCCCATCCTGTAAATGTCCAACAACCTTACTGTTAATAAATGTTGTAAGGAATTATTACACATTGTTTATGCTAATTTTGTCATATTTAATTATAGCTTTTTAAAGCCAACAGTATGATCATGCTATTAAGTACCACACCTTTATAATGTGTTGCAGTCTCACTCTTGCACAAGACACTGTAAGAGTTATATACATGTTATGCTAGTCTTTAACACGGACAAACTGGCAGCAACTGAATGTCTGTTTTAATATGTCACTTCGGGATGAACTAGTTAACCAAAACACCATTATGGTTGGAAAAATGAAACGCATAAAATGAATTTTAATATTTTTTTGGGGCAAGAGTAACGTATTAAGCAAAAATAAAACCCTCATGCGAAAGAAACTGTAGATGAAATAAAAGCTAAGTAATCAAAATGTACCAAACTGCAATAGATGCTGGGAAGCCAACCCTCCTGTACTTTAAATTATGAGTCATTTTCTCAATATGCTCTGCAAATGACATCTATTTACTATAAAATCTGACATTTAAACCTCTTTGACTAGAAGCTTGACCTGCACCTCCCAGAATTACATTGCTGCAGGACTATTTGCTGTAAATTTACAGCCGTTTTTTAATAGTGCAATATTACACTTACATTGCTACAAATTGCAAGTGCAAGATATTAAAGTCATTGATGAATCCGTAATCTAATGTTTGAATATCAGCTTGTGTTTTTATTAGATTGCATGAACACCTTGATTCATCAAAACACCCACAGAAAGATTTGCATATAACTCTAGGTTAACATACTAAGAATACATTGTGATTGATTGGAGTGTTTGTTTGCATACAGTGGGAATTTGTAATATCAGTACTGCAAAGCCTGATATCATGATAACATTTAAAAAACAATGTATGGCATAGCCCTGCTCTTCCAAATGGTTTTGAGACTCCTCATAATAATAGTAATAAGTGAGTAATCTTATCTATACTGAAAGAAGACACGGCATACGCACGGCTATTAAACAATGAGCTTATCCTCAGCTGAGTGAATGTGCCATTGTGCATCTGAACTTGTTTTTGTAGGAACATCTCTTTGGCAGTGACGTCAGTCAGTGAAAAGACAGTCTAGTTAGCATGCTTGAGATCAAATCTTGAAGATGGTGGTGGTTAGTCAAAGAACTTCTGTTAGGATTAATGCTGACTCACAGTCAGCTTCATAACCTCTTCCAGTTCCTGCCAGTTGTCCTACAGTTTGCTGCTTACACCAATTTTGAGTCCATTTGAGTCCAGTAAAAGGTGTAGTGATATTTGTGTTAATTAGATTTTTAATAGTAAGACTGATAATTAAGTATGATAATTAAGTTGTAATTATAAAAGATGCAGGGGTAGGATTTTAAGGTCAAACACCATTCAGAGATCAAGAGTTAGAAGTCAGTTAAATATGTGAAACAAGTGTAAGTGACCATTATTTGTCACCAAAGCTCAGGTTGTGCTTTCAACAGCTTTAAAAAAGCTCTGCCCCGGACCAGCTGTGGTCAAGTGTTGAAGAGTGAAGCGGAAAACCACTAGATTGTGTTTAAAAGAAGACACATCTGGGTGGGGTTGCACAACAACTACACATGGTTGGTTGAGCAGACAGCATTATGTATTGCTCTCTTAGGACTATTTTTGAAGACCCAGATTGATATTAAAACTGAATTGCAAAGATTTTTCATTTTTTCATTGATTCACTGTTGGCACCTGCAGTTCAGTCTAAGACTAAATCCACATCTGGGAAATTGTCCTAAATAGAAAATGCAAAAGGTTGTACTACCTTAACGTTTTAATATTATGCAGTTAGTTAGCTTTATATTTTCTTATTTCAAAAGCAGCACAATGAACATCTCAGGGTTCATCTCAGGGGTCGCTCTGTTGTGGACAGAGATGAAGAAAATGTAGTTGTTCCTATGACACAAGACAACACTCATGATCGATCACTTGAGTACTTTGCACGCAAGATATGACCAGTGAGCTTACTCTTGGCAAAGACGCTATCAGTTGAATTATCATTTAATCCTGTTTTTCGATATATTAAACTGCGTTATCTGCTGATATAACCTCAGCGCTGATATCAGTCTGAAGCCTGTTTTGACTGTTTATTGCTCAGGTGAAGGAGGAGGAAGCTCAGGAAGCCAAACCCAAAATATCAGCGAGCCCTTCTACGTCCAGCACTTCCTCCACCGCGTCCATCCCTGCTGCTACGGTCAGCAGTCCACCCCCTGAGGTCTGTCTAAACACACACACAATCTCTTGTACTGCATAGTGTTTCTTTTGTAACTGGTGTGCTCCCTCTTGTGGCTCCTAACTGTAAGATGATGAGATATGAATATGTACAGAAGGGTCAGTAAGTCTGAGACCACATTGAAAAAGGTTTCTTTTCTGTTTTTTTTTCCACTTCAACTGGAAATAGACAGACATTTTTGAATTAAAATAAAATTTGCAATTAAAGGCATCATTGGGAGATCGCAAGTTCAGTGCCTGGTGATGCCACAGCCATCCTTGGCTGTGAGTCCACCCTCTGGGTAGGATGGCCACCCTCTCCCCCAGTCACTCAGACAGATCCTAGCCAATGCAAACGTATTGTCAGTAAGTGTTGTCCTCCAGGTGTGTTGCGCTGTCCAGTGATGTGTTAGAGGCAGTTTAACAAAAAGCGGTGATGCTCCTCTTGTCTTGGAGAAAGCATGTGCTAGCCTTCATCATTCCACCTTCCTAGCACTGTGTCATAGGGGGAGACCTAGCTAGCGACTGAAATTGTCAGTGACTACATTGGGGAGGAAATTGGTTAAAAAAATTGGTAACACTTTTTTTGGATGGTCCACTGTAGATCCTTTGTAAATGTTCAGTATATATTTAAGTAACATTCAACTAAATAGTCATTAAATGCAACTAAACATGAAGTTGAGTGTTACTTGGATGGTCCAATATAGATGCTTTGTGTCTTTAAGTAACATTCAACTAAATATCCATTAAATTCAGCTGAACTTAAAGTTCAGTGTGAAAGACTTTATTAAATCTATCCCCGACCCTAAACCTAACCCTAACCTTGACCTCAAGGCAAAACCTACATCTACTCCTAACCCTAACTCTAACCATAATGTTATTGATAATCAACTGAACATCACCAGAAAGTTTGTTAATGATTTAAATATCTGTAGAGGACCATCCAAATGAAGTGTGACCAAAAAATTCCGCACTCTGCCTAGGTCACTATTCAAATTTAAGCAAATTTGGGAAACAGACCATGTTAATGCCTTTGTACAAAAAGTTCAGGTTTATTTTGAGTCTTCTTCCTTTTATTGAAGCCAATGTTCAGATGACACTCAAGCAGTTTTAATCTATTTTTTTAGAGGTCTGCTTGATTAAGTTAAGCTGGATCTAAACTACATGATTTTTAAAATCCTAACAGATTTCAAAAACTGAGAGCACCGCACTGTTTGTGCTTGTAGCACACACAGGACAGAGTTAGTCTTTTATGCACTGTATTGTGACAGTGGCATCTGACTAATAATAAGTGGTATGTGACAGTTATTACAGTGGCATGTTCTAAATGACAGTGGTACATGACAGTATGTGGCGCTTGGCATGCGACATCACTGTATAGTCATTCCTGATCCTGTCATTTTCTTGCTTTTACTATAGCTTGGACCATTTAACAAACAGACTCCATTTGAAATCTTGTAGATAATTCCAGCAAGAGGTGTGATATCCAATTTTAATTTTATGGGATTTTGCAAGTAGAAAAACAAGATTTATCATAAAGTACTTTACATATCTTCATACCAAAATACCAAATAAATACCAAAATGTCAATGTGAAAATGTCAGAAGGGGCAAATCTGGGTTGAAATTGGGCTTAAAATTGTTTAGTATAGGCCCAGCTTTGATCAGCGTGCAGGCATTGTTTAACTTGCACACCGTCATTAAAGCAAAAAGCAGAAAAACCAAATACTAAGAAATTCTGAAATTCATGTAAATATTTCAAAGATTATACTGTTCACTCAAATTCTAAAAACACTATATAACATTAGAATGGTTATACCTTAAATGCAGTAAAACATGATTAGATTTTTTTTTGTTAAAAAAGTAAATGTTTACTAAATGACTTCTCATTTCCTCAGAAAAGGTTTGCACAGTACCGTATCGTCTACACTTGTGTGCTGTGATCTTGACATCAGTTTTAGCTCGATTTTTAAGATTTGATAGTTAGTGTGTACTATATCGATGTCCCCGTTGCCATGACGTTTGTTTGAGGTTTTTAATTCTATTTTGTTTATTTCTGTTTTTTATTTCCTTATTTCACTTCAAGATTTCACAGTTAACTACAATGTCTGACTTCTGTGAGCTTAAAATAGTTTTAAAACAGCAGTTTAAAATACATAAAACAAAGTAAATTGTAAGTTTACTTTTTGGAAAATACTGCGTTTTCTGTTTGATTAACAATTACAACACTGTGTAAGGAGCCTTTTGGCATAATTTGTAAAAGAAGCAGAACAGAACAAAACAGTCAAAACAAAACGGCTTATGTCAGATTTACAGGAATCTTAGGGGAGTCTGCAAAAATATTTGGTAGAAATCATGATATTAAAATGCATCAACGCTAGTAACATTAAACATGCAGAGTTCTGCTGTGAAAGTCCCAGTATGACAGATGCTGCTAATTTGTGTAACAGGAGAAACCAGAGGAGAAGCGTTTGAGTGGAGATGCCAGTTTGGATCTGGATCTGAACATGTCCCTGCAGCAGGCTAAGGAGCGCGCTCACCAGAAACGCTCCAACAAGAGAGCGCCCCCTATGGACTGGAGCAAGAGAAGTGAGCTGTTCAGCAACCTGTAAAGCAGAGACACCCCTCCCTCTCTGTTTTTCTTCTCAATTATCATTTTTCTTTTTATTTCATTTATTTATAAAGTTCACAAACGTCTGTCAGGCTCATGAGCCCAATTCCTGAGATTCTGTAATCAATCATTAAAGCAAAAGGGCTATAGGAAAAAAGGGAGAAACAAAACCTACATTTACTGCTCTTATGAGAGAGAAACTCTCTTTCACTGTACTTTCACTGTAATGAAATGATTGTAGGACCTTCTTGTTTTTTTTTCCCTCATCATTCTGTCTCTTCCCTCATTTGTTGTTGTTTATCTCATCCTACCCTTTCACACCACTCAGATGAACATTTCAAGCCAGTGTTATTTTGCCACTTATGATTTTATATCAAACACGTTGGTGTGATTTGCATGTGTTTATTCCAGCTTTACATTTATTGATCACCTTAATAGAAATTAGCTCATCAGATTTAATGTTACTATATTATGTACAGTGTAGAGTTTAATAATTAAGTGGGGAACACATTTTTTTCCTGAATATCTGTATTCACTTGTTCAGAGACAAGTACTTGCCCTTGTGAGATACTAATAATATAATAAGTCAATAATGCAGTAAAATGTATTGCGACACCACTGACCACTCAGTACACTGTACAGGCATCTATAGTATCTAAATTTGAAGACTTTGATAGCAACTGTAACTCTTTAGAGGGCCAAAACGTCATTACAAAGTGTGATGGAAAAGATACATAATAGATCCTTAATGAAAGCATACAGAAAGGCTGTTTTTTTAATATCTGTAAAGCTGAGCCACTTTTTCAGATTTAGTTTGTTGCTATAAAGCAGGGGACAATATCCCTGACTAACAAGAACGATGCTGGCTCTCTGTCTGTAAAATCTTCCAACTGAAAGTATTTGTAGAGGTACTTATTTTTAAATAACATTTTGATGAGATTTGTGTAAATTAGTCTGAAAATCAGATACACTGTTATACAGTCACCCAAAGTTTATTTAATATGTCAAATATGCTCTCTTAATTAATTAGCTTTGATTTTTACTTTTAAGCACAATGCTATTGTTTCAATATTTAGTGTTTTGTAATGTTTAATTTGTGTTGGGTTGAAAATCATTTTAGGCTGTTGACAGCAATTTTTTTAAATGAACATTCCTGAACAAATGCCCACTTTTGTCATCACTGTATACTGTTTAGCTATGTGACAATTAAGTTGTGGTTGTTATTACTGATGAATATATGAAGATAAATAAAAATAGATTTTCATGTATGTTTATGGTTGTCGGTGGTGCTTGTTTGAATCACCTCATTAGTGTGAACACCTTATTGTAAAGCATGCAGATTGGTAGCAGGACATCATGTTTTGACAAACAACTGAGGGTTCAAACACAGTGCCTTCAAACATCGGCGCCTTTCAAAATTTGTCCTGCCTAATATTCAGAAAAAACAAAACTGTTTATTAAGAACACATACTAACAAAACAGATAATCTGACTGTTTTCCTTTTTTAAATTTGGACAAAAAGTGGTTTAAAACATAATCTGGAAGAGATTACATCATCCTTTAATTCAGTGTAAAATTTCTTTTTTTATTCCCCAAAATCAACAGATACATTTTCACAGCCATGCGGAAACAGTTTGCAATGCTTGTAAACAAATGAACATTCTCAACCAACAACAGCCCCCCCCCTTCCCCCCCACAGACATTTGAAGTATATACACTATAAGCTATCAAACCCTATTATCACGGCACAAATGATCATATAGGAAACAGAGGAAAGAACATGTACAGACTATCAAAAAGTTACAAACCCAAAAACCCTCACCTCTATGTACCATGAGGGTTAACGTTAGTTCAGTTTTTATTATTACAAATCATTCAGCTACTTGTATCCAAAATACAAATTTTAATTTTAATATATTTCACTTTTATATTTCAGTCTCCACCTTAAAATTACGGATTTGATTTCCTCTCATAGATCAAATGAATGCGTTATCAAATATATAGCACCATGATGTAATTACTAAGGACAGGGAAAATATCACAAAAAACCCGTGTTAGTATTCAAGACCAGAGCAGCGCTGGCCTTCATCGGATTCTCACATTGCTGCATGCACTGATGATTATCAATCTACTACACTTTTTTTCCTTTTGAAATCCCTTAATTTTGTGTCTAATATTGAAAAAAGAGGATAAGGCATCAAATTCGCTGACAAGAAAGATTTTGCTTTAAAGGTGAAGTTGTGCGTTAGGGTGTGTTAAGATTCATTTGAGGGTAGCAGCAAAAATCTCATGCCTCGAAACAGTCGCGTCTTAATATATGCAAACAATTAGGTGATTTTGGTCGTAAGAAAAGTAATACCAAAGTGAGCTGACATCAAAACCAGTGTTGACCTTAATCCTGATGCAATGATTTGGAGGAATAGCCTATATAGAAAACTCAGACTGGTTTAGAAGACCACAAGTGAACAGTCTAATGGAAGTAAAGGAACTTATTTTCACAAATGTACATTTTCAAAAGCAAACCAGTCACAAACCAAAAATGATTCAATATGACAACATTGTAGCAGAGAATGTTATTGCTTCAACAGATGTCATATGTGGCTATATAAAGTGTTGAACAGAAAATAATACCAAAGTTTATCCAAAAATAATAATAATAATATATATATATATATATATATATATATATATATATAATATATATATATATATATATATATATATAGATATGTTTTGAATTTTGAAATAATTTTGAATAATCCTTTTAAACTCTACATAACAGTGAGGTGTAAATGGGTCCATATCAGTTATTCATCAGTGTTCAAGAAAGTCCAGGTTACTGCACACTTTGGAGATTTCCACATTCCACATGATTCAAGGCCTTCATGACCTAAATCAGGTGTAAGAGAGCAGGAAAAAACATCCAACTATGCAGTGCTTTGGTCTTTCAGGACTCGAGTAATAGGGATTTATGATAAGTACAGACTAAAAAAAATCTGATTAGCTTCTGAGTTCTGCATTATTCCATGAGGTACTGCAAGTGAAAGTAAATATAGAAAAAAAAGATATTCACATCAATCGTCAATATGAAGAAAACTTGATTCAATAATATAACAAAGCAAAAGACTCCAAATAAAAAGCCAATGAAATGCAAGATTTCCTGAGAATTCACCAACAGCCTTACTGGTACTAGATAGAGATTATAATTATATTATGATAAATCACTATGCAAACAATATTGGTTGTTTTCTATATAACAGTTAGGTTGTATACACTCAACATATGCCATAACAGGGAAAGCTCAAGTCTAGCTTCTATAAAATTGTCACAGTTTTGCAATATATTGTAAGAATATCTGATTTAGATCTATAGAATGTAAGCATATATTTATGTGTTGTGTCTTTTTTTTTGTTTTAAGAATAAGACATCGTAAAACATAGAATTACTGTATTATTGCATATCTTTTCTTTCATTTTAAGGACTCTGTCAATAACATGCTATGTTACAAATATAAATGTTTGGTAACTTGTAAAGTGTAATATATGGTTTGCCCAAGTGCATGTGAACTTATTAACTCTTATTTTGCATATGGTGAATTATAGTCCTTCCAATGGTACGTGAAAACTATCTATTGTAATAAGGTATAGTTAGAGAACCAACAAAACCAACTCGATTACACAAGAACCCTTAACCTATGTATATTTAAAACTGATTTAAGAGGTAGTAAAAACCTTTATTCTGGAATGAATGTTATGGTTAAAATACATCAGACTGATGATTGCTCTCAGGATAGGCTTAATCGCTCATTGGTTTGGTACACAAGCAGAGAGGCTGGTAAACTGGCATCATAATGATCAGAGATTAACTCAAATCTCACATTATACAAAAACAGCATGATCAGAAGTCTCATTCCAAAGTTCCTCTGCTGTGCTACTTTATCAAACATAATGGCAAGGTAGTGTTTTGTTGGTAATCATGTAATTTACTTATGCTTTATTCTGTGGCTCATTGAATACTTAAACCAGATTATAAAAAATGGCTCCAGGAGATTAATACATAATCAGCATTGGCTTCATATCAAACAAATGATCTTGCATATCATAATGCTGAGTAGAGCAAATATTCCCTCTCTCAATTTTGTAGTTTTCAGCCACTATACATCTTGTACGTTTGCCACTTACTACGATAAAGCTGTAACTTCAACATTTTCACAGGCTGATACACATTTAAATTTTACATCCCTGTAGTGCAAAATGTGACAGTGTTTTCCATTAGGCTATACCTCTTCTTACCAGGAAAGTTTATGACCAATATGTAATATTAACCCTTGCTCCACTATTCTACTATTTAGTTAATATGTCATAGATATATGGTTATACTTTATCAATATAGATCAATATAGATTTTTACTGCTCTTATAGAATGCACACCCATCCAAATAAAAGGGCTTTTGAAATAAATCAGCGCATGAGACACATGGTCTTGAAAATGTTACTGAAAATGTTACAAGAAAAAACAAAACAAAAATAACAAAAAATAATAAAAATAAACTTCAAGTACAATGAACACTGAGGAAAAAGTCCATCTGGCAAATTGATCAAAGTCAGGAAATCAAGAATATCCTCATTCCAAAGAAAATCCCCATTATATCGATCTTGCAAAACTGTTACTGAACTGTCTTTTCGTCAGCTTTTCTTACCTGAAAAGAAAAAGACCTGGTGTGGAAGAGGAAAAAAGTGACCCTGTTCTCCCAGGTCCTGTGTGCATCGCTCTGAATGGGCTCTTCCAGTGCTGTTGGCAGTGAGGTAAGGCTCCATCAGGGCCGGGGCTCATGGATCTTGTTTGATGTAATAACTGCCAGAGCCGTTGCTCTCTTGGTCCGAGATGCCCTGCGAGAAAGTGAACTCGTCCACCTCTGGAGTCTCCTCCTTTAGCTGCAGCGAGGCCTCTGAAAGAAACAAAGGAGAATCAGTTCAGTCCAATTGTCTTCACACTTATACACAACTGCTCAGTACACAACAAAATAGTTCACGTTAATCCAGTGTCATATAATAAACAGTAAATATAAAACAATAAAAACAATAAAAGAATAAGTAAATCAATGAAAAATTAACATTGCTCTAGCTAAAACTTTTGCATCAGCTAAATATATAATATTTTGTATATTAACTGGGGTGGGTGATATCGCAAAAAATATATCACAATACTTAAAGACGTTTTCAGGATAAATGGTACACATCATACTATTTTTTTTACACACAGGCACAAAGCACTAGTAGTGCCATATTTAAAAGACAGCAATAAAAAATTCTGGGGACAATGATTTTTTTTTTTTTTTGTTTCACATACCCTGTTGCACTACATACAATTAAACAGTCCTACTTATGCTCTCCTTGCAATGAAACATTAAGCTGGTCAATGTTCTTTACATATGGGCAATATCCACAATATTAAGATTAAGTGACCCTTATTAGTCCCACAATGGGGAAATTTCACCTCCGCAATCTAACCCATCTGTGCAGTGAAACACCACATGTGAAACACACTAGTGAAGACACACACTAGGGGGCAGTGAGCACACTTGCCCACAGCGGTGGGCAGCCCTATCCACAGCGCCCGGATAGGGATTAGGTGTAGGGGTTAGGTGTCTTGCTCAAGGGCACCTCAGTCATGTACTGTCGGCTCAGGGGATCGAACCGGCGACCTTCCGGTTACAAGGCTGATTCCCTAATTATTACGATAACAAAATTGATCACAGTAATGATAAAATATTGTCATACTGCTCACCTTTAATTTTAATAATAAAAATTATAAATCCTAGAGTGAGAACTTTTGACATTTAGGTATACAAAACGGAAATAAACGCAGCAGTGTAAAACAATGTTTCAAAGAAAAACAACATCTATTCCGCTAAAAGGGCGCAGTGATTTAAGTAAGCATGGTGCAGTGCGCGCTACTCGCTAAACAGAACTCCTAATCACTGTCATTTGTTCTGAGACCTCCTGCTGGCTGTGACTGGTCCTAATCAGTGCATCATTTGTTCTGAGACCACCTATACTGTGACTGGTCCTAATCAGCATGTTGTTTGTTATGAGACCTCCCCCTGACACTGATTGGTCCCAATCAGCGCTTTGGTTGTTCTGACACCTCCTCCTTGACTGTTATTAGTCATAATCAGCATGTCTTTCATTCTGACCTCCCCCTGACTATGATTGGCCCACTGCATAATGCAGGTTTCTAGTGGTGCTTAGACATACACCAAGTTCTTTTTAAATATATTTACAACAGCATGTTTGGTGGGAGTTTGTGTGTAGTTCTTTCATCATTTAAAGTATGATGCCAGCTTAACAATAAAGCTAGATCTTAAAACTTCCTGTCCATGACAATTATCCTAAACAAAATAAGCAGTCTATATGTTTCTTTATAATGAAAATCATCCAAACGATCCAAGCTATTACCTACCAAACGTTTTTCATTCCTAAACACCTTTTTACAATCTCAGTCTAAATTTTGTATCTTCAACTCACCATGACAGCCTCCCCACATTCTCTGAAGACAAATCTTCAGAAATGCCTTTCCTTTTAATTGCATGCACTTCCCAGCATAATGTAAACAACCAGCGAATCTAACAAATATGCCTGTGTGTGTTCTTTCTATCGCACACCCTGGCATGTCTCCCGTCTAATGCGGAGAACACCAAAGAACCTGGCCCTAAGGGATTAAGAATGAATTTACCTGAGTTGAGAGAGCAATCACGCCCCACACCTGAGGTGAGAGGTCGCCTGGACCCAGATGGGTGTGGCACGTAATGGGGTCGAGTCTGCTCTTCATCGTCTGAGAAACTGCTCCTCCTCAGAGACCCACCAAACCCGACCGGCCTCCTCCCAACTGGAATCTTCCTCTCTAAACACCAAGCCAGACTGGTCAAGTTAACTGCATCACCCAAGCTACGGAGTTCCACTCCTCACAACCACCCTGCACACCACCTTCCTTCCCTTCTTTTACCAAGTTAGATTCTGGTTTCTGCACACTGCCCTAACCCACTTCACTTCTCCACCAAGTGACCATGCTCTTTCTCTCAGATCCATCCTTAGAATCCATCACCCATGAAAGGACTGCCACCCTGCTAATTATCATTTTATCAAGACACCATCGATTTGTGACACCTCTGCCACCAACTTTGAACACGCGAACCAGACCCGAACCAGACCCAAACCAGAGCAAGAGACCACCCCAATGGATAAGCACTGCCCCGTAGGCCAGACATGTCAAACTGGGGACCTTCCGGGCCAAAGTGCTGCAGAGACTAGCGTTTACCCTCATCTAACGTTCTGAATTCAGTTAATGAAGGCTTTGCTTATTAGCTGATGAGCTGAATCAGGTGTGGTTAATGAGGCAGTGTGCTGAAGTTTGCAGTGTTTTGGCCCACGAGGACTGGAGCTTGACACATGTGCCATAGGCTGTGGCAGGTAAATGGAAAGAGGAAGTGGAAGGAAAGTTTGCTGAAAATAAAGTGCCTTACTTTTCTTTTGTCCTTTGTACTGCTGAGCTTTCTTTTTCTGCTTTGTCACATTAGGAGGTGTTTCTCTTGTGGCTGAAAAATAACATTTCAAAATGGAATTAATTATTCATTGATGAACAGTTAGAGTCACAACGACTTCTAACAATGCCACCACTACATCACAAAGTTTAACACTGTTACATACTTAACCATCATTTTAAAATTGTCAAAGCATGTGAAAACATTAGGACTACAACTATTGATTATTTCTATAATTTAGTAATCATGAACTATCATTTGATTCATTGCTTTCTACCATTTACTCTTACTTTGACTGATAAAGCATCATCATAATTTAATGATCTGTCTGTGCAATAAGTAAAAATAGTAAAGAGCATTACAGAACACATTTGCAGTGATATTCTAGAACATTCACTCACTTTGTGCAGCAGGTGGTTGTAGCTGGTAGCCAGTGAGTTGACACCAGCCCACTGGATAAAGGTCAGGAGACTCACAGTCCACCCACTGGTCATATTCATCTTCCCAGCCATCAAAGTGGATGCGCAGGAGTCTGTGAATGATCCTGGTCACAGTGGCAACACACACCAAGCGTGGCTCCATCAGGTCTACTGCCTCCAGCTTCATCCCTTCACGGAAGCCATGATTTGGGACCTCCTATAAATACACAGCAAACAGCTTACAGGCATGTTATAGACAACATAGAGATGTCCACAAAATAAACGGCAGAAAAGGTCAAACTTACAGGACATTTCTGAAATCACTTAAAGTTGTTTTAGAACATAACATCAAAATAGACACGAAAGATGTTTAATATTACCCAGCCTGTTTTCCCCATTTTATTTAGGACAACTTACATGGTTAAAGAGCTTCACAGGGGCTGCTATTGAACCTGTTTCTCTGAGGTAGTCAAACCATTTGAATGGCAGTTTGTTGTACCCTGTGGATCAGGTCAAGATTCACAATTTAAGTAATTGAGTCAATAATTTGTGCCAGTAATGTGTGAATACTAAAGGGAAAAACATTCATTACCTCTCGGGGGTGTGAGCTCAATGTGGTTGATTTCACAGAATCCTACAGGGAAGATGGAAGGAGAGGTGGAGTGATAGCAGAACCAATCGGACCCATCTGCTGCCTCTGAGCCATCGATCCCAATCATGAGGTAACCATCTGCTAACACCTGGGAGAAGGAAAAGAGTCAACTCAAGAATTTAACAAATTTTGTTTTCATTTACACATTTATTTCATAATGTAAGTGTACATTCACTTACACTGTCATTTCTGTGTGACATTACCTTTCTTACAGTAGCAACACATATAGCTGAAAGATTAAGAGGGTCTATTGCCTCCAACTTCATGCCATCTTTATACCATTCCCCACTCTGGTCCACATCCTTCACCTGAGAATTTTAAAAGTTGGCAAATAAACATCTGACAGAAACCCACCAGGAAACTGAAGTTTATTGCTTGTAAGGAAAAAAAGAGATCAAATTACCTTCATAAATAACTGTGAGGGGGCATCTGCCAGGCCTTCTATTTTCTTTGACACATCTAGATGAAAAAGGTTTACAATTATTACAATTCATAAAACAAAAACATTTTTAAGGCTTTCCACATATCTAAACACTGCTGTAAATAGTTACTTATTTACAGTTTACATTGCTAAAAGCACTGGAACAAGTCACATCATACCCTGGCAGAAGATTCAGGGCCATCAAAACCAGCACAGCCAGACATGCTAACAGCTTTTTCACCTCATACTTTAAACTTTAAACCTCCTTACTGTATTACAGTAATTCCTGTGTAACATAATGCTATTTGCACAACTTTACAGATGTTAAATTCCGACAAATATCATTCTGTATATAATATACTATAAAGAGTATGTCATCAGACTATCATACAGTCCTGCTCACCATTATTGGCACCCCTTCCTTTTTTGCATAACCTGTACAATATCTTCAGAAATAAATGTAAATGTACCAAAGTTATATCTTCAGGATTTTTTAATTGGAGGTCCAAAGTAATACACCAAAAAAAACATTGTTTTTCAACTTGCATGTTGCAATTTTAAAGAAGAAACAGAATAAACAGCATGTGCAGCAATAAAGGCACCCCTTGTTAATATTTGGTTGCACACCCTTTGGCTGTGATGACAGCCTCCAAACGTTTCTTGTAGCCATCTATAAGCTTCTTGCACTTCTCAGCTGGTATTTTTTCCCACTCTTCCTTTGCAGTTTGTTCAAGCTCTTGAATGTTTGCAGGATTCTTTTTCCCCAATGGCAGATTTCAACTCACCCCACCCCAAAGATTTTCAATGGGACTGAGGTCAGGACTCATTGCTGGCCATTTTAAAACAGTCCATTTTTTCCTTTTAAACCATTCCCGTGTACTTTTGGATGTGTGCTTTGGGTCATTGTCTTGCTGGAATACCCATGATCTTTGGCTCAAACCAAGTTTTCTTACACTGGGTAGGACATTTCGCTCTAAAATCTCTTGATAATTCTCTGATTTCATGATTCCTGTGATACGGTCAAGGCCTCCAGTACCAGACGCAGCAAAGCAACCCCACAGCATTATGGATCCTCCACCATGCTTAACTGTTGGTAGGGTGTTCTTTTCCTTATAAGCTTCATTGCGCCGTCTGTAAACAAACTGTTGCTTTGCATTGCCAAAAAGCTCTATTTTTGTTTCATCTGTCCACAAAACATTGTCCCAGAATGATTGTGGTTTGTCAAGGTACTCTTTGGCAAAGATCAGTCGTTCCTTTTTACGTCTTTTCTTTAGCACTGGTTTCTTCCTTGGCCTTCGCCCATAAAGCTCTGCATGGTTTAGTGTGCGGCGTATGGTACTTGTTGAAACCATGACCCCAGACTGTTCCAGGTTGGCCTTCAGTCCTTTGGATGTTTGCCTTGGTGTTTTTTCCACCATTCGCACCAACCTTCGAAGACTTCTCTTGTCAATTTTCCTCTTTCCCCCACGTCCAGGGAGGTTCTTGACAGTTCCATGCTTGGCAAACTTCTTAATAACATTGCACACTGTTGAAACTGGGATACCAAGGTCTTTGGAGATGGTCTTATACCCTTTGGAAGTCTTGTGTTTGCTAATAATAGCACTTCTGATGTCCTCAGACAGCTCCTTTGTCTTCACCATTGTAACAAATGAACATGGCCCAACGTATGGCTTTTTAAAACCCTGAAGTCATCATTCATTGGCTAATTCATGTCACATGGGCACTGAATTTGTCACAGGTGATTATCATTTGCGATTTACCACAGGTGAGTGAAAATGTGTTTCCATACTAATTTAATGTAAAGGGTGCCAATACCAGTGTCACAGCAAGCTTTAGGTTTCTTCTGTTTTTCCCTCACATTGTTTTTTGTTTTAAATTGTTGTTTATAGTTTGCTCTTTTGTTTTAAATATGAGTGCTCTATACAAAAAAAACTGTTTCAGTTGATTAATTTTTTCAGGGGATATTCCACCATATGTACTTAAACTTCATGGGTGCCAATAATGATGAGCAGGACTGTATATATAGGTACTCTTATCTGCATATGTACAGATATTCAAACATCTCTTTAGCTCCTCTCCATGGCTCTTTATTATTCATTATTCTATTTAGCGTATTATTGCTTTCATTTTCCCTTAGCTAAATACTTGTTAACAGCCTGTTTTCTTGTCTGGTCTGTTTAGCATATTACATGTGTGCACACAGCCAGACCAACTCCTTGTATGTTTAACATATAGGGCGAAATAAAGTGATTCTGATTCTGATTCACTGACCAGATCTTTTGAAGCGATGTCCAATACTCCTCGACCAGCCAATAGAATGGATGAGTGGGCTGTACATGTGACACCAGAAGTCATCTGTGCCGTCCTGGCTCTCCTCATAGACCAGTCGCAAACGACCGCCGATCACCTGCTCCACCAGGGCCACACGTGTCCGGCAGAGGTGAGTCTTATCAACCACCTCTACTCGCATTAGCTTCTTAAATGGGTACTGCATGCTCTCCTGAACCTGCCAATCAAACAATAAGATAGGCATGTATAAAAGAAATACTGTCAGTGCTTCTTTTACAACTCTCTTTTTTAGGAGATGCATTTCTTTAAAACTGACAGACTCTGTTGAGAGGGGCATCTTTTAACATTTTACCCTTAAGGATTTCACTTGTTCAAGTCTGATCTTTGCTGATATGAGAAACAGCATAGTGTAAATCTCCTGGGGAAAATGGTGTTCCTATGCAGAATGTATGACAGAGCCTGCTTACCTTAGTAGCAAAATCAGGTGGGAGAGTTTTGGCTCCAGTGAGTCGCTTCACAAGAAATGCTTTCCAGTTAGAGCACTTATGTTGGATTGCTACAAAGGAAAAAAAAGGAATGCATCACATCCATGTCAGCCAATTCAGCTTAGCTCCCAAATGAACTACACTTGTATAGCTCTTTTGACTGCTCACATTTGGGAGGTACCAGGGGTTTTCCATTTGAGGCACACCATCCAACAGGATGGACTTCTGGTATACAGAGATTACACCAGAAGTCATGGCTCGAGTCGTTATCAAATCCCTCATATCGTAGAAGTGCTTTAAAACCTAGAAAGAACAATGAAGAATATAATTCTCACTTTTGAAATAACTTGCTCTGCATTAGAATATTGCTATGATAACACTTGGTTAGGATCAAAATATAGCTTTACCTGCCAATTTAACAATCCCTGCTATCCAGTAAACTTTGGTAGAGAGGTGTGTGTCAGAATTGAGGACCTCTACCCTCACACCCTCAGTGATGTCACCCCAAAAAGTACCCATGGGTACCTGGAGAACAAAATGTACAAACACTCATGCTGTGAAAATTACAAAGAATTTTACTGATTAAAAAAAAATAAAATACACAAGCAAGCAAAGGGAGTGCATGTGGCTCTTACACTTGTTTTTGGATAATACTTACATGCTTAAAACAGCTTACTGGCGCTCCGACCAGGTTATTGCTACAAATGTATTGACCCCAGTCAAAGCCCTCAACAGGAACCACTGCAGGAAGTGAAAAATGCATAAATACATATTTTAAATTCACTCCACATGTTATCTGTATGCTCTAAGATGTAGAATATCTGTCTCTACTACAATTTTTTTTTTCATAAGTAAAATCATCTTAAATGTAGTCAAATACCTAGTCTTATTCCACTAGTAAGCAACAGTGCCTTCGTCAAGGAACAATCCTTGAAGCGGTAGGATTACTAGACGTTTGTGTCAGTTTCCCAAACAGCGATTGAGCCCAGTACTGAACCGAACCTGACTGAACTACACTTTCCTTTCAATGGAAAATCTCCATACAGAATGCTGTGTAGTCCAGAACTAGGTTTAATCCCTGTCTGGGTAACCGGCCTAAAATTGCTTGAAGTAAAAATGTCTAGAAATAAGTTTAATAATTTTATAATATTCTTAAAATAACGTAATAATAAGTAATATTACAGGTACTATCTTGATTTAAGGTGATTACACATGTCAAGATATTCTTTTGCATCTTGTATGATTTGCATCATGGTAGTCTTACCTGATTTTGATTTAGATTGGCTCTGCTGATTTGCTTGATACTGTGCATAAGCTGCCAACTTTGCCATTAGAGGCTGTTTTTGTAAGACCTTTGCCTTTTTCGTTGGTGGTTTACCCTTAGGGAGACACAAGTAGCACACATACACAGCATTAAATGTAAAATCCAAAGGCATAATGACTGATGAATGACTTACACCTCAAAATGCTCCAAAACAACAACAAAAAGGCAGATACCTGGTTTAGAGTGGAAAGAAAGTATAGATAAAAGGTTAGAAAGAAGGTACCTGAAGTCTTGCCAGTATACTGGCTTTTTTAGAATTGGAGGAGTAGCTTCTGGAGCAGGACACACTACAGAACCTCTTTGTTTTTGAGTAGAAAGCATCTCGTACTCCAACCATCCCGCACATCTCACACGTCGCTTTAAGGGTGAAAGAAAGAGAACACTGCGATCAGCATACAGGTAATGTACAGCCTTCACAATAAGTGCACATTATTCGCTAAAGCAGGGGTCTCCTGGAGAGCCACAGTCACCTTGTTTTTCGTTCGCCTACATGTATTTTCACGTCCATGTTTTTTTTTTTTTAATTACACATTTTAAGATAAATTCTGCACCTATAAATGTGTTATAAACAAGGCCCATAAATGAGTAGATGGATATGTAATCTATAAAGCACTCTGCACTAATGAGGTGGCTGATTTAACTCAACAGTTTTAGTCGGTGTGTCTGAGCAGGAAATTGGGGATGCACAATATTATGTAAATCATATTATTATTATCAAAAAATGTTTTTAAAAAATGCATTGGCTTCAGACCAAACCTTACATTTGGCTAAAATTTCGAACTGATATGTGATTACACATTTATCGAATTTCGGAAAAGAAGAACATTTAAGTGATGTTGGGTTATTGTGCTACAATGCCCCTATTCTATTCATATTACTGCATTTGTAACCCTCTACAAATAAGCATCTTCGCATAATGCTAATCAAAGTGGATCTAGTCCAAATTTCTCCATTTTATAAATATTTATGTATTGGCATCAGCATTTACAGATATGTATATAAAAAATATGGAATACTGGCATAGGGTCACAATAGATGCATCTCTAGAAATAATAAACTCTGCTTCACTCCAGCCCTGCAGGACTTGCTCTAAGGTATGTAATGAAATATAAAAAACTTCACTGACCCATCCCAGCCTTTCCATCTGGGTAGGTGTACACCTGGCCATTGTTCTTGATGATGGGCAGGCTGGCAGGGATGCTGCGCACTTCATCCTCACTGTCCTCTGAGCTGGAGCTGCTGCTCGACTCCTCGCTGCTCTCATAGCCATCAAACATCCCGAACGAGTCTCTCCTCTTGCGCTCCGGGCGCGAACTGCGCTCCGCCTGCACACAAACAGTAAAGCGAGTTAGTCAAAAACCAGAAACTGAACATAACGTGAGGTCACGCTACGTGGGAGCCCATTCTCGCCACTTAAAATAAAAAAAATCATTTTAAAGTCAACTGTTATTCTGAGATACTGTCTCTTTATTTGGAGATGCTTTCGCATTACATATAAAAAACGACTTAATATCGCAAAATAATCGCACAGAAATTCACTCAATACACAATAAAAAAAAAAAACAATGACAAAAAATAATTATTAGGTGCTGGATTTTTTTTTTATTTTATGTGGCAGGAACTGGGCTTCCATAGATTAAGCTGAAGTAACACCGAGTCAGAGAAATTACAGACAGCATTCAACCTTTCAAAGTACAGGGTCATGAAAAAAATTATTACGATCAGAAATACATAAGGCGTGAATCACCTTGTATTTTAAAACTGGTTTTTAAAAGGATGGATCAGCAGCCGCTAATGTAGCTACTGTGTAAGACACTGCAGTATTGTGCAGCTCAGAAATAATATGGCTACAAGCTACAGTCCTTCACAGCACATCTCATGAAACATAAGTTAACAGGAACAACCTAGCCAGCTAGTGGCATAAAAACGAGGAAGCATTTAATTCTAAACCCCGATACCACAACACAACAGATGTAATTCATCCAACAGGTCAGCAGCGCCTCTGTTTTGTTGTGAACACTGCTGGATTAGAGCCAGTTAGCTTTGGAGCTAGCTGCAGATTAGCGAGCTCTGTAATGGGCCTCGGCTTTCACAAAACACTAAATAAAGGTCCGGAGTGAGTAGGAAATATTCGCTGTAAGGTTGTCAGAGTGTAAATAAATCCTTCTAGCTGCTTTTACTACCAGAACACAGCCGAGTAAGTGAGGAAGCTAACATTAGCTTTGCTGGGGACTGACAACCAAAACAAAGGGGATTGTATGGAGCAGGCTAGCAGGCTAGCAGGCTAACTGCTGCTTCACAACCGAAACAAGGAAGCAAATTTTATTCTCTTACCAAATCCCGAGCGTCTTCCATTAGCCCTTCATGTAAGATCGTCACCTAATGCTAGTTACGCTGTATTTCAGTACCCCAGAACTCGGGGCTTCGGTGTGGAATATTTCGCAGAAAGCACAAACAAAATAAAAAACAAAATAAAATACTTAACTCCAGCTGATTATCAACAATTGTTATTGAATAAGTGCGCATGCGCTTCCGTGCCTGTTTACTATTGGTGCGGAAGCGATGTCGTCATCATCGGATAATACAAGAATAAGGCGAGAGTTTAGAGACGAGTGGAGCCGAATGGAGCCGAGCTGAACCCAGAATGGACTCGGCTTAAAAACTCTGTGGCCAAATTTAATGGCTATTTTTTATGTAATCATAATGATTGTCCTAGCCTAAACCATACTCACGTAAAAGTATTGTTACTTCTGTGAAACATGTGACTCAAGAAAAATACCTTTTCAACAAACAACCTGAGTAGAAGTATAAAAGAGCTGGGTAAAAACCCCCTACTGAGTCCTGGGTATCATATGAAAATACTCAAGAAAGTACAAATACGTCAAAAAGTTCACGTGAGTGTATGTAACGGTTACTACCAACTTCTGCTGATGATGATGGTGATCATGATGTTCATTTATTCAGAATGTGGTTAGGGGTAACCCTAATCCAAGATGCTACAATCTACAATCATATTACCACACAATAATGTAATAAGCCTTAATATATGAGAGCACAGCTGGAAGCAAACCATAGATTTACCTTAGTTCAGTGATCTGGTGGGCAAATCACTTAACATGCAGCCTTTTGTGCGTCTTAGATTACATACACCAACATGCATTCATCAGGCTATTAAAATACCCAGTTCAGGATTTACAAAGCTTTTCAGGGTAGATGTGCTGATCTAAAGTTAAATTCCCCTCTTACTGGCTATGACTTTAATGACAGGGACAAACAATATATGTGTGCTCCTACTCTAAAAAGCTTTATAAATACAGGCAATGAAGTTTTATTCTTGGGGTATTTTAGATTACAGTCAGATTCTACAAGAGTCTAGCACTTCAGGAAGACATCTATCTGCCCTGCTTTAATGTTACCCTATTTTAGCCACCAGAATCCTCTCATGGATTAGATAGGGTAAAGTGGGCAAAACACTAAACTGAGTGCCACTGCCCTTCACCCCTGATTTTTTTTTTTGCTTTTTTTGCTTTGTTACTCTGACTGATTGCTGAAGCTTTCTTAGTTTAGTTGCTGTCTATAAAAGGAACAATAAGGTATGAAACAAAAAACAATGAAAATAATTCAATAGAACAATACTCTTTAATTTATTTAATCCTCTTTGCAACATATTTGTTTGAGAGCACATAAAACTGAAATGCACAACATAAATAACAATATTGCAGTGAAAGAAATACTAACAGTACCAAAACAACAGAACCAGTTTTATACTCACAGAACCTAAGTGCAGAATTTTGCTAATACTGAGGTTTCTTTCTGTATCTCATACCATCAAATTCCCTGAGCACTGCTCCTCATCTGGTCACCAGTTAACTGTTCTCAAGCAGCTTGGTGCAAAGCAAAGATGAGCTGGCAAAAGATTAACTATAACATTGACAATATATCTCCAATAGACAGAAAAAACAGAAAGACAGACAGAACATGTAGCACAGTCAAGTAAGGCTCCCACTACACAGGGGGAAGCATGGGCTTCATGCCAGCTTGGTGGTCACAGATGGTCTCTAGGATAAAAAAGACAAAGGAAATACATGTAATTCATATTACAAACTAATGAAAGCCCTTTTTATTTCAGGTAAACCCTTCAGACATGCTTATGGGTATCAGAAATGAAGTTACACAGACCACAAAAAACAGATCTTTACTTACCAATATGAAGGCATACTTGTCTTTGGTCTCTTATCAGTTAAATTCCTCTTCAAGAACATCATCCACACTTCCAGATATTGAGGCGACTTCTTCAAAAGATGAAATAAATACATGGTAAAAATTGGACAGACAGCAGCTTATATTCACTCACATCAGCACCTTTTCAAAACAGAGCAGGGTAAAAAGATGCCTAAAAAGGATCACCTTTCACATAAAACATCAGTGAACGCTCTGCACCCAATGCTTCTCTGTGTTGTGTGATTTATAATATTCACCACATATGACATATTTTAGGGCTGCAACTAGTGCTTACTTCTATATGTTGACTATTATACTATGACATCCTGTAAGTGTACTGGAATCAGAATGGCCACATGCATCATATTAAAGGGCCCATATCCTACATTCTTCTTGTATTTTAGCTTTTTCCTTGAGGTCCACATATAACATTTCTGTGGTCATATGCACCAAAAATTAATTTTTACATTTTACATCCATTCTGCAACCTCTCTTTATCTTTATCTCTTTATAAGAATTGAACAGGTTGTTTTTATTGCTGTGCCTCATGTGCCTTAAGACACTAGAAATTACCTTTGTTCTGACTGGCTGCTCTGTGTTGCACCTTCTTCAAAAAGAACTTAGTGGTGCAACACTGCTTAGAACTTCGATATGGGTGGGTGGTGCTGAACTGCTGTAGGCTGGACAGGTGGATACATGTAAATGAGTTGGTTCTTATGACATCACAGAAACAATGAATTCAAAACTGGCTGTTTTTGCAGCACAGTTACCATATATGGACTGGTTAATGAATGGTATGTTTTGAACTTAGACAATGTTTACATTTTACTTTACAGGGAGATAAATTTGGTTTCTATGATATGGGCTCTTTAACACTATAGAGCACTACAGAGTGCTTTTGTATGAAAAGGTTTTTTTTTTTTTATTTATTTTTAGTAATTGACATTGTCAATGACTATTGTTGCAGCCCTAACATACCTTTGCACCATTCTATATAGGCCCTTAAAACAGTACATTTCGGTGATGTGAACAGTGAGTTTTGCATGTTCTTGTAAGAAATAACCACCTCTCCCATACACAGCTTTAAATTTTCTTTAAAAATCAGCCACTCCCACAGTGCTCCAGTAGACAGCAGTACTATCATGAGCAGCACCTCTTAATATGTCTCCACTTCTGCTCATCTTGTTTTCAGCTTGTTCACAAACCTCCTCCTCCTTCTTCTCATCACTTAAGCATCCAGCACGGCCCATATCATTTTCACCAACAGCCTGAGAATCACCGTTTCCCTTAGCACAAGGGTCAGACACCGACTTGACAGAGCCAACATAGATCAGGTCACTCCCAGTACTGCTGCAATCACTCGAGTCAGGCACACAGGTAACACTGCCACTATATCGCTTTCGGTGCATTAGGCTGGGTCTTGTTAGTTTAGGTTTCCCCTCCTCAGTCATTTCAGCATCATGGACACTCTCTGAAGTGTTGGAGCTCAGGGAGATAATGGAGGGAGAGGTCTCAGTGGTTGTGTCCTCTGAGGATGATATATGATCTAAAGACGAGGAAGATGAAGAAGTGGTGGACGATGCAGGCATGGTGGTGTTGAGTGATGTCATGGAGGAATCCTGAGACGAAGTGAGGTAATACCATACACCTCTTATTCCATCACTACTGTTGCTGGTGGTATAACTACACGCACTTCCACTGTAAGCACTAAGAGAAGATTCCAGGCCCCCTGGCTCTGAAGAAGAAGCAGTTACATTGCTGATGCTGCCACATGTCTCAAGGAAGACATCATCACTGAGTGTAACAGAACCCATTGCTGATGTCATTACATTTACAGAGGATGAAGAGCATGTTACGGGTGACGAGAAGTATGGCCCAGACTGTACTGGTGTTCCTGACAGAATATTGGAGCAGCTTGGTGGGCTCAGGACTGAACTGGACGACTCTATGACGTGGCTGACCAGCTCACTTAAGGTCTGAGATGGTGTGGAGTGGATGAGGGAGAAAGAAGAGGGCACAAGCCCGTCTGAGGGATTCCGGTCCACATCAGCCCGCTCAACTTCCACAGAGCTTGGGCAGCTCACAGAAGACCATGCCAATTGCCTTCTCTCCCATGGATGTGCCGGACCTTAACACATGTCATCTAAATAGTTGTTATTTATATAGAGCCACAGGTAATCTAACAACAGTGATTATTCACTAAGTGAATAGGTGGTAATGGCCAGCAGTAACCATGCATCCAAGGCTAAGACAGTCTTTCACATTCTCCTGACTGTGGTCGAAGTTTCCAACCCTGGTCGTAGAGTAGCCTTGCCCATCACATTAGTGTTCTCTCTTTTCCTGACAAACCTGATCCAACTAATCAGCCAATTAACATGGGCTGTGATCTGATGACGAGAAAACACGTGGGGACAACTCACTAAACTTACGGTGGTGTAATTTGCTGAATTCTGCTGCCAACAAAGGAACGCCCTCTTTAAAATCCACCCCAAAATTCCTCTAGTCCATGTTTTTTTTTAAATTCACAATCAATAACAAACAAAACAAGCTAGCTAGAGAAATGCTACTGTTGGCTAACAATGCTTTTTTCTTTTGCAGGAGGTAATGTTTACTTTTACTGCATGTAATGTCTTCTCATGTAATGTGTTATCTACATGCTTAACAAAGTTTTAGGGAAGATTCTTAAGTCATGCTAACTTATGTTACATCCATGGGTTAGCCACACAATAAGCTTGTAGTGCATTGAAAAAAGTTAAAGGCACCATCGCTCCCTACTCTGAGCTCCACCTTCACAAGTTTGACTGGATTCGAAATTTCTCTCTCAGTTTGTTTCCACCCTACTAAGTCTGCATTCCCACCAACATTTTGCCAAAAAAAAATCAAATAAATAATAATCTCAGTTGTCCCCAGACGTTTTCATAACCAGATCAGGTCTGGGCCCACAAGACTACTACTTAACAAGCCTTTCTTGAGTAAGCTGCAACGAGTGTGTGAGATCAGGGAAAACACTAAAATGTGCAGGGTAGCGTACATACTCCAGAACTTGTGGACTAAGGAAAGTTTCTACACACTCAAGTCCTTAAGTGCCCTTCTGGAACGTACCTGATAAGCTTATGCAAGACAAGCTCAACTCTGATGTTGCCCCAGTCATGTCATCCTGTAGACAAGCAACAAGACACATTATGAGTTCCACTCTTAAGGCACATTCTAACATTTTACAGATACAGGAAGATGCAATCCATAATGATTGTGGTAGCTTGATAAAATCTATGAAATCTTCACTGGCAGTCAAAAAGAACTGCTCACATTCACATCATTCACTAATGTTAGCAAATGTATTGATGTGTTTATCCTGTGTGTTAACTTAAAGGAGACAAAAACCAAAACAAATCATGGATATTCCAGCAAGGCAATGCAAAATACCACACAGCATGTTAAGTAAAATTTAGGCATGTATTAAACCCAGCAAAATCTTGTTGGGCTATGTTGGCAAATGTGTGAATGCTAAGGCTAATGACACACCGCACTCACTAAAGACAGCCATCAGGGTAGATGTTTAGTATAAGACAAATTATAATAAATGTTAGGACAAATTCTATGCATTGGAATTTTGGCAACAATGTGTAAACCGACTAATAATTAGTAATAATTTACATAGAGATCTTGTAAGAATTGCTCATAAACATTACAGATGTCACGCAGTAACAGAACTTCACAGACAGAGTACTGTGCAAAAGTTGGAGACGCCTGAGAAACTTAGAATTATAATGCACTTCAGTTGCGCAGTAAACATTTAGTTGCTCAGATCAAACAGTAATGTTAGTATAAACAGTGTGCAGTAATTTTACATGTCAAAGTGTTTGTTCACCATTTCCAAACCTCTCCTTGTGGAACCCAGTGTTACTAATTTAAACTCGTCACTTTTTGTTGTTAAAGTCACTTTGTACTGTATTTATGTTTATTCGCATTTACTCTAAAATATTCAGTGTTTTTACAAGTAAAAACACAAAATTGTTTTTCAACAATGTGCTTAGGTTCCCAAGATGTTTGCACAGTACTGTATGTCAGGAAATCGCATTCCGTCCTAACAGGACTTGAGATTAGACACTAGGACAATTAGGCTAATCAGCATTCTCTTACCAACATCTTTTGCAGAGATCTGGGCTCATCCCCATCTCTCAGCCCACTGCCCTCATCTTGGCAGCTAACAGCATGGCCAAGGTGAATCAACTCTTCACCGAGGTCCACAATCTTGCAGGCACACAGTGAGAGAGAAAAGCAGTTTTCATATCAGTAAGATTAGAATGGCTACAGCTCACTAGGATGTTGAGCTGTGAGTATAAGTGTTGTAATGCCAGTGCTCAGACCTTTCCCTGTCTGTTATCATACAGCTTCACACTTGGCCAGGAGGACATCTCTGAGTGAGAGTAACTGCACAGTTTGGCCAGTAAAGGCTTCCACTCTGCACAGTATGTCATTCGATCAAAGTCATCCAGAGCCTCCTCTGTCCAGACCTCTCCTGCAACAAGGATCAGTAATAAAAAATTAGATTTAAATTTGAATATTGATATTTAGCTTTACATAACTGCAATTTTGATTTCATAAACATTAAGACAAGTGCTCACCTGCAGGATGCACTCCTGCCAGACTACATTCTATGGCTTGAAATGGCAAGCTTAAGAAATCACTCCTAGAGAAAAACAGTGAGAAGTTAAAATGTCTCAGCACAATTTAGTACAAACAGAACATTTCAAGTGTTATGATGTCACTCACTGACCTCATGCTGCGTAGCTGATCTCGTGGCAGCTCTCCATTGTCCCCAAAGTCTACATAGTACAGGTCAACCAGACCAGAGCCCAGGATCCCCAGCACTCGCGCCCGGTTCCATGTGCCATAGTCCCGATAAGGAGCAGCTACAATGTCCCCTACAACTATAGCCTCCACTCTGTGCTCCTGTGCAGTATGAACAACAGTTTCTAAATCATGTGTCAAGCATGTTTTTCTACAGATGTTGCAAGAGGATGATTCATATGCTGTGTGGCATACAAAGTAATAAGAAATTAATTGGTCTCACATGCAACGTGTCGCCATTATAGAAACGGCTCATCTCAGTGGTCAATTTGTCCAGCTGAAGTGATCGGACACCTACGATCTGGATCCAGAAGTGTTGGGGATTTTCTGATGCGGACACATATACTTCAAAATGCTCACCAGGCTGGAAGCTGAGATCTGGACTGGGAACTGGCAAGAGGAAGCAGAGTAACTTGAATTCAGGACAGATACCACAACATTCTCCCTGCACACATCAGGATACACAGAGAAGTGCTCTGGTCATTAAGGTAGCTTAAACTTTACTGAAATATAGTCAGAAAAAAATCTCTATATCTTAGAGCAGAGCATTTTGGTCATTTCAGCAGTTGATAATTGTGTAAAAGATTATTATTCCAGATAGTTATTCCATTCTAGCTCACATCTTTTTTTCTACATGTGTTCAGCCTCTTTTGCCAATGACTATGGTTTCTTCTTTCAGTCATAAATCAGTTCAGGTCACTGCTTTTCCTGCCAGAGCACATAAAACTAGCAGGTAGCCTGTACTATGTAGTTTCACAGGGGAAAATACATCACTCAGGTTGAAGAGCATATAAGTTCATAAATTAAACATGTAAATGAAAAAAGGCTAGTTTTTAATATTTGTATGCAACTGACATATCTACATAGTATTGTAATTGATAAACTGTATTTGTAATAGCTGAGTGCAATCAATTTTTCTTATTTGTGCTTTATAGCCAGTGTCTTCCCACCAAAGTATATATCAAATCTGTGTGCAAGTTGCTTTAGGTGATGTTCTGTTAAGTTTTACATATTTGACCACGAACTTACTTTCAAATTTTGAGACTTCTAATGGGGACAGAGGTGACAGAATGTCATCCTCTGATTTAAGGGAATTTTCCGCTGTTTGGTCACCACTGCTTGCAAACCCATTGGAGCCACTGGTCTGAAGAAGCCTCACTTCAGACAGAGGGGACAGCAGATCCTCTCCATTTATTTTTTGCATGAGCTCACTCTCTGGGCCCTGAGTTTTGTGGACTAGCTCCAGTTCTGGGGGTTTCCTTTTCTGCCGCAGAGCTGAGGACTGACTTATACGCTTCCGTACAGTCTCGCTTTCCAGCACCTTCTCCATGATCAGCTCCTAATGGAAGCAGAACAGGGCCAATCTTTCAGACTACCTCATAAATTAATTAAAATGTGCTGAAGTGTGTTCTCTGTAGAGGATGTGGAAACTTATGTTCACTTAGAAAATCAACAAAACATTTTATTTGACCTAGGACACTCTTTTACATACAACCAAGAGTATGATAACAGTTCAGTGAAGGAAGCATAAATGCAATATCTTCGGTGTGATTATGCCTACTGTCTAGACTTCTGTTGTTCATTATATCACATAACAATGTCCTCACCTTTGCACGCTGTACTTCTTGACGTGTTCCCATGATTGTGACCTTGCCCTTCTCCTCTATGCTGCGGCCACGGTCCCGTGAACAATTCACCCGAGCTCCTGATGTCCGGTTAATTAACTTCAGTGTCTCACCCCCACGACCTGTTGCACCAAAAGGATTTTTTGTTTATTTATTCCAGCCATTTTTTTAAAACAATGTCTACAGAAGAGGCAGAAGTCAAATAATTAAATAATAAATCTCACGAAAACTTGGACAATGCCACTGCACTGCTTCAGAAAACAGACAATGTAATACCTATAATTCGCCCAAAAGCAGTCTGTGGCACATCAATCACATCAGAGATAACCTCAGAGTCATTGGCCAGTTTCTCCAGAGCAAACTTAGCTAAGAGAATCTGTTCAGCTGTGCCCTGGAGCAGGAAGCAGACAGAGCTCTGATCCTCCCCATCCGGCAGCACATTCACTTGAGCCCCAGACTTCTGATTCACCTATACAAAAAAAAACAAAAAAAAACTAACCATTAGAACACATGACTCAGGCTCATGTGAGAACCAGAGCACAGCACAGTGTACTGCTCTCTCTCATTAAACACACCTGATTTAAATCATAAGCTAATTAGCAAGGCCTTCATGAGATGAATTCAGAGTGTTAGAAGAGGGAAAATGCTAATCTCTGCAGAGCTGTGGCCTTCCAGGAACAATGTGTGTTCCTGTGTAGTGTTTCTTGAGTACTATTTGTACAGGATTAGTTTTACATAGGGAGGTGGGGTAATGTAACCATTGCTGGTGTATTTTAATGATTTCAGCACCTATCACTTACTAGAACCATAGAAATAACCCCAAGTTCTATTAGTCCCATTGCCATGTTGGTAAATATTCCATCATATCCTGTGGAAAAGGAGTTTTGTGGTATTTTTTTTTGGTATGGTGAATTTCTTACTTCTCTAGTACTTCTCTGTGCACTCCTCTAACAGCAGCAGAGCTCGGCCATCACATTTTAGTGAGTTTTTTTTCCCCTCCTGACTTAGTAATGGTACTTCATTTAGTTTTAACAAAAAGTCTTACCGCAGCTTTAGGTTGTAACACTCCTAACATGAAAAATGACACAAAAAAGTGATGCAGTGATGTTGACTGTTGGCTGTAAATTTCCAAGCAAATGGCAGTGCTAATGTCATACTGCATTCACTTAAGACAACTAGGAAGATGATTTGGCTAAACGAAATTTCAATTAATTGAAATGCTCTGACGTGTTTTTTACTTGTAAACAGCAGAACATTTTGTTTGTGCAACTTTATTGTTGTGTTGGCAGTGTGTAAATCTAGCAGCCACTCCCATCTGTGCAATTCATACCAAGATTTCTTATCTTGTGTGAATCGGTCTTCAACATTACAGATGTCCTGTGGTAAAAATTTCATTAGCACACCTCCTCAAGTTGCTGTTGTGAAGTGACTTGGTTTGAAAAATGTGCTATACAACTTCAACTCTTCAACATCAGCATCATCCTTATTACTATAATTATTATTATTATTATTATTATTATTATTATTATTATTGTTAAATCTGTTAAGGACAACAAGGTAAACCCAGCCAAGGAATCCAAACCATGCCTTGCTTGGTAGATAAAATGGCCCTAAAATACAAAAAATACCTGCTACTTACATACATAAAAAACACTCACAGTGATAAGAGTCATGAAATGCAAACACTTACCAGGTCCAGGAAGGTGCTCTGATGCCTTGCAATAGATCTGTACACATCAAGGGGCATAGAAAGCCTGGACTGCTCTGTTCTTTGGCGTTCTGCTACAGAGTGAAAAAAAGAAACCGACAGTTATTACTGGACAGCATTATCACAACTCAAACCAAATAAGTTATGGCTGGCTGGCCTATGAAGGACAGTAAGTTATAGCCACTGACACTGAGGTCCAATGTGTAGATAGACATCAACAGTGAGCTGGAGTCATCACATCATTCCACGATCACAATGAAAGCAGTTAAACGTCTCTTACCACTGCAGTTCCTAATGTGACGGTAAACGATGTAACCCACTGTGGCTCCCACAGACAGGCCTGCAGCCAGAGCAACTTTCTTTCCTGAGCTCAGGCTCTTCCACGGCCCCTCTCGTACCGCTGCCATCAGCTGTGCTGAGCCAAGGGCCTGACCCCACCTGGAAAAACAAAGATTACATAAAGTGCTTATTAATTTAACATAGCAAAATTTCACTAAAGGACTGTTCATATCAGTTTGCGCCATGTATTGTCTGACATGGGCCTCTGAAACTGTGCCATGCAAGTAAGAATGAAAGCATGAACGCGTAAAAACATGTCATGGGCAAATGTGGAAACAGCAGTAGTATTTTATCATTTTCTAAAGCTTTTGTTTTAATAAAAGATTGTTCAGTAACTGCCATTTAGGCTGTTTTTTGTAGCCTAAATGGCACTTGTTTACCCTTTGCTGAAAATGAAAGGTACAAAACGTTACAAGGGAACTCCTGTGCTGGCAGTACAAAACTGCATAATATCAGAAAAACAACCACAGAACAAACACAACAACTTGGTTGTTTTGGCTTAGGCCTCAATTCATGCGGGTAAAGCTCTTTGGGAATCCACTTGGGCTCATACCTTAATGCTGCCACTACACAAGCTCTAATGTCTGCCTTTTCTTAAAGCACAGGCTAATTTTACACACATAGAACATTCAATAAACAAGAGAGGCTTTGTTATATTAGATTAGCTACTTAAAATTACAAGCATACAGCAAAGTGGTTTAAATGGCTTTGCTGTCCCACTCCCCCATAGCATAATGTATGGGGTCATGGAGCTCTCACACACTTAAAGCACTTAAAGACTCACACCATGCAAAATGGTTCTCACTGTGAGAGGAGGGCTGTAGGACTGTAGCTGAGAAGCACATGGGACTTAGAAACTCCACCGTCCATCTCAGTTCTCTTAATCTGCTCTCCCTCTCTTGAGCAACAAAAACATGTACAAATGTAACACAATTAGCTACACGGGGATCACAGAAACCGAGGATGTGGTGTAACAAATTTTCAATATCACATGAACGGGAAAGTTATATTTTTAATAACGGGAATGAAATGTTAGTACACTAACAGCTAAAACAGAATTAAACATTTCTTCCGGCTCATAATTAAATCAGTAAGATATAAACAGTCATTCAGAGTGGTTTAATGTAAAGTATTCTATTCTATATAAACACACAAGCTTAAATGACCTGTATAGTAGATATCACGACCCCAGGTTACTATGACCAGTGTAAAGACAACCAAATCGGTGAGTATCTCTGCAACAACCATTTCACATCTAAGTACTCTGACTGACTTCACATCAACACTTGGAATATGCAGAAATTTTGAAATATCGGTGTAATTCCCCTTTAACTAGAAGCGAATCCGTCTTCTTACGTGTACGCACCGCTGTTTAGGACAGACTAATGTCTCTGCAGCGAAGAGCGCTGGAGCAGACTGGACAAACCTCATGCATCCTCTTTTACAAACTAGGTTACCGTTAGTTCACCTGAAAATCCTCAGTTCTCTAAGCAGGAGTTACATCTCATTTTACCAGCTGACCCGACTACGGCTGAACTTAGTAGCGTATCTAGGTCGTGCTAACTAGCTGCTTTCTTTAAACTACATATTGAAAAGGAACCGTGTACTTGTGCTGAGCTTCCACCAAAAAGTAAACAACTAACGTAAAAATTAACGTTTGCAAAATACGGCTGACAGCTGTTAGTGTGAAAGTAAAGCAAGCTACGTTAGCTGTTGGCTAGCTTCTCGTCTTGTGAAGCAGGCAGAGCTAGGCTCCTGTGCTCCACTGCGAGCCAGCAGACAGAAAAAAAACAAACCAGTGTTGTTAGTTAGCGATGCACCAGCCTCAGGAAGGTCACACCAGTGTCCAGCAACAGCTGTAGCCAAACACGGCCGGGCGGAGTAGTCATTAAAGGACTGTAGCTAGCTGGCTAGCAAACACTGTTTACAACCACAAATACCTGCCTCCATCATCGTTTACCTACTGAACGCGAATGAAGATGCAAAGCGGGTCTTCCGAGCGAGCTCCAGCAACACCAACACGCCTTCTAACCGTGAGTCAAACCAACGTGCTCGCTATCTCTGCAGCAGCAGTGTCCGACTGACCGAATCCTTCGTGTTGAACCGATTCTCTTCAATACATCGTTTGAACTGATTAAAACCTTTGTATAGCAGCCTTTGCGTCAGTATTATAGGCGTAAGACCTCTGAAAAAGTTTTAATAATAATGTTTTATAACTCTTCCTTTTCTGATAAATCACATACTAATAACGACCTTTTTTAATTTGTTTCCCTGTATCAGTTTCCCTTTTCATGCTGTGTTTCATACATTGTGCATCGTGAGGTTGACTCCATTAGTGTGCAGACGAAGCGACATCTCATTACTCAGGGAGGAAGTGAGAATAAAATGAAATCAGAAATCAAATGAATCGGACACATGGAAATATTGACTCGTGAATCGAGGCATGGAAATATTCAGTTCAAAAGAATCGGTTCGACAAACTGAATCGCACTTACTATTACGACTATGTCGGGTGTGCGGTTCGCTATGAAAGCAACATTTCATTGGCCGCGGTCTGGAAGGTCAGTCACCTGCTACAGCCAATCACGACCAGGGCTGCTGTATTTTTTTTAAGAAAAGCCCACCGCCTGAGAGCGCCCACTGCTGGAGGTCTTGCAATCGTATCAAATCTCTGGTACTCTCAGCTGTGTGGTGTAGCTACGGTACGTCATAGAAACAGGCCGTTACTGATGATTAGAGACGGTTAGCAGGGCAAAGAAGAAAATCCTGGGCCTGTATTCATGAAGTTTCTCAAAGTACGAGGGTCAGAGGTCTCTCATATTTACAATGATCTTACTGACAGGAATAAAGCCCTGACCAACACTAGCTCTCTGAGAAACTTTATGAGTACAGGCCCTGGTCATTTAAACATCTAGCCACTGATCAGCTGAAATGCAAAACATCTTCAAAATTATACACTGTATGTCCAAAAAATTGTATGCATCTTTTCATCCAAAAATGAAGGGTATTAATTGGGAGTCTGACAACCTTTGCTGCAGTAACAGCCTCTACTCCTCTGGGAAAACTTCACACTAGATGTTGGAACATTGCTGTGAGGATTTGATGGCATTTAGCCATAAGAGCATTAGTGAGGTCAGCTACTGATGTTGGATGGTTGTGTCTGGATCATGAGCTCCACTTCAACTCATACCAAAGGTTTTCGATGATGCTCCATCACTCCTGACAGCTCAGTTCCACAGCTCCACTGCACAATGCTAGGGGGCTTTATACCCCTGCAGCTGACACCTGGCATCAGGCATGGTGATCTTAGGCTCGTGCGGCTGTATTCCACTCTATCAGTAACACATTTTTATAGAAATTATACTGTGCCTGTAATTAGAAGGGGAGCCAACATACTGTTGGATATATAGTGAACCACAATTTCAACCACCTCCATTAACTACTAACATAGATATGATACAATGCATTAAAAGGTTTTAATTTTTTATATTTATTAACAAATTGGCTCACAAATCATTTGGAAAAAAAGACATCTTAAAAAAATACAAAATGTACAACATTTATACATTTCGTGAACATTCATAAATAGCAAAATTCTTAATAGTAGTTGGCGTAAACCAATACAGGTTTTGTTCTGATCGTTTATTTGCACAAATATGTGTGTACAGTGGAGAGTTGATAGGGCAGGATAAGGCTGATATGAATGGCGGAAGCACCAGCAACACCTGCAGTCCATGCAAGATTGAGTTAACATACTCAGAAGAGGACAAAACTCTAAACAATGTCTTTGCATTCGTAATGTCTTTTATCATGCATATATCTCAGCAAAAAAATATATTCAATAAAACTTTAAAAATAACTTGGATATTATCATTTTTTATATCTGTACAAAAGAAAAAAATAAGCTGCTCAATCGTTACACGTTTTAAGCTGATAATATAGTACTGTACATACGGAACTGATCAGTGCTTTTCAACAAACTTCTCCCATTTACTCTGATATGTCACCTTTTGCAACTTTTATACCAGCACTAAAGCACCTGTTAGAAACTCACTCTGTCATTGGGTCGCCCTGCCATGCCGGATTTAATGGTTGCGTATGCAACACAGCCCAAACTGCCCTGAGGTGGACATTCAACACAGTGCTAAAAATATAGCACAAGGGCTTCAAAAACATTCTGTGTATGTGCTGCATGAACCACCTTCAAGGTTAGAATTAAAATGCAGGGTGATAACTGAAATATGCACAATTATGTAAAGCTACAATATTGTGAACATGAGATTCTCCTCAGGCTGCCTTCATGTGTGTAAAAAAGTCCTTTTTTAATATGATTAATAAAAAGATGTGACACGAAATAAATAAATAAATATCAAATGCAAGGACTATTATTGAAAAGACTACAAGGATCAAGTCAGGTATAATCAACAGGAACAGGTACTTACAATATCATTTCCACAGTAACAGTTGCTTATTGAACATGAAAAGAATAAGGGCAGAAACAATTCCCCCAGGAAACTGCAGTGACTCTCTCTAAATGGATCCAGAGAGAGAGAGCGAGAAAGAGAGCGAACATTAGAAGTACATGGAAAAGACAAAATGGGTTAGACAGGGCAAACTGAAGGAAGGTTTTGGTGAGCTCACTGCACTAAAGCAGGAGTATTCTACAGTGAGCCACTCATTCAAGCCTTACAGTTTCCAATAGTTCATTATTAGTGAGTTTCAGTCTATACAAAAGCCCAACTGGCCTTCAAAAGGACATAGCAGTGTTCTTGCGAAGGAGACATTGTAATTTCAAGAATAGCATATTGATCGTAGTCAAAGCAGTAGAATCCCCTGTATTAAGATTAAAACAAAAATTGAATAAAATTGAGGCAATCGGCAAGAGGTAGAATAGCCCTCCCCTCCCGAAGTAAAATGTAATCTACACTTCAGTATTCTAGATATTTAAAATAGTGATCCAGCCCCAGCTGTGTGATGAGAAAGCAGGCAAGCATTACGGTCTTATCAAAGCATGCACGTGTATGTAAAATATTCGGCCTATTCTGGCTGACATTCACATATGTAAACAACACGGGTCAAATTTAGACAACACAGAGCATGTCAAAATATTAAGTCAGATGGAGCTGGAAGAATTTTTTTTTTTCTATTTGAATAAGCCCTCTTTGATTTTATCTCCTAAGAGCTAATAGTCCAGCTGCATATACTATAAAAATAAACCATGCCTACTAATTATTACTTGTACACTTTTTCCACAGCCGAATTTCCAGCAAACATATTACCAAACAATAATATAAGAATGCTTTGTCTGGAAAGAAGCAAAACCAAAATGTTTTAAGCCATTTTCTGGTTAATATTAAGAATACTGGTAGTCAACATCAGCCACCAAAAGCTGATAAAAAGGCTGACATACTCCATCTATGTTCCACAACATCTAACTAGATTCCCTTCTGCGTTGAGCTGAGATGAACACATAGGTGGCATCACACTTCGCTGGAATAAATACCTTCAGTACCTCCAGTACCAGGATCTAGATGATGATGTATAGGGCTTCAAACTTGTCTAAGTGAGAGGAAGGATTTCTAATTTCTAAGTTCTCACTAAAGAAAAGAACAGTTTTAGTTGTTCTAGGCATTCAGTATCTACAACCTCTTTGACGGCCTATTTAATTTAGTTTTTAAAAATAATTTAATTCCCATATGTTCCTCTCACCAGGAAGTCTGTAACGGAACGTCATTCCTTTCTGTGAGTGCAAAAATGTTTCCCCTGCAAACACTGGACGTGAGGTATTTTGAAGGACATACAAATATGCTTTCACATTCAAATCTTTTAGATGCGTGCTACAAAAGGCTCCTCAGTGTTTAGTGATGCAAGCAAGACAGTAAATAGGAAATTAACTGTAAAAAAACTGCTTGACTAACCAGGTGTTAACCAGACTAAATTCCAACTCTGAATAACATCGCCCAGCAAGAGATCCAGCACTGCTACCACAATGATGTAATCTAGATCTCAATGTGAAATACTATCTTGCTTTAGTAGGTAAAGTGATTAGAAGGATGTATGATAATGGTGCAGGAACAATCTTAATCATTTTACCGTCTTGTGGATGACTCTTGTGAACTTCATGACCCTCTCCCTTCCCACTCAGTTACGGTTTTCCCTTGTTCAAATGCAAATAAACGGTGAAGCTAAATAGAAAAAGAAAATATGAAGAAAATCTTAAATTAAATGCTATTGTGGGAAATCACAGTGGACAGATGCTGTCCTCAGTATTTTGGCGGCTTCGAGGAGGGTCAGTGTTGGAGTCAGGCACTGAGCACTCTTCTGAAGACTGTGGAGGAAAGTGACCCCTCCCTCCACTGCTGGTCATCAGTGGGAACCATGAGCTTATATCACAACAGTCCCATGTTCTAGCAGCTCAGAAAGGAGAGTTCATTCCCAGCTTAGTCTCAAACTGCAGCTTCTGTCGTTTCTGGTAACGCACACGTACCCTGAAATGACAACACAAATAATACTCTCTGAAAGCTGTTACGTTTGTACAACTGTTAAAAGTCATTGTTGCAGAGACTGAACCATATGTGGTAGCTAATGAGTCTGCCTTTCCCTCTTGTTCCAAGTGTATCTTACCTGATCTCATGTAGCTTGACAGCCTCATTAATCAGCACCACCAACATAGTGGACAGTGACACCAGCAGCCAGACCACCTTGGGCACATCACTCAAAGTAAACACCAGCCTTCTGTCCTGCCATAGCTGATAATCTACTGTAGCCTGCACCACCTGACCCAGCAACCTGAGAGAGATGATGAAGACATGGAATGAAAGATGGCATGAGGCTCAGCTATCCACTAAGATTGCACACTTTAATGTATGATATTTAGTTTCACTTCTATAGCTAATGAAAGTTGTTGGGTCCACATCACAGAAAAAAATTAATGCTTTTTGAATGATATAATAATAAAATATAATGATAATAATGATATAATAATGAAATAATGGGGTAACCAATCAGAACAGGTTATGTACATATATTAGTCTTAAAGGGACAGTAACAAAAGCAGCCTGTTGAATTCTAAGGGATAATGAGAGGTTGGAAAATGCTGATGTAAAAATGAATTGCAACTGTTTGTGGTAGATAAATCCACATAAATGTCATAAGAGTACCTCAGAGGAAAAAATTATATACAAAAAAGGCAGGATGAGTCCTTTCTTATGTTCACCTTTTAAATAACAGCTTTCATAGTGAAACACTTACACAACAGGCACAGTGAGACACCACCATGTGTTGCTGAAGGGGTTCTTCCTCCACAATGGCTGAGAACGGTGCACATAGCTGAGAGAGATCACCACTGGGAAAGGTGAGAGAGAAAGTGTGTACACAAGACAGTAATTTGACTGCTGCACCACTGATACACACTAACAGCAAGTAATTTACATCTGTAGATAAGGAACATTTATTTTTAAGACTCTGAAAGTAGCTATGGGCATTTAAATCATTCTTGCTATTCAAATATCAGCATTTTTGAACAAATAGTATTTGAATATCCCTACAAGAGCAGGGCGAGTTCAACACTATATGGCCAAAATATACCTTCGTAATTATTGAGTTCAGGTGTTTGGCCACACCCACTGCTAAGAGGTGAATAAAAGCAAGCACATGCAATTACAATAGACAAACACTGTCTGTAAGAGCTATTATTGTGAAATTAAAGCATCTAAGCAACAGCAGCTCAGCCACAAAGTTGTAGACCATGCAAAATCATAGCACGGGGCCACTGAGTGCTGAGGAAAAAAAAACAAAAAAAAACACCTAACTTCTGTTGCATCACTTACTATAGACTTTCTAACTGCCTCTGGAAGCAACATCAGCACAAGAACTGTGTGTCAGGAGCTCCATGAAATTCCATGTTTTCATGTTTGCGCAGCTGCACACAAGCCTAAAATCACTAAGCGCAATGTCAAGCGTCAGCTGCAGTGGTTTATACAACAGTTAGTTCTGGCCACGCAAGCTGATTGGCTGAGAAGCGTTCTTTTTTCACAAACACTATATCACTCTGGTGAGACACCGTTGCTAAGCAACGACTTTGACAGCTGCAGGAGACATTCATGCCATTTGATTGTTTTCACTTCTTACTTTGCACACAAACAAAAAATGGATATTTTTAAGATCACATTTGACCTACAGCCAATTTGGTCAGACTCTGAAGATGAGACTACACTAAATTCCAAAACTGTCATTACAACTGAGCAAGCTTTTCAGTGGGCAGCTGTGACAGAAGAACACCTAAACAACATGGAATTAGACAGAAATTAAACGAATACCATTTGCCAAACAAAATGGGCAGTAAAATGCTTTACAGACTGGCTGTAACAAAAAAACACTAATACTGATCTAGCAAAAATGACAAAACTGAGCTAAACTTGATATTGCGGCAGTTTTATGGCTCAGTCTGTACTTCAAAAGACGAGGCTTACAGCACACTTTGCAGAAAGTGAGTTCGTTACTCGGACGTAGCAACAAGCTGCTTGTTAAGGAACTATAATTTGGCGGAAGGAATTGCTAACATTAAAACATATTAAATACCACGTTCATGGCCCAATTTATTTGTGTCTTACTTTATTTATTTAACTGTTGTATAAAAGCAATAGAACACTCAAGGTCGTATTGTTATTTCGCAATAACACACTCCCTCTCATGTTCTATTGCTCAAGTAAGGCACGCTGCTACTGGACTCTGGAGCTGGGGAGCAACTCCATTAAAATGCCCATAGTGTTGGAATGGAATGTCCAATAAGCTCATATAAATATGATGGTCAAGTATCCACACACTTTTGGTCATATAGTGCATAATTATCATACGCAGCTAGCATAAGATCCCTATTTGGTCATCTAGGTAGTGATTTACCTTTGGGTACATGACTAAACACAGGACTAAACATAACAAAAGCAAACAGACAGAATGCTGATCCACACAAACTGTGCAACTTGCACTACGCATTTCTTATCCTTTTTTATTTGAAATATTTCTATATATAGCTTCATTTAAATGGCGGTATTAAGCTCTGCTATCAGCAGCTTGTGTCCAAGCATTCTCTAAGGGTATTACTTCCATATGCACTCAAAAACTGAATTAAAATTAAAGTTAATAAACATCTACATCTTTTTTAAATTCCAAACAACACATTCTTTTCAAGTCAAATGCCTGATTAAGCAAACAAATACTTAAATAAGTTTAGATATCCGTATATTTGAATAACCAAACTTCATGCTGCTTATTGTGAGTACAGTGAGGCATCGCAGATACTGAAAGCTGGTCTTACCAGTATGCAGAGCCAAGAAGCCTGCCATGACTTTCTGGACCAGCAGCAGACCATTAGATAACTCATCAAACCACTTTGGAGCATCTTCATATGAGCTGCAATCAGGTGCAAACAGGTGATCAAATGAGTTATCAATAAAAACTGTCTGATTATGAAAAGGTGCAGTGCCTACAGTGTGTACCTAGGAGTGAAGATGTTGGAGCAGTTAATGGCACTGCCATCAGCTCTGCTGATGTTAGCAGCTCTGCTGACGTTAAGAGCTCTAGCACACACTTCCTGCAGAGAGAAGCCGAAGCCCAGCAGGTAGGCACACATTGTCAGACCAAACTTGAGCAAGAACCAGCCCAGAAAGTACTGCTGAGTCTGGGGGGGAGATAAGAAAAAAAATACATTTTACATTCTTAATCTGGATCCTAACATAATTACTAGTCATTATGGCACCGACACACACACAAAAAAACCTGTGCCCACAGGTATCACGTTAGAGAATGGGATGCGCAATTAGATGCTGTGTTTGTGCCTTTTGACATGACTCATGACCAACCTTCCGTGGAATGGCATCCAGATTTTTTCCAGTGGGAACTGTCATCACAGAGCTGTCTGGAGGCTTCCCCAGTAAGGACACACTGTGAGACATGGGCATATGCACTTGAAAATCAATAGGACATAATAGGATGGTAACCTCTGTGTGCATGCGTGAATGCGTGCATGATGGGTGAGACTGTAAGACAGATACTTTTTGTCTCTCCTACCTCAGCAGTGGGTAACAGAAACAGGAAAGCCACAGAATGTCTGTTATGTTCATTGGAGGGGGAAGCTGAGTAAGACAGGCCAAGAACTATAAGAAGGGAGAGGAAAAAAAAATATATTTCATATTAAGCTTATTAACCAAATACATATTGAGCAGTCAAAACATTTTTGCAGGCATTCTAATAAAAGTATAGCACCCCAAGCAAAAATACATACGATTGATATAGATTTCTGTGACAGTTTGGGGGCAATACAGCCAAAATCACAACATATGTAATTTTATATCATGGTAACGGTATATATCATCACAATGTACTTCATTTTAATACTTTTAATCTGGAAATGTGATGGTGTGGGATAGTCTCAGAAAATGTGGTTTCATGGTTTTCCACACTAAGGTGTATTTAATGGAGGAAAAAAAACAAAACAAAAAGATCAAGCATGGCACGTTCAATAATTTAAAAAATAATTTATAGTGTAACGTTGCCTACTTAGAAATTTATAACTGTATAGTGTGCAAATGGAAATATTCGGAGAAGTCAGAGCCCTTGGAACTTTGTCAATGACTGTCAGCAAGTGTGTCTAGCCAGGGCTAGTGAATGGACAGTGAAAACTAACCAATTCTCATTTTTAGATATCCAAAATGATCCCACACTGCCAGATTAAGGTGCTTTTTGGGTGTGTATAAAGCTGCGATGTCCTATCCCACTATCAGCTTTTTGTACACTTGTAATGTATTAAATGTGATGTGTGATGTGTTAAATAACTACACCACTACCTGTGTAACCCGTTTTAACAGTGTTATTACAAAATGTGTTGTCTTTAACTTAACACATCAGTGTGTCTATTAAAGACAGAATGAATTGTTTTTTTAATCACATCTGTTTTAAGAATGTACACTAACACCTCATGACAATTGCTTGGTGATCTGCAAAAGAGCATTCTGCGAGCACACACAAGCAACTCCACATGAAAATGTTACTGTAGCTTCTAAATTCCTCCTAGTTTGGAAATCGTGACTTTTCGTGATCATGGTCAATAGTGAAACTGGTTAAAAACATGGACATAATGTAAAGCAGTCCCTCCTACTCAATTTGAGATGAACTGCACTGTTTGTGAACATTAACCACATAGCCGAATGATGCCAGCTACTGCAGTAAAGGGCCACATCTCCACCAGTGCACAAACTCTTACCATGGCAAGGCATATACACAGTCATACAGCCCAACCCTTATTCAGAATGTATTATTAAGACAGTGGCACATCAGGTGTGTCACCTGCGCTCACCTGAATGATGACCAAGGTGAGCTGGCACTGCAGCAGGAAAAGGAAGCACTTGCGAATCCCAGAAGTGGTGTGCCTGGCCTATATACAAAACATGAACACACATCAACCTTCACTCAATTTTTAATTTTACTTTGTCGATTTCATATAATAATTTGTTGACAAAAATAATCTTGTATAAGCATGCTGGAATTCTAAGCCTGATCATGTTTTTGTTTTTTTTTGTAAAAAAGGAACAATGTGAATGTGTTTCTGGGTGGGTAAGTGTGTCACTGCCCTATAAATGTGAACACAGCATGCTTCATTTTGTAGAATAATTTTGTAGAGTCAGTGTTCGATACCTGCTCTATGAGTTTAACCATGCTGACGCTCTCGCCATGGTGGAAGGAGACGGAGCAGCCGAGGCTGTTAAGGCGAGCGCTGAGGCTCAGCGGGGAAAGCTCCTCCCGCTCCTCACCCACCCCACAGCCAGCTGCGTAACCAAACGTCTCCCACGAGCACCGTGATGGGTACAGAGGGTCCAGAGAGATACTGCACCCAAACACAAACACACTTGACGTTATGTATATGATGCTACACATTATTCATCAATATAGAGCAGAAGTAGCACGTTGGCCCACCTGAGGTTACTTTGCAGAAATAGGCAGCTATTGCGGAAGTTAGCCGAGCTCCCTAAACAACACGTCACCTCTCTATTCTCCTGCATAATTTTCATCATCTCGCACATGGCTGCAATTCACATACACGCACACAGACAAACATGGAGTGTTTTTATCTATTTTCCATACAGCTCATAATCAGTTCATTTTAAAATGAATCCAACTGGCTGTGGCAGGAGATCTATATTCTTCCTGCTATAATAAACAGGTCACAGGCGCAGGTCACAGCCAGCACCAGAGACTCACTTTCAGGTGTGCAGTCTGTGAAAAGGGGCACTAGCAGAGGCACATTGTCAATGTTCTTCAGGTGAGGGCGGACCTGGTGAATACCACGAGGCAGCTTGGCCTACAAACAAAGAGAAATATAAAAGAAGGATTCACTCTCTGATGTGGTTAAATTCTTAGAAGGCATTGGACACAAGAAGAGTTACTCTGTTGCAGTCCTCCAGAAAGCTGGGCACATCACTGTCTGTGGGCTGAAAGCTGGCAAGATCTGACTGGCCTTCATCTTCAGGAAGTAAAGGGCCCTCAGCATCATCTCGAGAATCTGCACAGACAGACAGCAAAGCAAAGTCTGATACTCAATTAATATACACGCACGCAAACACAGTTTCATGCGAAGGTGAAGGAGAAAGAACCGAATCAGAGTCACAGCAATTCTCTACACAAACCATAGTGTGTATATTCACTGCATTTAATCTGAACACTTCCCAACAACTACAAATAACTAAAAGGTTGGTTAAAAAGATCAAAAAGCAGCAACATTTAATGTTAAACTGAGCTCATCATTATTAGGTATTAAACGAATAAGGGGTACCTATGATGTATTTTACCCACTGGTCTAATACATGATGGTGAGAATAAGATAAATCTAATAATAGTGGATTACTCATATTTAGGTGATTCCTGACTTAATTTAAGTGGGGTTCGAATGACTTAATACCAGTAAAAGTTGCACAGACAGACACAGATGCCAATGTACACAAGTGCACACATGCATAAACAAAACAGCTTACCCTGCAGTAGGTCATCATGTACAGAGCCAGCCTGGCTGGGACTGGATGGAGCTCCATCACCATGGCCATCTCCATTAGGGGTAAGAGAGATATGACAGTTCCAACCCGTTTCCAAACCCATTTTCTCTGCAAACACCTAGCACACAAACACAATTTTTTCCCCACATATAGCAGCACCAAAATGTTAGAATATGTACCAGTCCACATAGCGTCACATTTATTTTAACGTATATAAGAAAAAAATCACTGTATTAGGGCTGCAAATCTTTAAATGATTTCTATAACTGATGAAACTATCAACTCCTATTCAGTTAACTGACTAATTAAATTATTTTGTCTTGTTCTTTTCTCTCCCTTTGACACATAAAGTCAAATCAATTCTTTTTAAATCAACTCACTGACTCAGTTAAGTAACTGTTGTAGTCTTGCATTGAGAGGTACTTGGCTTGCCAGTTTGACAGTACCTTACTGCGTAGCTCGTCTTCTCTGGAGAAGTAGACGAAGCGAATGCACGCTCCCACCAGGTTCTCAATGAGCCGCACTGTATCTAGACGTGCCTGAAACTGTGATGACACCATGCCCATGAAGATTTGCCCACTCAGGGCCTGAACACAGTCCTCCTTCTCCAAGACCTCTCCAATGCCCTCTGAAACACATGCAGACATGCACAGACAGTAAACAGAGATGATTTACTGAATGTGAATGAGGGCATGGCTAACCAGCATTTTTCAACCGCTAACCCAAAACTCATGCGCATATCATGTGAAGTCGTTTTAAACCCAAGCTACTTATGGTAATCATGCAAAGGTGTTCCAACAACCTTACAGACATAGATCTACAACTGACTGATAATCTAAAACATTCCATCATGTTTTATTTTCAGCGCATTAGTATGACTTGTGTGGTGAACCCCATTTTGCATTACTTAAGTTAATTTGTGGTTGAACAGGAGGTTAGTAACATAAGATGACCCTCAAGTGGAAATCAGATGAATTAAGTCTGCAAATTTCATGCAAAAGGGAAGGGGAGAGGATTGAATCTTAGTCTCTTTCCATCTTGCTCACCGTCCGAACTCCAGCTGTTGCGGCGGCTGCTGTGTTTGATGGGCGTGGTGCTGGGCAGATCCACTCCAGAGAAGAGTGTAGGGCCTGGGGCCAGCTCCACACATTTCCCATTTAGTTGGTTGGACAGCACCACCTGCATGGGCTTATAGGCAAAGGCAGAGCAGTAGCCTGATAAACAGGCACGCTGGTAGAAATCCAGAACCTTCTTCCTGTGGAGAAGGAAATACTCACTTTACTGCATAAGACAATGCAACATTGCGTGTACTGTGTTCGCTAGGTTTGGGCAATATTGATTTTAGGGGGGAAAAAAAACGGCATAAATAACATTGATTGGAAAGGCTGGTGTCATTTTGTCATAATGTCAAATCTAAAAACTAAATTCTAAAAAATACCAGACTGACCAGCAGAGCATGCATGTGCATGTATCTGACCTGTCAGAGCCAGAGAGTGGGTAGATGTCTGTGCCGTCCCAGAAGTCTGTGCAGGCCTCTAAGATGAGGTCAGCCGAGCCGTGGGAGAGCATCTGCACATTGTCTGAAAAGAGTTCAAAAGGTTAATGACTGTGCAAACCAACAAGCATAAACAGGAAACAGGCAGTGACAAGCTGAGGGTCTCTCACTGGTGGTACTGTCCCGGACTAGAAGGCTGATCAGGTGGCTGATGGGTGGCTGGCGTTTGGTGAAGTGGTGCGGGCGACGTGGAGCCGACTCTCTGGCCTTTTCTCCACAAGGCAGCTGGTACAGGGCCAGGTGGTTCTCCTGCTTGAAGAGTTCTCTCGCTCCAGGAGTAAAACCTTAACAAAGGCACCAGGACACAGTGGCACTGTGTCAAGTGAGAAATCCTTTTGCATACATTATGAATGCAGCTGAGAAACTGAGGCAAATACATATATTTATCTCAACATAAACATATTTACAGGGTCCTTAAAGTTTGACATAATTGCACCAAAATCTAGAACAGGGATCAGTAATTCTGGTTCACAGAACAGTTTGGTGATTTCCTTACTCAAACACCTATACTAAACTTGGTTATTAGCTGAGTTAAATCAGGTGAGCTTGAGCAGCTAAATGTAGCCCTCAAGAACTGAAAATGAAGGCTCCTGATCTAGTGACGATTAGGAAGTTCATCAACCTTCAATGTGGTTCTGAACCAGCTGCTGCATTATTATAAAAATGTGTAGGTTAAGAGTGTGCCTCATGCTCACCTATGAGCCTGGAGAGCTCGCAGAGACCCCAGGGCACATGCACAGGTAGCACAGCGCCATGGCTCTCCTGCAGGGCCAGGTTGGACAGGTGGTCTGAGAAGCGGCACAGCTGTTGGGTGACTGTAGCATTGCATAGGTTCAGCATGATGTTGAGGCCCAGCGGCTTCAGTGAGGATAGGTGGCCCTGCCAACCGGAGTCATCAAACTGGATACTCACAGGGTTCTGCTGGTCCTGAGACAGACTCAGCATCTCCAAGTGATAGTCACAAACAAAGTCCTCAGCTTCACACAGACCATCAATACCGCAGAGCTGAAAAAAATAACACACATGCACACATGCAACTGGAAGTTAAGAATCAATGCCAAAGCTTATTCCATGAATATCACCCAGGCTATGTTTACACTGCAGGTAAAAGCGGCCCAAATCTGATCTTCACATGTGTCTGATAGAAGTGATGTTAAAAAAAATCATGTAAACGATGAGAAAAAAAAAAAAACTGGATTTGGGCAATAGATTGGATTAAGACCACATTTATATGCAGCCTAAACATAACTTATGTGCTTTTTGAAATTATGTACTTCATACAAAGTTGCATTCTCTGTATGAAGCACTTACTCTATAGATTTAAGCTGAGAAATTTAACACTCTACACCGCAAAGCAGGGCACAAAGGTGTGTAAGGGTGTGTGTGGTGAAGTATACTGGCATTCTGGTTTTGTTTGCGGTACCTGAGTGCTTTCCTCTTCACCCCCCTCCGTATCATGGCTAAAGCTGACATTGGAACCGGACGGGTGCTTGGAACGTGTACTCTGGGGGCCCCGACGTGTACGATGTATGTCGCGGACTGTGTCATGTGACATCTCACTGGGATCTGGCTCATTGGTTTGATGTAGTGAGGGTTCAAAGGCAGGAACACTGAGGAGAGCTTCCACTTCCAGAACCTACGGACAAGAAAGTGCCCAGAGAGGCACAAGTAGAACACCATCATTAGGAAGTGCAAATTGGGAAGTGCTGCAAACACAGCAAATTCAACATATTCATTACATGACCACAACAGAGAAGCAACCTTTAATTTACTCTGAAAATCTCATGGTCACTATGCTGACTATGCCATACTCTGGACTCATACTACTTGTTGAATGCACTTCAAGTAGAAAGGTTTGCTGTTTTACAGGTATAATTACAATATGAATGAATTAAACTGAAATCATGTTCATTTTTTGCTTGTAATTTGAATCTTGGCTCAGTTTTGTAGGGGAACTGTGACCACATGCTTCTTTACCTCATCGCGGTCCTCCTCTCCTTCCAGACGACAGAAAGAGTTGATGGACAGGTCATCTCTCAGGTCATCCTGGCTGTCGCGGGGCTGCTCGACGCGCCCGCTGAAGAAGAGCACAGTCTCTGGGCTGGGGTTGGGCCAGGACAGTAGACCCTGCTTATCCACACAGCACAGCACCTACAGCAATGACATACAGGCTGACACAGTCAGGACAGGAACTGGAGTTATAAGCCTACCAGTCTGCCTTACTTTACATTAAACTGTAATCACTGGAAAAATATTTCATTCATCTTCACTGAGCACTCTTCATTCATCTTTGTCAATAGGTATTTGCACCACAGAATGGTTCGATCTGTTAAGTTAAAAAAATTAAAAGTCCCTGACACACTCCACCTGTGTAAGTCAATGATGAATACTAGGGAATCAGCAGATGCTTTCTCCAAACATGTGACCGGCAAGAAGCAAATTCATTTATTTCTTTTTCTGGCCGAATTGTGCAGCAATATTATGACTTTACATTACACATTTATGCTATTTACTCTGTATTTGAATGCTGGTGCAACACACATTAAACAAAATAATTATGTATGACGCTTTGTACTAAATAGCTAGTTGCCTTTTACTTACGAAGCAGCACTTTGTTTGATACATGTTATTTAAATTGATTTTTCTTTTACAAACTGAAAATCCCAGCCTGGCCCATTAGCAAATAATGTTATTAACACTGCAACCTAATAGAAAGTAATGAAAATGTGCTAGTTTGTTAGTGTGTTCAATTAGCTCCGCCACGGCATGAACTTTGGGTTTAAAACACCCGCCACACATCAGTTTGGCTGTAAAGAGCAGGATCTGGCATAAAAATCTATTACTGTACATCGAAAAAAAAAAATCTCAAGAATACCCCACCCCGAGTTGTTTTTTACGTTCAGAATTTCATTAGATAAAATACATCTAAAAAAAAACAACTAATATATAGCCATATTTCAGATAATTATACTTGTCCAGATATAATTTTATATTGTGTATGCGTGTGTCAGCGTGAGAGAGTGGAAGGAACGTACCGTCACTGAACCTAGATTGTGCAGGAGACTGGAGGTGCAACACAGTGTCCGAGACTCTCCTTTCAGAACACCTTGCAGGTGTCTCCACACACAGCGCAGCATCTCCTACACACATATACACACACATAAACAAAGTCAGTCAGAGTTAAGTCACCTGTCCCAGGAGATACTCAGCTGTGTATCATAAAGTTTGGTTTTGGGATTGCTCTGCAAAACCATCTGCAGAGTGGAATTTACAACTTCCCACCCCTTCTGAAGTCATACAGAATATACACACGTCCACACACACAGCAAAAATAATATCTTGGCGACTGAAATCATCTGAAATCTAGTCATGTATTTTATCTAGTGCAATTACCTTATTCCACTCACAGATAATGTTGCTGGTGTCAAGATATATTCTTACAACAATCTGATCACAAGAAACATTGGGTAAATTAACTAGATTTTATATTTCACTTGTCAAGATGATATATTTTTTGCAGGGTAGGTAAGTCAGGGACAGTCCAGTTATGGGTTATACTCTCGTTCAGATGCAGAGCTTTTAGACTTGGATCAAACTACCCTGTCCTATTCCATGTCTATCAAGTTAAATTCACCTGGGACTAACGGAAGCATGTATATGCATATATATATATATATATATATATATACACACACACACACACACACACACACACATACACACATACACACTCTATATATAACTATAGTCAAACCCTTGCACAGCTTGAAACAAGAGAATGAACTGGACACCCAAATACATTAAAAAAAAAAAATCTCACTATATAAGCCAGACAATCTGGTTCATCATGCAATCCATTTTTTTCAACACTCTTTACCATTTACATTGGGTCAGATAATGTGACAATAGAGAGCTCATTCCAGGAAGCACAGGCTAACAGTTAGAGCAATATGTTCTATCATGCAGGCGATAGACATTGCATGGATGCAGGCAGGCACAGGTTGGGGGACTGTATGACTGGTGCAGGACTGGCAAGAGGGAAGCCAATACAAGAAGCCAAAAATAAACAACTAAATTATGCTTAAAAAGCCACACACCTGATAGGACCTCTAAACCTTAATACAGCCATATCAGTCCAGCAAGATTGAAATAGACACAGTAAACACTACAGTTTAAGGGTCTGTAGTGTTTACTGTGTCTATTTGTGTGAGGTTTTAAAAAAAAAAACAGTAGAAGTGCCAGTGTGTATTATAAAATAGCGATCTATGCGTATTTGAGAAGTGACAGCTTAGAATAAAAGGGATTAAATAATTAATAATGATGACTATATGGTGGTGGTGTGTACAGAGTAGGGGGGGGGTCACGTGCAGTGTGTGAGGAACGAGGGAGACAAATACAGAGGATGTACCTGGGAGGACACCACTTCCGTGTAGCTGCTTAGAGTGTCCTCAGAGAACTTAGCCAGCTGGGATGAGAGAAGAGGTGAATTAAGACCCCTTTTCTGCTCTTCAGGAACACGTGATTCCGGCCTAGCGCTCGCTTACAGCTGAACACATAAGCTCACACTCAGCACTGTGCAGGTTAACTCACAAGCCAAACGTATTGCACACAGGGCGTGTTACTGAGTAGCAGGATGATGAGATTTTTGAGGGGAAGTTGAGCAATGTGGGCTGTGTAATAATGCATGTGTATGTATGTATTAATGCACCCTTGCTAAATATGTGGAAAACATAAGGGGTGGGAAAAGTAATCAGCTTGTTGATGTTTCTCAATTTTCTCTTGAAAGATCTTGAAATAATTTATAAAATGTCACAAATGGATTTTTACATTTTTGCTGTAAAATAAGTTCTAAAGTAAGTTTTACTACTACTGATGTTTTCATACTTTTTACACTTTATTTATATTTTAGCACAATCTGGCTTGAAGAAGAAAACAAACGCATCATTAATACATGCATCTTTGCAGTCACAAACGGGGCACTATTTTTCTGAAATTACTGAATGACTAACTTAATAATACCACTGTGCTACTGATAAGTCCTCTGATTAAGTAGTTTCAACAAAAAAACAAACAAAAAAAACAAAAAAAACAATAAAGTTAAAAAAATTGCTGGAATATCCCAGAATTACTTCATGTTTGGACTCCTGTTTTAGCCTATTACCTTACAGCGCTCTATATGGCAGGGGTTTTTGTTTTTAAATGAAATATTTCATCATCGTTTCTCAAGTAAAATGAACGCTACACTGTAGACAATGTGACACAAAGAACTAAAATATTATGTAAAAATGTAGGGTTTTTTTTTTTTTCCATTTTTTAGACTTAGTAAAACAGGCCAGTAGACCTAAGTTTGCAGAGTGTAGGATAAGTTCAAATTCAACTACACAAACACTATTGGTAACACTACAAATACAGCAAAATAAATCATAATGAAGAACATAGAAATGAAAAAAAATTGAGATGCATTGAGAATTGCTTTATAATAACCTTGGCATCCTGAATTGAAATTGAACTCAAATCATGACATGCCTATTGGATTCCCAACCCTAGAAGGCTTGTTGTGAAGGTGTCCAGTTGAAGTCAATGAATCAAAGCAGTAAAACGGGCTCACCAAGCCTGTTGGAGAGTTGCGGCTGGATTCGGCTAACACACGTGCCTCTCCATAAGCGATGACCAGGACCCACATGACTGGAAATAGCAGAGGTAGGATAGGTAGCACTCCCATCATCTACACAAACAGAGGATGATAGACACAATATCCATCATACAAAGACCATAAACTACTAACTAATTACCTAAGACTGCCTTCAAAATTTTTCAAAATTTCTGCATAATAAAACAATTAAGTAATATATATATATATATGATATGTATGTATATATATATATATAAAAACACTGTTATTCAGAGTGGTTTGATGTGAAATGTTCCATTCTAGATAATTTTCAAATTCAACTACACAACACTATTGGTAACACTACAAATACAGCAAAATAAATCATAATGAAGGCTATAGAAACAAAGAAAATTGAGATGCATTGAGAATTGCTTTATAATAGGATAGGAACCAGGTCTCTTAAGAGGTTAATGCCTCTAAAAGCTACCGCACAGAAAGGGATTACAGCTTTTTACAGGTAATTTTTTTAGGTAGAACTGAAGAAACTTTTTACAGTGTAGCTAAAACAGTAATAATACAATACAGCATCATGCCATAAATCTGCATTGTATAGTTTATTTTCATTTTGGACTAATGATAGATGATAGCAGATGTTAACAAAAAATGCATTTCCTCCAGGTAATGAAAACATACACAAGTGCAATTTTTATTTTTAAAAATTAAAAAAAAATTACATTCATTTCTCTTCTCCTAGCAAGGTACTCTACTCTTGCTACAGAGTCAGAATTAACACACTGCCTATGGTGAGAGATATTTACAGTGGTATCTGGTAAAATAAATTAAAATGGTTATAGATATATAAATAAATAAAAGTTAAGTGAAATTACATGTGCTTTATTTTCTGCACTTTTCTCATTATAATTGTACAAAGATTAAACATACTGTTGTTTCCCAAATATTAGAAAAAACTCAAATTGCATTAAAATAAAAATAAAGTACACCAAAATAAAGTACTCTCTCACATATACATATATATACATATATATATATATATATATATACATATACATATATATATATATATATATATATATATATATATATTTGTAGAAATAATTAATATCCATTATTTTTTCGAGGTCATACTACATGATGTACAAAAGTGGCAACTACATGCCAGCCGTTAAAAAGGTTCATTTTTCCCAAATTTCAGAGAGACTTACAAATCTGTTTGCTGCTTCCATGGGTCCTTGGCAAATTGCTACATGATGCAATTTCCTGTTTTTTGAGATGATTTTAGCATAAACGTCCCAGAGTGGTTGTTTCTTGATGGTTACACCACATGATATTTCATAAAATCGACATCATCGGACAAAGTTTGTTTGTATATAATGATGGAAATAAAATTAGAAATGCTTTGCAGTTTTGAACAGGACGACAAAACATTTTGGAAATCATGCCAAATGGGATAAAAAAATAAAAATGAATAGATTTAGAGTAATTTCAAAGAAGTTTTCAAAACAGCAGTCATGGCCGGACGGTCGCACCACATATTTTGACCCTTTAAGTAACAGGAAAATTACAATTAACTAATATTTTTTAAAAAGTTAAAGTGAGTAGATATGTGGGAAAAGTACTACACATATATAGTACCTTTATATGCATTTAAACCTTTTTTAAACTGAAAAAAATGCTGTCGGACAAAAAATTTAGGCATCACGTCACTGACCCATAAACCAACTGAACTGAACCAGATCTACTTCCTCAACTTTCAGTTCTTTAGCATGTCAACCAGTGGGCTGCAGAAACGTTTGTGGTCAGCTGTGAGGACCGTGAGTTAAAAAGGGTTAGTCAACCACTGCTCTATTTGTTTTGGACAGTAAACGAAATGGTTATATATCGAAACGCATGGTTCCTATCACCACCACTATAGAAAAATAAGAGCCAGTTAAGTTTCCCTACAACTAACTATTCAATATCAAAATACTCCTAATAACTTTATTTATATATCAACCATTTAATTATGCATATATTAATAAATTGGAGGAATTCCTCTTTAAGGAAAATTAAGTTCTGAACTACTAATGAACTTCCTCAGTTTGAGGAGTCTTACCTGCAGCTGAAGGAAGTTGAACTGAGCTGGAGTGAGACTGGGAGTGTCAAAAAAGTAGCGAATTGTATTCACAGTAAAAAATGCCACCTAGGAAACAGTAATTAAACAAAGCAAGAATCGACACAACACATTAAAAGGCAAACATTTTTAGAAAAATTGCTGTCCATGATTTCCGTATTTTAAAAAAAATAACAACAAAGTTGACATACCAGCACTGCTGGGCAAGCAAACTTAGCTATGATAGACTGCACTGTGAACCGTTCATTATCAAGAGCTGTGACCGGCCGAGACAGAGCGAGATCAAGACTATTCCTACAAAGAAGAGATTGCATTGTGTCAGAGATCATATCTCTATTTTCTACTATGCAGATGTTTAGCGAATATGAATGAAACAGACAAGGCAAAAACATATTTCAACAGAAAAATCATTTCTGAGGATTACTGTGCATTACCTGACATTGTCAAGTATAGGGGTGTGGACCACCCTGAAGAGGCGGAACTGCTGGGGGCTGTGAGGGCCCCTCCTATCATTCCCACGAGGGGAGGGAGGAGGTGAGAAGGGTGGAAACAGGTCTCCAGGCTCCAGCACAATGTGTTCATCATCCTGGAGGCAGATGTGTCACAGTAGCAGAGACAGGGAGGGTTAGCACAAAAATTCAAAATTCAGAAATTCAACAATAACCTTGAATGCCCGGAAATCTTCAAGTATATTTTGTTTGAAACTGACACTCAGACAAAATAAGCACTCTAACACAAACAGGACTGAGGTAAAAAAAATAATAATAAAAGCATCAAACAACATAAAACAACCTTAATGCCTCTGAGCGAGGCGAATGCCTCTTGGCCTGGTCTCAGAGCAATGATATCACCCTCCACCAACAGACTGACAGGTAGATTAACCAGCTGCTCATCACGATATGTCCAGTGCAGGGACCAGGATGGAGAGGAAGGTGTGTACAGGTCAGGGTATCGAGAAGGGGCCCATCTGATTGGCTGTCCTCTGCTTCCTTCCAAATAAGCTGATAAACAAGTAATACAATGCCAGAACTTCTGTACTTTGAATGTTTCCAAGTAAACGAGAAAACCTCAGTAGTATGACATGTACATGGATTTTGTGGTGGCATGTATTACGATGACTCTTTACAAAAACAAAGAAAGAGGTGTACCTAAAATTAAACATGCAATATAAAATGCCAGGTCAAAACAAAAAGGGTTTCCCCCTCACCATTCAGTTCTGAAATGATGGACTTCAGCCGCCGCACCATCTCACTCCTCTTCAGTCTCTGCTGACGTCCAACTAGGAGGAGGTTGAGCAGCAGCAGGAGGAAGAGGGCTCCTGCATTCACCAGTTCGATGCCTTGACTGACCCAAGAGAAGTATTACAAGTTATGTAATATAGAGCCTGCGTGAGCAAAGACCTGATTATCTTTCAGTTTTTCCCCCAGCAACTTGTCTTTTTCTCAAGATATTCATTCTGTAAAAACTAAGGTTGTCTCTCTAGTATAAGCATTTTCAAATGAGTTGAGCAGCGTGGGGACAAGTGGGTTATGATGTTTTTTGTTTTTCCATGAGAACAGAATTAAATGATGGCCATTCTAGACCACAAAAGGAAAGTATGCCATTTCTGCCTCATTGCTGATGCTCCTGCATGCACAAAAGGCAGTTATGCTTACTCCATTTGAAAAAGTGCATTTTTCAAATCACAAGAGCTGCAATTTTAATTATTCATTGTTGTCTTAACAAGGTTTAAAGTTGGGGAATTTAACATAATGACACAAAGCTTGACAACCTCAATATATGTCAGAAAATTGCAGTAAGATATTCTACCCGAATTACTCAGCCCTACAAATACCCACCTTTGTCACTTGTGCCCCAACCGTGTTGCATATGTTATAAAACAAGTTTACTTTAGCCTAATTGGTGCTATTCATAGTTCACTGTGTTTAATGGCACAGCATGAGGTAGGCTAACAATAGGCTAACCACAGTTAAAGTAACGCATATATACAAGGCTCAAAGTTTTATTATACATTTCTACAGCCTAAGAATAGCTCAACCAGTTTACACTGAAGTTCCTGTAGTTACTGAATAATAAGCCTTAGGGGGTTACATACTGAAATATTAGACAAACATTAAAAGGGTTGCATGACTGCATTTGCCCTAATTATTTTATTATTTTTCTATTTACCATCTCACGGCAGTATGCAACAGCGTAGGCCTACACTTTTTCATTCTTCAAGCGAAATATTACTGTTTATTTTACTTAATATAAGAATCAGTACACTGATTAAAAGTGGACCAAAAGCTTAAGGACTTTAGGACTTCTAAGAGTACTTTATGTCTTGTTGCACCTTATAGAATATTTGGTGGGCATCAGAACAATGTTACCTCTAAAATGTAAAAAACCCCATGGGAACCCCTGCTATAATGCCCCCAACCCCATGCTATACTGGAAGGAACTGGAACTGGAAGGTTCAAGGAATGAACATGTGCTGGAACAGATCTAGTGTATTCCAGATTGCACTGCAAATCAAGCCAACCAACAACAAAAACAATGAGCTGTAGTTTGTTTACATGTGACATCTCAAATTTTCCAAAAGCGTTGTGTGTTCTAGTAAATATAGATAAATACAGTCTCCTGCTCAGGTAAAATGACTTTTGTTCCAACGACAGTAATTCACTATGTGTAATGCCCTAAAGACATATCCTCAACTCACCTGCCTGATGGCTGACTGCCATGGCAACAGAGCAAACCAACCACTACGAGCAACGTGAGGGCAGCTCCAGGCCAATGAAAACATGAATGGCGGTCCTCTTGGTGAAGGAAGCTCTTAGCCCACAGCTCCTGCAACGATACACAATCAAATTTAGATTAACCAAACGTTCCACAACATTTGCACCAATAAGAGACAGAGAGTTAGAGACAATGACCCAATAAGCCACATGGTGTGTGCTGAGGCTTACCAACCTGTATAGTGGATCTGCGCTGGCTGAGCTTCTGGTGTTGCTCCAGCAGGCTGGAGAGCTGGTCCCGGAGGGTCTCCAGAGCCTGTGCTGTGGAGAGTCCCAGTGGAGTTGCTCCTTCCTCCTAAAATAAAGGGCCAGTTCATTCACATTAATCAGTCAATAGAACTCTAAACACTGCAAAGCCATCAAATGCCTCTGCATTTTATGCCACTGGGATGCATGATAATATACAAATTATATCTGCATCAGCAGACATTTGCTTTTAAACAAATATAAGCATCAAACAGATGTTCAGATTTGACAGATATTTCAAATCCAATATTTGATGACATATTAATTGCACTCCAAAACAGCAGCATGTTTAGGAGTCACTGAATTTCTGCACTAAAATGTCAGTGCTCTATTCATTTTGCTGCATTTGTAACCCTCTACATGAAAGTGTTAATCCAGGAAGATGTGAAGTCATATTAAAGTTTATGTGCCCTAGTCAAATTACGTTTTGTTAAATTTTCTATGTACACACCTTCTATAGAGAACACACTTCTACACTTTTCAATGCACAATCACTGTTTTTTTTTACACTAAACTCAGCAAATAAATATGAATTATGCACTATGATTTGCAGAAAAATGCCATTTTTAAGGTTGTTCCCAGTAGAGGATGTATGCACAATTTCACTATTCAGAAATGCCTAATAAGACCAAAAAGAAGAGAGAAAATTCCCACACTATCCCCCTGTTTCTTCCAGTGCTATCTTAGTCTGACTCCCATTTGTGCAGCAGCCAGACTCCACGCAAAAGACAAGAGCTGCACGGCTATAAATAAACCCAGCAGTTTCCCACAGCCAGAGACCGAGGAAGACTATGCTAAACCCCCAGTGAGCCTCCATACAGAGGGAGGGCCTACACACATCCACATGCAATGGCTCACCACCTACTAACTTGCCATCTGTCTCACTCATGGACCTACAGATACTAAACCATCAAAAAGGAATTCCATAACTCTGCGTTACGGTCATAACTACAAAATAACAAACAATGCGCAAAAGGCAGCAAGCTTTAACAAATAAACATAACAGGCGAATAACAACCTGCAGCTCTTTCAGAGAATGCCAGCATGCTAGCACTGCTGCTAACAGTCTACTCACACCATCCTTCCAGAACCAGGTTCCATCTTTCAGGATCATGACAGAGTCCTTGTGTTCGACACAGAGACTGTTAGTCAGACACGATAGTGTGTGTTCAGTGTATATGGGTGGGTGGGTCAGGACAGTGTGGTGGACAAAGTGGGGGCTGCTGGATAATGTATGCTGCTGTTTCAGCATCCAGCCGGTCAGTCCAGCCACCACGGCTCTGTCCCCAGCGCATTCAGTCTCTCTAGCACAGCTTGCCAACAAAATGCACAGCATGCCAGTCCTGGCTGCTCAGTACAGACAGACTGTGGAAGACCTTCTTTTTTGTGAATAATATTGTGCTAGCGTAAAGGAATGGTTCACCGGAAAATCTAACTCAGGCAGTTTTGTTCTCACCACAGATGCAGATGCTGGTAATCAGTCAAGAGAAGCTTGGTGTCCAAAAAAGTGCTCATGTGTCTAAAGTTTAGTGCTAAAATTGAGCAAAAAATTAATTATTCTAATACGTAATACAAGTCTATGCCTTCTGCTGTATTACTATATTAGTCTTGTAGTGCCATTGCAAAACCAAAGAAACGTCAGACACTAAAAATATCTTAATTGATCGATTAGGTTTGCTTAGAAAAGCGTATTGTGACATTGTGATGAATTACGTCACAATATAACGATAAATATTGTCTTCTTGCCCAACCTTACGTGAAACCACTTACAGTACAATGTTTGGTAGACGAGAATGAAGAATGTGGTTTTTCATGGCCAGCTCACCACAGACAAGCCACTACTGTGCATTACCAAAGATGTTCTGCTGCCACTAATTCACAGAGTGAGGCAAACCTTCGCCTGAGGACATGCAGGAGTCGGTGGTGGGGCGCTTTTAAGTGAAAGAATTACTGTGTTAAGAGGGGGATGGATGGGCTGCAAGAGGGGGCGAGCAAAAGAAAGACTCTGACAGGCCAGCAAAAGCATGCCCCAACCCCTCCGTTTAGCGGGCATTCATCTATTTCAGCAAGCACAGCACTTTTCTATCTCAACAGCAGCGGTGGGGGCTGGAACAAGAGAAATGGACAGAAAGTATCCTCAGTGACCCTCCTGTCCCAGACACCGCGCCACAGCTCCACCTCTAACGCCAGGCCTCACCTCTATCTGTTCTCACAGCGCAGAAATCAATAGCAGCATAGAGGAGTGCCCTGTAGAGGATTTCAGTAACAAAGCTGAGACACACACACAGCTGTATCAGGATTTCAAGGACAAAGTCAAAATAGCACAGTTTTATTTTGTCTACACTCTGCAGAGTAACAGTCACACCTCATATGACTCCAGTGTTACAGTTCTACTACAACAGTTATAAAAGCTCCACAAATCAACTTCTCTGCCATTGAGCTTGCTATAATGCTTGCAGTGTCAAAGAGACTAACAAAGTGTAAAATTTACTTAACCTCTAAGACTTCCATCTTCACACAGAAAAAGGCAGCTGCTATGACTCCATCTAAGGTGTTAATTATTAAAGAAAATAGTGAAAACAGAAAGAATCATAAACAGGCGTAAAAGGTGAGCAGACAGCTCCGCTGAGAGCTCGTCAAGTACAAATGTTAGCATTTCAGTATCTCTTGACCCAGTTGTGAAATAGCCTCCGGTTCAACAAACCTGAACTTCCGACAGACCTTTAGAACCAGAGGATAAATACGGTGAAGAGGAACAAGTGAAATAAATGATTTAGCTTTAATTCACTGCTGCTTAATGTACACAAATCAGAAACAAAGTGTAAGAATTTAAATTCATTTTCACAATGATCATACACTGTAGAGCAGTTTTTTTAAAACATGGACCAAAGGATCATCACTAGCCTATCATATATAAAATCCAGATCTCTCTTGTATATATATTCTTCATATTAATTTATTATCCTACCTAATCTGCTACATGAAAATACATAAGTTTAACTTAACTTATACGACTACCGAGAAGTCCTATCAGAATTTCACTGATCGATTTTGCAGCAATATTGGCACCTTGGTTGTTTACTGGGCAGGAGGGGTTTGCAATGAAATTGTAGAGACTTGTGATTATTTTGAGCCTTACATATTACTTTAAGCTGTTCTGAATGCAGCTAAGTTAGTTTCTGATCAATCAAGGAAGAAACAAGTTGGAAATTAAAGAGGAATAAGAACACAGACATATGGGGAAATGAGAACCATACTTCTACTGTCATTTATTCAGGAAAAATTAGGAAAAGAAACTAAAGTGTTCTAAAACATATTTTGGTAGAACATCCAGTAGCAATATGTGACTCTGAGCTATGCCTGAACAACACCTAAAAATATTTATTATTATTATTATTAAGAATAATTTTCTTATTGCTAATAAATATATAAAATATTGGGATGATACATTAAAATATCCACCGCAAAAACACTCGCGTGGTTCACACAACACATGTTCCACAAATGATGCATGTTTACAATAACAGAAAGCACTTGCATGATTTACATATTTAATGCAGAAATAATGCAGTGATTGGACAAAATTGCAAGTCCTTGCAAATATTGCAAAGCTTGGAGGGACTGATGGAGTCAACCTGTATCACTTTTTTCATCTCTTCTTCTTTTGATTCGTTGGTTTAACTGTGCCCCAGTCTGAACTGAACCAAATCAGGCCATTCTCTGTAAACAGTGCCAAACTATAAATTGGATTCTGGGAGCAGATTAAACGTACTGTGTCATCTTGATAGTGATGGTGAATTACAATCAAAATGAAGTGCTATAAAACCACAACCAATTTTGTGGTGGCTTTGGTGGAGGTATGTGTGAAGGGGGGCACTAACACCTAGCCACACTGATTAAAAACACATTCCGGAGCAGCATGGACGTGATGAATAAGCAACATCACTACAAGACACATTTTACCGTCACAGAATTTCATATTTACAAGCAGCCCCTCTTATTTGCCAAAAAAGTATTTTTAAGCCAATGGTCTAAATCCACAAGTCACAAATTTAAATGTCCACTATATTGAGAAGCTGAATGTTTGTAGATCACTGAAGGATTGCAAGCTGTAAAAGCAGAAGTGCTGTGGAGAACAGACCATTCAAGAAGACTGTGGGAACAGCCAGCATACCAAGTCCACAAAAAACACATCCATTCTCAAAGTGAAAGCAGTGCAGCAACTCACCTGCTTTTTATCTTGCAGCTCCATGGCAGCCCCTGCCTCTCACCATGCTCCGTGAGGAGGCGCGGCGCTGGTTGACAGGGGCGTCCCCCGTCCTGACACAGGCCCAGACCGAGGATGGCAAGTGCGTCCCCTGGCCCCCAGACACTAATCCTTTCAGCACTGCCAGTGTGAGATAAGCCTCGATACCTAGACTCAGAGCAACAGCGTGTATGCAAGCTGCTGGAAGTGACGGTCAATGCAAACAGACCGATTCCTCTTCCAATACAGTTCTGGATGATTAGTCTGGATGACTCTCCTGGGATAAGGAAATTAACCTGAAGAAAAAAAATGAAAAGAATAGAATGACAGCAGTTTAACGTTATTGTATGTAGCAGCTTACACAATACTAAAACTGTACAATTTCATAAAGCTACTCTTTAGTACTGGAAGCAATCTGAGGTCACATAACAGTTCCAACACTCAGAGGGCGTACTCTGATCATGTTTGTAAATATCCTTTCAGATCCTTTACAGCCAAGAGGAGTGAACAATAACTGACTCAAAATACCCAGTAATACAGATGTGCACACATGCTCTCCTCAAGCTCCCTCTGGGACCAGCTTAGGTTCACCTTAGGGGTTGGGGAACTGAGGGCCAGAGTCAATGCCAATGTGGGTAATCAGGAGAGTCAGGAGAATTCCTAGTGGGCCGGTAGCGATCTGCACCAGTTACTGTGAGCTAAATTATAAACCCATATAAGCACAAGAGTGCAGAGACAAACTGTAAGTCACATGCCAGCCTACAACCCCATTTTCAAAAAATTCAGATGTGCAAAAAGTAAATAAAAAATGAACACACTGACATGCAAAGCATTTAAACCATATATTTAATTAAAATAGTGCAAAGACAACATATCAAATGTTGAAACAGAGAAATGTTGTTTTTTGAAAAATATATGCCCATTTTGAATTTGATGTCAGCAACCAGTTTCAAAATAGTTGGGACAGGGGCATATTTACCAAAGTGTTGCATCATCTCTACTATTAACAACACTCTGTAAGCATTCAGAAACTGAGGAGACCAATTGCTGCAGTTTTGAAAGGGAAATGTTTTCCCATTCTTGTTTGGTATAGGATTTCACCTGCTCAACAGTCCGGGTCTCCTTTGTTTTATTTTTCATTTCAGTATCCACCAGATGTTTTCAATAAGTGACAGGTCTTGACTGCACTGTCTTTCTGAAATAAGCAAGGCCTTCCCTTAAAAAGGTGTCATCTGGCTGGCATCATATGTTGCTCCAAGACCTGTATATATCGTTCAGCATTAATAGTGCAAGTCAAATGGGCAAGTCACCCATGCCATGTGCACTAATGCACCCCATTCCATCATGATATTGGCTTTTGAACTGTACCACAGATGATAAAATCCCCAAGTTCTTTGCTATCTTACACTGAGAAACGTTATTCTTGAATTGTCGCATTATTTGCCCACAGTCTTTCATAAAGTATTTTTCAAAAAAACAATAAAGTTAACATTTACTATGTTTTATGATTAAAACATGGTTTAAATGATTTGCACATCATTGCATTCTGTTTTTATTCACATTTTGCACAGCGTCCCAATTTTTGCAGGTAGTACATATGCAGTAATTTAGGTGTTCAACCAGCAGCCCACATGTGATAGCCTTGGTTTGGTGATCACAACTGAGTCCTGTACAGTGGACAGAGATTAGATTTTTATTTACATTTACATTTCAAAAGATGTAGCAGCTACACTCAGACACCTGTACAGGTGCTATCATGCACCTGCTGCACTATTTAAAGTAGACTGGAAATTCACATAAAAAGACATCAGCCTCAAGTAATCAGCATATCAAATTCAGTCCGACAGTGTGAATCTGGTACTGGCTGACAGCACAGGCAGTACTCTATGGAGTTAATTACATTTTTTGCATTCCTGACAGTTTTCACACGTGAATCATGAAAAACAAGAATGAAAAAAAAGAAAAACACTTAAGGAGGTTGAGAACATATAAGGTGGGCAGTGAGAAATGACTTACTTAGCTAGCATTAGTTTGTAGTACAATGATTGTCATGATAATGTCACATTTAAGATAAAAGCCTTCACCAGTTTTCATTTCATCACTAACAAGCCACCTTGGCTATCTCAATGTAGCATTTACATAATAAAAGAAAGAAATGACGAAGATGAAAACGTGCAGATTTTGGTCTGAATAATGTAACTCTCAGTCTGACTTTAAAGTCCCACTTTAGCGCTGGACAGAGTAAAGTGCAGTTTGGTGTTTTTGCTGCTCTAATACACAATAAGATGAAACTATGTTTGAGCTGGAAAACCAACAAACTGTCACAGAATCTGGGCCCCCATGACCGGAGTTCCCCACTCTTTCTTAAACAATGTGGGCTAGGTGGCGGAGGGGGAAGACTAGTCCTATCTCAAAGAGTTTTTGTACAATGCGCCATCTAACATTAAATGATTAACATCTCAATAATTGAATTATGTAAAATTTTGGAAAAAAGTGGAATTCCACTTCAGGCACTGACATTCTAACAGGTGAACTATATTTGGCAATGAATAACTGAGAAGGCTGGGATGACTCATTATAATATAAAGACATTATATTCATTACAGTGTGGGGCTAGTGAACGCAGAGAAGCAAGCTGTGTGTGATCCACTGCACTGCATGGTTGGTCACAAATCTCAGATTTCCTCTTGCAGATCTTTATTTATTATCACTTTGAAACACACTGTCCCAGAGTAATCCTTAAGATTAAGCACTCTCCACAGATTCACCTGCCTTGCATAGCTGGTGAAAGCTTAATCTCTCAGACACTCACGACTTGACAGGCTTCCAGGTGGCTTAGAGGGTCAAACTACAAGTTGCAGCACGCCTTAAAAAAAAAAAAAAAAAACACACACAAACCTTGCGTAGCTCCAACAGCCCCTCCACATCTAGCTACCTAAGGCAGCTTCTAGAAAGGAGAAGTGCTTAAGAAATATCACATGAACAGAGTCAGTTTGGAGCCACCAAGCTAGTAAAAAAAAACAAGCACATAGACACTTTATCACTAGAACCTGCAACGAATATTCCAGATATGTACGTGTGTACAGTAAGTATGCGTGTGTACGGGAGGACAGACGGTCGCCAAAAGCACTGACAACCAAGACAATGATTAAGATGCCCCGAAGCTGAAGTCAGCTTCTTGTTCGAATTTTCTCGTTCCACCTTAAATGGCGCAGCAGTAACATTCTGGCGCCATGGATAATCTGGAGTCTTTAATAACTGCTGCACCATTTAAGGTGGAACGAGAAAATTCGAACAAGAACCTGGCGAATAGGAAACACTTCAGCCTCGTTAAGATGTTGAAGATTAGGAGCCAGTCACTGAGTCCTTTCAAAGACAGACACACAATTTGTTTCTAAAACACAGCTTATGTTCGAGGCGCACACCCACAGAAAAACAAACGGACCTCCTCATTTCTTGTCGGGTCGTATCTTAATAGCTTACTCTGTGTCAAGCTAGCTATTAGCTACTTTCCAGCTGGAGGGCTTCAGTAACTGATGCCGCGTTGGCGTCACAGAATCAGAAAAACGAACCAACAAACTGCTTTATTCAGATAATGTTTAGTTTAACTTACGGAATGGAATCGTCACATCATTAATGAATGGTGTTATCATCTGTCAGCAGACGCAACCCCGCTGAACTGACGCTAGCTCTCTGTCTGTCTCAACCGCCCTGGCTTCCCTCCCTGATGACGGCCATGTTAGTAAGAATGAGCGACTCGCGTACGAATCGATTCGCTTGAAACGGTTCTTTTCTATGAATCGATCGAACCGATTCAGAAGTCCTGTACCGAAACAAGGACTGAAGAATTTAACTGAAGAGCGTAATTTTTCGAAGAGTAACTTTAATCACAATATTAAATAAATCGTATCATATTATATCAGCTGTGCATTGCGGCGCCGCATGTCTTCTCATCTCCCTTCGTGTAGCTTGTATTAGTAAGAATTATTATTATTAATTCATGTATTGATTGTTCGCTGTTCGTTGTGCTTTGCGTCAATGTGTATGCTGGTCATCTACTGTTCTTATGTTTACGTCCTTATATGTAGACCTATGTTTACCTTTTTGTCATAAAACTTAACCAACTCTTATGTCACAAAACTTAACCCACCTGATATACAGTGAACCTATAGTTCTATAAAATTGTAAGAACAACTTTAAATTCCCTTACATTTTACATTCAAAACTCTGTAAACGCTAAACAACTTCTCTTTACTGTCATGGGTTTGTGCTCTGTGCAGTCCGACCTCTCCGCTAAGAGAGACGAGTCTGATCAGACTTGTGTAGGTATATCAGTTGACCTGACGAAAATGAATCTTAGAATCAGACGTTCGAACGAACCGATTCAGCGAACTGATTCTTACTACTCATTGCTTCCCTGCTAGGTTTTTAAAGGGTGTGTCTTGTATTGCTGGTGCGCCGCAGCAGTAACATAATAGGTCAGCACCTTGAAGGGGCGGGCGTTGAAGGGTTTCCTCTCATCTGATTGGTCCTCATAAGGGCGGCTGAGCTCAGGTACGGAGTGTACGTTATGGTTTATCCACAAGACGAGCATTTATTCAGCAACTTTCATTTCTATCTCGTTTCTATCGATTTAATCCTCACCTCTACCTCTATACTTCGTATAAATAAGCCTATAGTTATAAAGATATTCAAAACAAACCACGAATCCAAATCACAGACGACAGATCGAAAACCCATAGTTTTTATTGAAAAGACTTGATGAGTTTACCTGGGCTGTACATTTACATTTATGTTTTTTTTTTTCCTTAAAATAAAGACATAGAGTATTTAAGCTCAAAAATAGATATAGGTTATATATATATGTACACAACTGTTTTAGGTACAATACAATCTCAGCATTTAGCAAAGTTAATTTGTAAATAATAATAATAATAATAATAATAATAATAATGATAAAGACTGTATCATTGGATGAAAGAAATAATTCAATGACACCATTTTCACAATTTAAGGCTTGTGCACAATACTTTTTATGTCTGCTATAGTTTGCTTTTATAGCAAAGTTCTCATAACTATTTTGTAGTAAACATTCAGTGATCACCAGTCTTGATAACTTGAACAGTATTGATGCAGATACTGATCCATCATTCAGTGAACATTAGATTAGGCAGTGTGCTGAAGCAGAGGATGGATCTGTACATGTGAGTATGGTGTTACAGAGGGGTTCCTGTACGGCTGGATACTGAGCCACTGACAGGTGGACTCACCAGCACCTCCATGATTACAGCAATGACGTGGCACATCTCCCTTGCCTGGATGGGTTGGAAAACAAAATTTTAGCAATACTTAGCTTAAAGTTTGTGTCATCCAGTGTTTTGTAAAGACTGAGGATTAGACAAAAAACAGCCAAATGTACTGTTTGTACCTGTTTCAGAAAAATAGTGATGGTTTTAACTTGAGATTTATCACCAAAGTGGATTTCCACTGCTGGCACTTTTTCTTTTTTGGGACGAAGAGAGCGCAAGGACTGCACCTCCTCCAGTGGGATTGTTAAGGATGCCATCTATACAATAAAAACAGTCAGTTGTGGCTTTGGTAACGAACAATAAGAGAAGGAGGTTACTGACTGAAATACTGTAGGACAGTGTTTCTCAACTCTGGTCCTGGAGGCCCACTGTTCTGCACATTGTGGTGTTTTCTTGCTTCAATATTCCCACTTCAGCTCAGTAAGGGTTTGGTAATGAGCTGATTATTTGGATCAGGCGTGTTGGGAGCAGGGAAAACAATAAAATGTGCAGAGCAGTGGGCCTCCAGGACCAGGGCTGAGAAACGCTGCTGTACGGGAACCTGTTTATAGCTATTCTACCTGTGTTTGAGGGTGAATGATGCTGATGGTCTCGTAGTTGATGGCCACAACACAGGGAGACGGGCAACCGCGATGGCTGACTTTCTGAGCAGTGAATATGCTGGAGCCAAACAGGGGCAGTGAACTTACATTCTCTGAAGGCAAAAGCAAGAAAGCAAGAAAGAAAGAAAGAAAGAAAGAATTAATGAAGTTATTTCGTGCCAACTCACCTCAGTCACATCATGGATTTCCATAAAAAAAATACAAATAAAAGCTTCAATTTATCCTGACTCAGTAGTGGTACTTCATTTAATGTTAACAAAAATTCTTACAGCTTTTATAGTGACAGTGAGCTACATAAATTAGAAATAAAGGTGCTAATGCAATGCCTTAGAACAGCAAAATCATAGAAGGATCACTTTTGGTTCCCTAAAAACCTCCTGATGGACAAAATTCTATAAGAGTTGAAATGGATGAATATTACTAAAATAAATAATCATCAGTTAATGTATAATAGCCTATTACTTACTTCTGTGTGTCTTTGGTTTTAGGGGGATTTTAATGCTTTGAAATGTTCATAAGAATACAAAATTGTTTATACACAAAGCTATTCATTAATCTTTGAGCCACTTCAGTCCTTGTGGTCTGAGGCCCCCTGAGGCCCCTGTCAGTCAGAGACCCCTGAGCACTGGCCTCACTAGTTCAGTCAGTAATCCATCCCTGCAATGGACGGCTCGCAGAATGGTTCATTTGTTAACTTCTTCACTTTTCACTATGTAGTCTTTGCTGCGTAGTGAACTGGCTGGAGAATAACAATCAAAAGACCGAAAACACTGTGAACACTACAAACGGGCTGACACGCTATACAGTGCACTATTGTAATAGGCAGCAATTTCAAATGCAGCTAATGAGATTTTCAAACCTTTAGGAAGCTTCTTTACAATGTAACGTTTGTGTATAATGTCAATAGTACATATCAATTAAAGATTTTTTCCTGGAACCATCCATCCAAGCCAAGAAAAAGTTAGAAACTTTTATTTATAAGTGTCTAACTAAGCTCAAGTGAAGACAAGAAGGTTGCCATTATAACATGTTACTCACTGAGGAAGCGCACTTTGGCTTGAAGGGGTTTGAGAGATGTGATGACAGACAGCTGTGCCAGTGTAGCACTGTACAGTTCACTGTGACTGATTCCATTCAGCCGGGGAAGATAATCCTTCACCACTTGCCTAAATGGATTAAAAACATCATAGGTAACAAGAGACACAATATCGCTTTGAGACAAAATAGTGACAATTTAAAAAACTGCAAGAGTTTGTAAACATAGTAATGCAGTCTCCAGTGTAAACGTAAAACTGCATCATCTCCATCACATACATAGTAGGCAGCTGAGTTAAGCCCAGAGCGAGGTGCTGAAGAGCAGCCAACTCTGCCACCTGCTGCTGAACTGGGGAAGCATTGCCGAGCAAGAGGAGTTTTCCATCCAGATAATTAGCCAGAGCCTAAGACATATATATAAGCTTAGTGTCCAATCTGTCTATACCACGAAAAGAATTACAGTATGGTAATAACAGTCAGCAGAGAGTCAAATAATCCGACTGGGACAAGTGTAGCAGAATGTGAATGTACCAGCTGGTAATGAAACTCCACATAAAGTTCATTGTCAAAGTGCAGGGGCTGCTGCCAGAGAAGCCGATGGAAGGAGAGGATGATTGAGTTGTCATCCAGCAGGAAGTCAAACAGATACTCGTCTGGGTGAATGGGACGAACTTCTCCATCTAAGAAAGAGGAGGAAAAGTGGACTGAGCATTTTCACACAGAGAACTGTAATGATGGGTAATGTTTTGGTATTTGTGTACTTCTACACTGAAGAACAGACAATAAGAACAGACATGGCAGAAGCCATGTGGTATATATGGCATCATTGCCTACATAGCTATCTATCTATCTATCTATCTAATACATACATATATACACTCATGTTCAAAAGTTTAGAATCACTTGCCATATTGACAATAATAATTAAATATTTCAAGATACATGTGAAGTGAATAAAATGATGCTATAATTATCCATGTACATAATTTGTTTTCATGTTATCTGCCTTTAGATTTGATCTTCACCTTTGAAATATCTAACTCAAATCAACCACTTTTTTGAAAACAAAAAATTCAGTTTGAATCAGTGTTTGTTCACTCCCTGCCCAAAAAAACCCTGACCTTTAAAAACAAGGGTGTGTTGTTGTAATGGAGAGGGAGAGAGAAAGAAAGAGAGAGACACTCAGAGAGAGAGACAGGTTGGGAGGTCTGCCTACCCTGTCTCCGGGTGGCATGGATGGAAAATTCTTGCACCTCAGCTGGAATATTCACACCCATCTCCGTGCAAACGTCTGACACTACCTCCTGCGCCACCTGAATGAGCACACCCACACACACAAAACTGAACTTGTTTCACCCGTGTATCATCACTGCTTTGATTGGGGCCTATTAGTGAGTGCAGGAGATATTCTGAAAGATCTTTCAAGCGTATTCTTACACTGAAGCTGCGAACTTTGCATGGAAACTCAACTCCACCTGGCAGCAGGATAGGCAGACGCCGGGAACTACGTCCAGCCTGAGTGGAGAATTTAATTAAGAATAATAAAAAAAAATACATTCACATTTACATCAGTCACCTTTTCCTTTGCTTTACAGTGAATTACTATATGAATTAACATTGTATTATGGTATTAAAACTTACCAAAATAGCTTCCATCTCCACATGAGAAGGAATATGTCTGCGTCCTCCGTAAGTGAGTGAGCGTTTGAGATTATCTTCACATGCACGAGACAGCTCTAAACACACACACACAGAAGTCAACATACCAAAGTGACATATGTGTATCATTTTGTCTGTTTATCAACAACAATTACTCAATGGCTGTTTTATATAAGGGCTATGGTACAAATTCAAAAGATTCAGCAACTGTCATTGGTATTGGTGATATTTCAATCAGCAGCAGAATGTCCACTGGGGGGGGATGCAGAATAAGGCTACAAACAGCTAATTTTGAGAATAAAAAACATTGGCTCGGGAATGGTGTCTGCTTAGTCAGTATAGATATTGGAAAAGAATAAGTGATATCATGCCATGTTTACAACCAGTTGATAGTCGATTCAAACATTTCTCAGACAAATTAAATTTTACAGCTTCTAATATCAAGCACAAAAATACTTTTAGCATGATATATTAGGCTGATGCATAATCTGAATACCCTTGAACATGAAAACTATTTGTTTTATCAAATATAGCTCACATAAACCCCATGAGTGGAATAGGTGAAAACCTCTTAAACATACTGAATTATGCTGTGTGAGGTAAGCGCCGTACCTTGATATGGGTGATTGGGATCCTGAGTGCAGCTCTGTAGATGGCGCATTACATAAGGCAGTAATGTGTTGGAACATGGAAAGAAACCAGTGACTAAGTTCAGCAGGCGCCAGCCACGAGTACAGCTCTCTCTGCACAGACAAAGTAGACGAATGTCTTATATGCTTCACAGACCTATACCAAGCACTTAGAATGCTGATTTTCAAAGACACATCTTGTACATAACGCAAGCACATTTACTCACCTGGCTGGATTGTTGGAGGTCTGCTTGATGATCTGACAGTAGATCTCATCTCTAAGAAACTCCTTCTCTTTTCCAAGCTGCATGAGCATTTTTCACAATCAATAGAAGAGAAAAGGTTGAATTTAAAAATTTCTTAAAACATTTTTCTCCAGTATTTACATTACAGGCAAAAGTTTGGAAGCAACATTAACTTTGTAAAAAGGTCAATGTAAGGGACTGTTATCAACAATGAGTGTGAAGAATTCATATTATATGTCATAATATTTTGGGAAAAACTTTTTTTTTTGTCAATAAACATAAACATTGTGATGGCACAGAGGAAATCTTTTTTTATTTCAAGTCAAAATGGCCATTAAGTAGTTAAAGTTAATTTTTCAGCTTGATTTTCTCCTCTCTCTCACAGATGAAAGCTTTGAGTAGTGTTTTTCTGATGGTAACAGTTTTGGTGGTCTACCAGGTCTTGCACGGTTGTTAGGAGTCCTGTTAGTTCTTTTAATAATTTTGTTAACTCCAGCATAGGAAGCTTCTATTTTTTCACTTATTTTCATCTGACTTTCCTCTTCCTTATACAAGTGTCTTCTATCTAATATCCTTACAAATATCTCCTTTTGCCATTTTAAAAGCACAGGAGAAAGACGTTTGTAAGACAGCTGAGGTGTGTTTGGGTCATTGCTTGTGTGAATGCTAGTGTCTCTTTGAAGGGGAACCTAATGTCAGTGACACCTTTGGGAACAGCTTTTGTTTAAGATTGAAAGGATGAAAGAGTTAATGTGACAGTACATAAAAGTAGAGTGGACAAAAGTAAAGAGTGGACAAATACTTATAGATTTGTTATTATTAGTTTGTGTATTTTTTTAAATATATGCTTTCTGCCTTTTCTGTAACACAGACAGTGACACTGACTGACAGTTCATTCAGAGGTATCATTGAGTTGTGTTTACCTGTAGAATGTAGTTCACGCATTTTCCTTCTGTCTGGTCCTTCTTCATGGGCTTGTCAGTCATGAACTGCATTATATCTGCAGAGAAGGACAAAGTAAAAAGAGAGGTGCAATATATTTTAAGAAACCTTTGAAATTCAAAGACAAAATCAAACCCTGACATGACAGCAAACGATCTGCAGGAAGGTTAGGCTAGAATGGTGATGGAAGGAAACACTGCATGGGTAGATGGAAGAATGAGTTCCACCAAATATCTGGAAGCAATTGTGACACAGTCAGTCAAAAATTATAAGCTGAAGCTTTTAGAATGGCCCCCTTGAACATCACTGAAAATCTGTTGGTGGATCTTAAACATGTAAGACTGCCCCAGGAATAACTATGCTAAAAAAGAATAGATAGACACCTACCTGGCTACAAAAACTGCTTGCAAGCTGTGATATCTGCCATAAGTATTGGCTTAGTAGAGTGCCCAAATTTTTTGCACATGCCACAATTACTATTTTTATTTTTTCTGTTTTTTAAGTTTTTTTTTTAATTGCAAATAATGGCAAAATATGTAATTTAGCTGTGGTTGCTCAAACTTTTACATACAATTAAATATGTGTACATGTGCATGCATTATTTACTCACTCATGAAACTCTGAACACCCAGAACATTGAGTTCATTGTCTGAGTAGAGGATGAGAGACTCTTTGATGGGCTCCTGAGAAACAAGATCACAGTCAACAAAATGTACCAAGGTGCAATACAGCATTATGGTTTAATACAGTTTCAGGTTTATGAAAGCTATACACACTGCAGTGTACTGCACCATCTCTTCAAGGCTTTTTACTCCATTGGGTTGACCTCGCTCATTCGGTCTGCATAACAAAACAGAGAATGCACAAACTATTATATTTTCAAAATATTAATATCAATATTCATTGTTCAGCAACATGCCCATGAATCTTGTTTTGCATGCTAAAACAAATCTGTACACACATTGTAATGTTCATAAAAAATTGACTGTAATGTTCATGCAACACATTCCTAATAAATCATGAAGAGAAAGCATCTGAAGGTAGTAACCTTAGAATAGCTTCTCTGAAGTACTTCATGGCAAATGCAGTCATGTGGTGGTGCTGGAGGTCTAACTCTGAGCCCTGGATTGACCCCTCCTCCACACTGCGCTCGCTGGCCCCCGAGCCCATAGGCTTGCTGACCTGAGATGAGCGGCCAGTGGGGGGCGCTAATGAGCTACCAGAGACCCTCATGCTTTTTCTCCTCTCGAGCTGGCGCTCCATGTAGGTGCTGTGGTAGTCTGGTGGTGCAGAAGGCTGAGTGATGTCTACAGGAAAGAGACCAGAGCGTCCTCCTGCTGAGCCGAAACTCCACCCTGCAGAGAAAACAGCCAAATTAAACACAGTGTGCAGCGTGCAATTCAGTACGATTCAGTGCAATACAAATCAAAACATACTCTGTTTATCAACAATAATGATTTACTGAAGTGGCCATGACATTCAGCTAAATGATAAGCAGTTGTCAATAATATCGTTGTTAGGTGGTGATATTGTTGCTAATGTTGCCACATACATAAAAGAGATTACCTTTTCTTTTCCTGGAGAATAGAGAACAATAGTAACTCACCTTCTTGGAGCCCATCCACATGTAGCAGTTTGATGATGTCGCCTCTCTGGAGACTAAGCAGGCTCTTGTCATCTGTCACATAGCTCTTCAGAGCAACAACATACTCTGAGCCCTGAAGAGATATATAATAAACCATGATCCACTGCTGAACTGTGGAAGGTCATTAAACAACCTGCTAGACATACTTTACCTTGGAACCACTTATCATGATAATAATTGCAGTTATTTTATCCAGTAAAAAATGATGAAATTTAGTTTTAGCAGTAAAATTATAATAAATTACACACCCACAGGTATTTCTAGATGTTTTATTTAATATTTGTATTCTGGAAACAACAAGAAGTTTTCAAGGCCCAGTACAGTATTGTCTTTCATAATCAAAACCCTAATCTGGCGGCTACTACCATCTTATTAAAATTATATTATTTATGTATCTGTAATCAAGCTTATACTTTTTTAAATTATTGAAAACTCTGATTCAAAACGTTTGATCACTTAGTCCTACCACTAAGTAGTTCTGTGAGTGTGGTATGACATTATAATACACACAGAATAAAGGTATAAAACAAGTACCTTAGTGAGTTCGGCAAGGAAAAGGTGCACAACAGCAGTGATCTGAGGAGCTTGTGGGGAGTGTAGCTGTAATTCCTCACTTTTCAGACAGATCAGAACTGTCCCAGCACCCTGCTGCTCCACAGACAACAGCTCTGCATAACTGCACAAACAAAAGAGACGCCACAGCTCAGAACAATGCAACTACGAAACAAAAAGTACTAATGTATAATACTAGTACAGCTCAGGGGAAAAATATGATTTACTCAGTCCTAAAGAACTGAATTGCTACCTGTAGCTACGCAGCAGTTTTAGGTGTTTTGGGTTGATGCCTGATGCTTTGGCCACTTTCAGCAGTCTGATGCCACGGTGAGAAACACCAAGAATCTGAGCGTCACCTCCATTTCCACCCTGAAATAGGAGACGTGTATGTGCATGAGCGTACACTCATATTAAAACAATATACAGCTCTGTGCAAAGCTCAGAGACCACCATTCATTTAACTTCCTGTCGAAAAGGCTTTATTACAGCTTTTTCAGTAGACTTTCAGTTTTTCAAAGAAATTGGCAGGGATGTTTTTCCACACCTCCAAAGTTCAGTCTTAAAAGTTCTGCTTCTCACAATTCAAGTGATCCCAAACACTTTCAGTGATGCTGAATTCTGGACTCTAGGGTGGTCAGTTCATTGTTCTGAGAACACTAGCAGACTCTTATTGTGATTTGCACATTTTCTTTTTCTTTTTCTCAGTAACAGCTTTTTGACAGCTACACATCTTTTCAGACTCATAGTGTTGAGTTGTCTTCTTAGAACATAATGATGGACAGAAACACTAGCAGATTTTTCAGATCTGAAGTAAATTTTGCGGTTGTTAATAGTCCCATTTTCTCTATTTATTTAAATAAATAACTACAGATTTGGAAACTTTTATGACTTATGTTTTCTTTGACTTTCCCCTCCCTCATACAAGCTCAGAAATATCTGGAAACTAAATAAACAAAAGGGTCGTCTCTGACATCTGGACAGAACTGTATTTAAGTAATGCTCTTGGAAGGCACTGTAATATATTCTCAACATACTAAATGCAGACCATGCAGCACAGATGACATTAGATCTGAGCAAACCTGTATATCTTTCTATGACATGCACCCATATGTGGAATAGAAAGGACTTATTTACTTTCACAGGGAAGAGGCGTGAGAAATAATTTTCCCAATTGTCTCTTGCTGCCATGACAACCCTCTTCTTCATAGCATCATCCTGCACAGCTCTGATGCTCGTTCCAATGTGAAAACTCGCTGTTGACGACCAGAAAAGCAATCAACTAGAGAACAGGGCTTAGATGATTATAGCAATATGTGCCTGAATAGCAGTTTAATAAAATTCCTACCCAGCAGATCTTTCATTTTGCGTCGCTCTTCACGTGAAATTCTCACACAGGAATCTGAGTAGGTGTCTCTCATAATCTATAGTTCATAAAAAACTAATTAGAACATTTCCCCCCGCAGTGGAATCTAGAAAAAAAGTTAATATACTTCCCTCCTCAGAGTTGATCTTTGATTAATGTACCTTTGATGTAAATGCCACAAGTAGGTCACTGATATAACGATTCTGTATTTAGTTTATAATTATACTGTCAAAAAATATAAAGAAGGAAACTGCTTTTATTACTTACCTGCTCACACAGTAAATTAAGAATGTAAGGGTGATTGAATTTCTCTCTGGGGTAGAACAACTGACGAGAAGAAAACACAGACTCAGTGAAGGATAAAGCATATGCAAAATTACAACAGGGAGAAACACCAAAGCATGCTGCTGGAGATGGAGGGGTTTCTCTCCACTTACCTCTTTGCGCAGGAAAAGCTTGCCAGGCATTTGTGAATAGGAGAAGTAGACACTGGCAGAAAACTTGTGCAGCTGAGACTGAACACTCTCCTCATTGGCCATTCTCTGAAGATCATCTGAAGAGATGAGATATTTGCTTTTAAAAACAAACTTTGGACTTTTTTTATTACTCAGGCCTTTAGTTAGCTAACTGTGGGTCTACTTTATTGTGTTTAATTACATCTTTTTATTTAGTTATTTAATTTATTTTCGATATTTTCACTTTATTTAGCTATTTAATGTATTTTTCCTTTTTTTCTTGTTTGTCTTTTATTGTTTTAACATACTGAATGTTTTTTCTTTCACCTTCCCATTTTAAAACGCTACTTTTTACTCCTTCTCCTTAAATTTTTACATTTTATTTCTGTGAAGCACTTTGAGATACAATTTCTGTATGAATGTTACTAAATAATATTACGTTTAATTTTTTTTCAGATGTGAAATGTTTTTATAATGACATCTGATTTTTATAAATACAAATGTTTTTTGTTTATAGCTTGCTGAAATCTTAATTTGGCTTCTTTTTTGTACTTTTTGTCCATAATTGGACTACCTTTTAAACGAGTTCACAATAGAGCCACACCACGAACTAAATGTATGTACTGCCACTCACTCAGTCCAGGTGCAGGTGTCGGGGGTGGCTCAGGGATGTCAATGGGCAGAGATGGGGAGGGGCCTGGAGGAGGTGGAGGTGGGAGTAGGGGCGGGGCCTGAGAGCTAAAGAGGTCAGCTAGAGAGCGCTGCTTCTGCCGCATGCTGCTAGAGATGGAGCGAGAAGAACGTTTTTCAGGCTCAAGTGGGGGTGCAGGGGGCACTTTTTGGGGAGGTGGAGGAGGGGACCACTGTTTCTGTTGCAAAAGAGGACAAGAGAACACCTGTGTATTTGGAACGGTAACTGTACTCACAGAGCATGGACAACAATTCATATTTGTCTGCTTTGGAGAAGTATTTCACTATGAACCTGCTGAAAAAAGATGTATAATTTAAACTGGAGACAGAGCTCTAGATATGCAAAAGAAGACATCCAATCACTGCGTGTTTACAAGAAAGTGCTAAGCATGATTATTATGTTGGGCATTTTACCTTCTGCTGGGTGACCGGCCCTTTGGCTCTCAGAATGGCCAGCGCTTCCTCTTTAGGGTCGTTCTTTTTTTTAAACTGCTTGGCAGGAACCCTGAAGAGTTCAAAGTTCACACCATCGACATTACCTAACAGTAAGTTACCTCTTTCAAATCTGGGAAGCTTGCCAAGTGATAAGAGCAATACAACCTTGTCCTGGGTAATTAACTGCACCATGTAGCAGAGAATGGGGTGGTTAATGACTGCCCTTACCTGACAGGCTCAAAGGCCTTGGGCTCTGGAGGAGGCCGAGTTTGGTACTTTTTGATGATTTCTCGGATGTTACTGCTGGGCTCTGTTTTACTCGGCGAGGCTGGAGGAGATTCCCTTTTCGGTTGTGGTGATTCTGCTCGTCTGGGCGGCTCTGGAAGTGGCCTCACTTCTGGAAACAGTAAAGAAGATTGTTTTCAAAGACTGAAGGTCTATTGTTTAAGATTGGCATTGTATTTTTGAGTTTGCAAATGAAAATTTAGAAATGACACGAAGAGACACATTCGGTGTCCAAAGTTTTCTTCTTTAGTTTGGCACTAGAGTTAATGCAGCTGACAAGTAATGGAAGCTTATTATCAAGCTTACATATTTATATTATCACATATTTGCCTCAAACCGCCTTGTTCATCTCAAATAGATGGTTTCTGACACAGTAGGGCAGTGTTGTAGGAAGGGACAAAAGTATGTTGCATTGCTAAAACAGCAGTAGCCGACATCTTGAAGCCTTAGTCTGAGTAATTTATGTATGCAGTTTGGAGCCTCATAGTTCCTCTGTACACCAGACATAGTGAGGGAAAACAAGGATTTAGACACTTCTGTTTTTGTTATTTAATATTCCCTTCAGTGCATATATCCACTTTGTATTTACACAAATAATGTCTTTTGACTTTGTACTTATAATATAACAAAAGGTATACAGATAAGCACATAGAAATATATAAAATTGATAGGGGAAAAAGTATTCAGACACAACCAAAGAAAAAATTAGTACTTTGTTGCAAAGCTGTTGTTGGCAATTGCAGCTTTAAGAGCAATATTGTGGTTTAATTTTGGCCCATTCCTTGCAAACCATCTTCAATTCCCCAAGGTTACAAGGGTCTCAGGTGGACTCTCCTGATGGATGTTGGATCCCCCACACATGTTCAGTAGGATTTAAGTCAGGTGATTGGCTAGGCCATGCAAGCACCTTTACTTTCTTTTTTAGAAACCAGTCTTAGAGTTATTTTGGATGTATCTTTCTTCTAGACAACAATGAGATTAGATGGAAAGACAAAGGAGAGTTTTGCTTAAGTCTTCTGCTGCTTAGATTTTTCTGCTGAGCAAAAGAGCTCAGTAATCTGAGCTCAGTGTACTTTTAAGTTTTAGTAGAAATCTCTACAATATCACACATTGTGCTCAGATTTGCTAAAGATACTATCACTCATCTTTATCTGCAAACTCCTTTTTGTCTAGTGCTAGTTTTCCTAAGGAATTTTAGGAGAATCACCACTGAGTCTCTTGAGCTACAGAGAAACAATTAAGAGATAAATTTTCCTCTAAGGAATGTCCATCTTCTCCGTTTTTACGTTCCTTTACCCCTCCCCTCATTCTTTATCATTAGCCTGAGAGTACTGTGAAACTTTCCATGGTGCACCTATCTATGTACAATTAGTTTAGGTTCTATGAACTTTCCAGTTGCATATTATCCAAGCAGTTGTACTGTCAGGCATGTTTAAGGTCTATAGCTTTTTCTATATATATATCTTTGCTTTTTAAACATATCTTTGTTTATACTAATAAATACATACTCTTTTATTCATATTTGTAAGTACAAAGTCAAAAGAAATTGTCTGTGTAAATTGGTGTGGATGAACTACATTTGGGGTTAGAGGAAGATTGTGCATGTTGTAGTGTATGCTTCATTTAAAAAAAAAAACTTATTTGTATAATATTATATGTATAAACATGAACAAAAAAATCCACTTTGAATAATTCTGACATAAGGAATGTTAACCTTCAGTCTTCACTGGGGAGGTGGGCTGTGTCTGTGGTGGAGAGGCATAGATCAGTGGTTTAGCAACCTTTGGTGCAGGCTTCGGACGAGTGTCCTGAACTCCTGTGTTACAAAAAAATCATATTTTCATATATCATATATTGGAATATAATATTAATCAAGCATTTAGCTGCTCAAGTTTTGAACCTAACCACTAATAAGTGGTTGAAAGCAACAGAAGATACTCCTAGATTGGCATCAATACTTAATAGTTCTCATAGTTTACTGTTTTGAGAGCTTAACCAGATTTACAGAAACACACAGAATCAACTAAGAAAAACTCTCACCAATGTTCTGGAAAAAGGCTCTCTTCTCCTGGAAGGATTCTGGCTGATTAGAGCTGGTAGAGTTAACTTCTCTTGCAGGCTGTACAAACAAGGTAAGAAAGTCAAACCAAAGAATATATATGTGTAAAATCATATTGTGCATGCAGGGTAATGTCTTTGCTGGAATACCTCTGGAATGTTTTGCTGCACAGGTGGCTTAGTAGTTTGACCTGCAGGGGAATGGATAAGAGAAGGTTCTGCTGGAGGAGTGGGTGGCTGTGGACGCTGCGGCTGTGGGCGCTGTGGTTGTGGACGTTGCGGCTGTAGACGTTGCTCTGCCTGCTGCTGTTGCTGCTGCGACTGCTGGCGCTGTTTTTGTAGCTGCTCCATCTGCTGCTGTTGGGAGAGAGTCATAGCCTGCAGTGTCATCTGCTGAGCCTGCAAGAGAAAAGATACATCTACTGTTTATACAGTCACATCTTTGAGTGCACATAATAGTAAACTGTGTCCTATTTTAAAAATTCTCACCATAAGCAAAGCTTGCTGATTGATGAAAGCTTGTTGTTGTTCAGCCAGCTGCTGTGGGTTGACAGCTGGGGGGGTTGCAGGCACAGGAGTTTGGGGCATGGCACCTGGCATCATCATAGCTGTGGAAAAGAAAACAACGAGCAATGGTAAAGCTGAGGGTTACATTATCTTAAGAGTATTTGTGAGATATGGCTTGGAAAAGAGCCCTTACCTGGCATGGGTTGCATCATAGGCATGGGAGCAGCAGCACCCATCATGTTTGGCATCATTGGTGCGGCACCATAGCCTGGCATGGCTGGATTCATGGGCATTCCTGGTGAATATTAAATACATTTTTCATATCCTTTGACATCTTCTTTATTGGCAATTAAAAAGATTCTGATTCTGACTATGAAACCACAATGCAGCATTTGTAAAGTCTTACAGAAGCAACAGATACATTCCATGCTATTGTGAATATATAAGACCATTCTGAAAGTTTAATAATATCTGTGGTATTTCTTTCACTCACCCATAGAATAACCTGGCATTGTCATCGGAACACCTATAAAACAGAGGATAGACACTTAGTGTCCATGAATGCCCCTCTGATAGACATTCCATAGTGTACAGATCTGATTCAACAAATTACATTCTAAAGTGCTTTAAAAGTAGTTTGATGGCCAGACTAGAATGAATTTTAATGATTATACCTGCTCCAGTAAACATGCTAGGCTGCATCCCTCCTCCTCCCCTCATTCTCCGGTTCAGCATGGCCATACGTTCAAAGTCCTAAAGGCATACAGAAACTCAATGTCATGGCATGCATAACTAACAGAAATGATTCAGAGTGCTATTTAACATAGAAAACATATAGCTGTCGAAGCACAAAGGGTCAAATTGCTTACAAAGATGGAACAAGACAGCACTAACTGTGATCTGCATAATGAAGACTTAAATTAACTGAACTGCACTGACCGGAGGACCCTGATCCAGCACAGGATCAAAAAGATCATCCACATAGGCATCCATCTGGGGACCTCGGGATCCTAACAAGACGAATATTGTCAGTGAAGAATTAGTGCAGTTCACAGAGAAAGCAGCATTTTTTCCTCCTTCTTTCCTCAGACTTTAAAAGCAGATTCCACAGATTTTTCAAAATGTCAGCATAATGTTCAGTCATTAAGATGCAAACAAAGTGATTCTGAATGTTTTGAAGGGGCTCATTCTAGAGAAACTTATTTAATGAGATTTCTTTACAGTGGTGGTGATAGGAACCAGGAGTTGCAATGTCTACAGTACAAATATTGCCATTTTATCTTCTATCCTTCTATCCTGATCAGTGAATCTACATGTGTCTCCTGAGTTTTTATATGTATTGGTGATGATGACAAAATAGTGGTAAAGCTGAAAAAATAAGCTTTCTAGACAACTATTTTGCCCTGAATGCATTTACCTGCCATATGCAGATTTAAAAAAAATACATTTTAACCCTTTTGTTGCCATATGAAGGTTACAGCAGAGAGCTAATAGCAGGTTTCACAGTGGTTATGCCTGTGTTTGAGCTGTATTTCTGGGTTGTGGGATGTTAGAGCTGGTTTCACTCTGACTAGTGATGGCAGGTTCCTCTGAGTGATCTGATATGTGAATCATGTCACTATTTTTAACCCTTTGTTTATAATATGAAGGCTAAATGCAGAGATGTAATATAACAGTAGCGAGTGGGTGATTTTGGAGCTGGATTTCTGGCTGATGGATTGTCCAAGGTGAATGAAATCACTCTGGATGGTGAGGGCAGAGTCTGATGAGTGATCTGATGTGTGAATCATGTCCCTGTTTTAACCCTTTGTTGGAATATGAAGGCCAAACAGCAGAGCAATAATAATATGATTTTAGGTGATTCTCTGAGCTGAATTACTCACTGAAGCTGATGTCACAGCTCGATGACTTCATGCTTGCTAGTTAGGGGCAGGTCTGCTGAATGTCCTGATATGTGGATCATGTTTGTGTCAAACATAAACCACATAATGATCATATTATTCATATTTGTACTCACCCTGCGATCTGCTAGGTGGACCAAAAGTGTCCCATTGAGCTCCTTCAAAAGGAGGGAGGCCAGGAGCCTGCATGGACGGAGCAGGAGGGATGAAGTCATCCATCTCTGGGGGCATTGCCCTAATTGTGGAGATAAAAACAAAGCTTAAACCGCACTGTGGGGAATGGAGAATATATTCTGAAAACTCTAATCTTAATCTGCAGTCAAAAATAGGCTCTTCTGATTTTCCTGTTTATTCTGAAAGCAATACATTACAAATCTACGTGATTTACACATCAGCCAGTCTTTTACTAGGCTTAGTAAGGCATATGTATGTACTCAACACACCTGTCCCCCATGTCACTGAAGAGATAATCAGGGTGGGCAGGTGGCTGGCCCAAGGCAACATCACCCTCCACTCCACCCAACAGATCCATCACATAGTCAGAACCATTCAGGTCAGTCCAGCCCTCTCCAGCCAGCAGAGACACAGACCAGCCTCGATCAGCCTCAGGAACACCCCTGAGGATAAAGCATATTGCATCACCAAGGTTTCATACTTTTTATTTCTATATCACTCTTACAGTCAGTTTAGTTTCACTGCAATACACAGTATAAAGACCAATGGCCAGTGATACACATACAGTTGCATGCAAACATTTGAACACTCCTGATGTTAAATATGGCATTCTCTGCATATTTAGTGCACAATTTAAATAAGCAAATAAGAAATAACTGCACATTAAAATGTGCATAAGTGTGTTCTCTGTAGAAGATGTATTTTCACTTAGAAAATCAACATAACGTAAAACTTCTGCATCTGATTGTATTTTTCTGCCATTTTTATTCATTTTTATGGGTTTCTTTTGTCACTGAAGTCTGAAAATACCAGTGCTTTTAGACATAAAACTTACCAAAAAACCTAATACAGTTCTCACCATTTTATATTATTTCAGTTACTTTTAATGGTTAATAAAAGGTAATCAAAGTGTTCGCTTTACTTTTAGTGCTAATCAACAATTGTAGCATTTAATCAGACAGAAAGACATCAAGTATTCAATGTAGTACATGAAGAACTTACAGCATAGGTACCATTTGTAGTGTATAACTACAGCATCCCATTCCACGTCATGCATTATGGCATGACAAAAAGGCTTTACAAGGTTTGTAAAGAAAAACTTCCTAACTGCACTTACCTGAAGCTCAGGAGCCAGGAAGCCAGCTGTTCTCCTGTGGTCCAGGACTCCACCTCTGCTGTTAGTGTCTCCTCTGTGAAAATGCAGATTGTTGAAATAATTATTGAAATAAGGTCAGAACCTCTACACCTGTTCAAGATCTAAGTATGCACTTTAGAGGCAAGAGCAAGGTCTGATATAATACCCTCACTCTACAAGGTATCACTAGTCTACATGTCATTCAACTGAGATTCACTTTACATGCTTTCCATACAATATAACACAGTCTGTTCTAACCATTGAAGGTGTTGACATCCACAACCATCTTCCCTTTCCTCTGATTGGCAGTCCATTCTAGTTGAGTGGGTGGATGATGTCTGCAGGCAGGCGCAGGCAGCTGGAGAGACGTGAGCAGCTTATGCTGACACAGAGAGCGGTATTCTCCTGGACCCCGATCTGACACATACCTAACAAATACAGGAGCCACTTCAGTCAATAGACACATGAGTGATGGTGATATAATGAAAAAGAGAATTAAACTGGGCTGCTGCAAAGTCCCTTACGCTCAACATCATGTAAGATAACCTTCAATGTTCCCAATAATCCCAATCTGTCTCAAAATATGTGCCTTATTATTTTTGCGTTAACATGTATATGTTTTGTATGTTGTGTATGTATTCATGTTATGTATTAAAGTAGCATTTATATGATTTTATATAATGTTATACCTATATAAGGACCTCATAGAACATGCATAACCATTGAAAAAGATATTTAAAAGAAATACTTGGGTATTTATGAACCGCTTATGCCAGTATTTGAAAGGTGACAAATGTTTATCTATCAATCTGTCTATCTATCACTAATTTGAGGGCATCAAAGAATTGATATATGGTGTTCTTAAACAGACCCCTGCCTTATTAAGTCCTTGCTAATGATACTTTATAGCAGTGTTATTAAAGGAAAAAAATCACTTCAGTATAAGGGCCCTTATGTCAATACAATGTTATTCATAAATACTCAAGTACTGTCTTTTAAAGATGTTATTTATTGCTTAAAGTCCCTTTGTAGAAAGCCTTCAAATAAAATGTCATTTGCATGTGTGTCAAATTGCATACTAAACTCATTTTACATTCTAAACTCATTTGCATGTATTTTTATTTATATACATTTTTAATTACTACTGCACTAGCATAATGGCCCACATCAGCCAAGAAAGCTGTAAACCACAGGCCTACTCTTTCTATCATAATATAGGCTGAAGGACGTACTTAAGAAGAGGTTTGTCCAAGGTAGGGGATGGGGTGAAGGCACTGAGGCAACAGGCCAGAAGCAGCCAGCCTCTCACTGAGCCCTCCTCACCCTCCCGATCCCAAGTGTAATAGGTTAGCTGGGCCAGAATCTCATCCCTGAGTGAAGGTCTGGTCTGGCCTTTCTCCACTATATAGTTCCCCAACATCTGCTCCTGCCAGCCAGTCAGCTCTGAGTCTCCACAGAAACGCAGGATCTGGTAAGGAAGAAAGGCAGTGACAGCACATGATATGGTGAATTAACCGCTTTGACCCCTTAGGCTTATTATTCTGATATTGGTCTTATTATTCAGTATCTATTATTAATTATTTGGTAAATACTATAAAACTAATATGATTAATTTAACTGATATTAAATGGGCCCACATATCGTTTAAAGCGTTAAACTAAAAATACTGATGTTAAAGCAGCCATCAAAATATAAAAATGGATCCAAATACAAAGAAACAGAAAAAAAGTCAAAATAAACATACAAAGTCTCAACATGTGGTGGAAGCATATGAAAGTATTACTAAATGCACTCTTTTTGGGCACATGCTTCTCACTTACCAGTTTGTAAATCTCCAGGGCAGTGTGGGCATCTTCTGGCTCCAGAGAGGTGAGTGATCTCTGAAGTGACTGACCCTGAGCCTGGCACCATCCATCCTGTAACAAGAACAGTGTTCAAAGCAACAAGCAGTTATGTATGAGCGAGTAATCTCTCATACACCCACATGACGGAATTCAATTACCCTTCATTACAAATGAAAATGAGTCTGAACCCTTGCACTAAATTTATACAGTACTGACAATCAGAGTGCTCATATATGGACAATAAATCCAAACAATGTACCTTCAGAACTGTGTTGGCATATCGAGAGAAAGGGATAGCTGTCAATATCACGGGGCAGGGAGAGTTTGTGCTCTGCTTTCACCTGTGGTGGGGCTACTTCTGTGACGCCTGACCCCTGTGGACGCCCTGTTAGAGATCAAGATCAAAAAAAACATGAACAAATGTACACACATGGAAGACATGCATCAATTCTGCAACACTGATTCCGCTCTCACCTGCTGAACTTCGCAATCTGGCTGATAGTTCAGCCGGAATCTCCAACATTCCCACATCCTAAAACACAGATAGTAATGACAAACCACCATAACATCCATACAGGCATATCATTCAGTTTTTAAGCTTAAGCTTATTTCTTCTTTGTAAACACTGACAGTATTTTCAAATGTAGTGTACTGTGTTCACAGAAGTGTGATACTACAAATGTGTTTTACAGTTTTATATCACATCCTATGTTAAATTTTTTATAAACACTTACAGTTCAGCATTATACTGCATCAAACACCTTATTGTATGGTTACTGTAATATTATTGCAATAAACATCATCAGCTTTACTCTAAAGGTAGGCAGCAAATGTGATTTTCAGATGCAGCAAAATCTTGACTGCAATTCAATTTTTCAATTGATTTTCAGTTTTGCATAATTTAAATGTTAAAGAGCTAGCTGAGCTGCAGTAATAGCTGTGAACAAGAGTAAACAAGTTAATACTTAACCAGTGGTAAATTTAACATTAAAGTTAATGCTAGCTAGCTATCTAATAACGAGGTAGCATAACTAGCACTATACTGTCATAAAATAAAGCATGAGATATTCAAGTGAGTTCATTACCTTTATATTTTGTTTCATACATTATATAACAGACTTCATGCTTTTTCTGCTTAAGAATCTGAATACCACTGCTACAGTAAGTTTCAGCTAGCTATAGGGTTCATTTTCCAGGGGTTGTGTAGTGTCATGTTAAAAGCAAGCTAACGGTGGTTTACATTCACTCACCCACACTGGGTTTAATACAATACAGATCAAGCTTAAATACTGACCTTTTGAAGCATGTAAAACATTGTACTTAACGGCATTTTGAATATTAGTAGTTTTTTCAGTGAATCCTTTAGTACATACTTGAATTTTAAGCCTGTGAGAATTTTCAATAATGTACATTTTAATTCAAGAAGTTAATGTAAACAATGAATATTTTTGTTAGGATTTTTTGAGTCTTTCAAGAGGATTTAATTTAATTTAATAGATATGTTAAAACTGCTGTTTTAACTCTTTAATTTCCTAATGTGTATATATATATATATATATGTATATATATATATATATATATATAATATATATATATATTTGTATTAAATATTCAGAAAAGAGAATATTACTGATTACAGGAATATACTGCTGTCATTTTTCCACATTTAAAATACAGTACAATGCCATTACTAACACACATTACAGTACAAGTGTATTTTTAAAAGTATTAATGATCTGTTTTACAGTGTTAGTAACTACTAAGAATTGTTTACAAGTGGCTATGAAACAAATATGCAACTTTCATTTAAATTGTGGGTCCACATTCAGGGCTCAAAGCTAAAGCCAGAGATGAAAAAGGTGAAAGAGTGAAATCATACCATCCCTGAATAGGTAGACTGGGTTCTGGTCGTGTGTTTCACTCTGGTTCTCTCGTCGTGCTCCTGTAACATCAAAACAACTGTACAATCAGCATTCACTGTCTTTGTAATGTACACAATATGCTTTTATTCTCGCCAAGCTCATTCTGCTCTTGAAAAGCCTTTAACATGCTTTGTCAATTTCCTTCTTGTCCTCTTACCTGTGCACTCCACTGTACAGCACAGAACAAAACTATTCTTAGCAGCAGAGCTTCTTTTATATCCCAGGAACACCCTCTCCCCCCTTGCCCCACCCCAAACATCAAAGTCACATGGAACAAGAGTCCACAAGGCAAACCCTAATCAAACCATATGTGCATTATCATTGGCTATGATCAGTGTTCGCCACTTTGTTTCTTTGTTTTTGTTAATTATGGTTCCTTATGATGAGGAAAAGGCACGATACTTATCACCATACTTATTCCATCATATCTGAAAAAGGAAATTTAGAAGTACTGGAGAGGAGAGTTCTTAAAAATTGCCTTCCCCTTGCCTATCCTTCAGCCTTTTAGAAAAATAACTCAGTTTTGTCCATCAGATCAAGAAAGTTTAACCTATTTCTCTGGTAAATAAAAAACAGCCTCCTTTACCAAAGTCCCTCCTACAGCTGGACTAAAATTAAACAATGACAAGAAACAGGGAAGTGATCCAAAAAAATAGAAAAAACTGTTGTTGTTTTTCAGACCCTGGTTTTACACACTGCTCCAATAGAAAAAAAGTAAAAGTCATTGTGAATGTAACAGTGTGACATGAAAAGTACTGCGTTCCAGGTAATGGTTCAGATATGTTACACTTTACACTTGCTCTGACACCTTTCTCAAGTATTCTTCCACTCACTCTCTTTACTGCTGTCTCAATATCTTAGCATTCTCTTTGCGTTATCTGATGAAAGGTAATATAAACTCTCAGAGTAACGAAACAGAACATACCTAAGGCAATGCTGAGACACAAGTAGTAGTCAACAGAAAGGAGTTCTTAAGAGACGCAGGCAAAGATGCATAATTCCTCATTGAAAGTGAGGGTTTGAAGTCCAAACAGGGCAGGAGTGAGACAAGGTGTGTGCTTAGAGAGAGAGAGAGGAGAGAGAGAGAGAGAGAGAGAGAGAGAGCAAAGATGAAAGGGCAGATGGGAAAGAAGAATTTACCTTAGCTGTAATAATTCTGATGACGCCCTGAGCAGAAGGCTAGTGAGTGCTTACTGTTTGGAATGGAAAACTTGCTTTATGCACAATATATTTTAATATTTCTTTAGAATTTAGAATCTTAAGACAAAATCTAAAGAATCTTAGGATTTTTCTTTTTAGATGTGTTTTAATAAACTAATTTTTGTTTTGTTTTAATTAATTCTGGGTCTCTTTTCTTAAAAAGAATCTTAAGACTTTTCTTGTTAGACCTGTTTTTATGGATTAATTTTGCTTTGCTTTAGAAACTCTGGATCTTTTAAGAAGAATCTTAAGAATTTTCCTTTTAACTTTTTCCTTATTATTATTATTATTGTTTAGAATCTTTGGAAAATGAAAACAGGCCCAATGAGATAAATATTACACACAAAATATAAGGAATATATAATGTTTTCTCAGATACATTAAGTCACATAATTAGCAGCAAGTATTGATCTAAAGTACTGATTTAAAATTGTTTAAATTGCTCATATATCTGGCTGGATTTCAATCAGCCTTTACATCTCAAACTCACTTTAACCAATTTGTAGCATACATTTATTGCATTTTCTGTAAGAAGCTGTATTATCACGTATGATGCCATCTTGGCATAAACAGAATTTAAATGTCTTATAAATGCACTAAAAATAGGTCTAATAAGAGAGGAAGCCTTATTATTTCATACAAATCAATAAAAGAGCAGATTATGTCGATATCATAATAAGGACTGAGATATTACACTATCACAAAAGAGATTACTGCTGCCTCTAGGGAGTGAAGATATCAAAGAATGTCACACATCTAAAGTGTGACTCAATCAGATTATTTTCTGAATCCTTTTCAAAAAGGAAGTTGACTGAAAGTGTGTGGTTAGTGATGTGAGTTCATACTTTGACCCGACACGTAACTACACATATATTTCTATGGTTGATCTGGAAGCAGTGGACGCGTCCGGCAACTGACTCTGAGCTACAAAAGCTAAGTTCAGAGCAAGAGTGAAAGGAGGGTGAGGTTGGAATTTATAACATTATCTGGGCAATAAACTGGTGCTGGTTGCCAGGCAATGAGTAACACAGAGGAGTGTGTATGTGAGACAACATCCAATAATGACCATCTCTGTGACATATGGCATATTTGACAGAGAGAGAGAGAGAGAGAGAGAGAGAGAGAGAGAGTGTCATGAGCCTACCCTCCAATGTCGTTTTTTGATGGTGTTCCTGGTAATCATCATTGTTGCCCAGAACTGAGTGAAGGAGTTCTTTAGTCTCTTAAAATACTTCCTGCAAATAAAATAGGCCAATATAACTCCTCTAACTGGCCATACATTTTAATCTTTTCATTTATTTACTTCATGGCTTCTGTATTTTTCCTTATCTCTCTTTTACTTTCGTGCATTCCTAGGCTGTATGTGTATCATGTTGTAGGTTGGCAGAATTTTAACAGAATGAAAGCAAACTCACTAATCGCAAATGAATCAAAAATTAAAACTACATGTGGAGTGCTCAGAGTTCAATAACATTTAAGAAAAGGCTCTTTGTAAAAATACTTTGAAAGACATCTTCTTTAAGAAAGTTACAAGACATTCTTTACTGAAAACATGCACTTCAAACAAGAACAGTATTTACACTAACCAGCCACTTAATTAGGAACACGTGTAGCCCTGCTCAGCTGTACAATTATCCAATTAGCCAGTCATATAACAGCAGCAAAATACATGAAATCATATGAGAGATCAGAGGAGAATGACCAGACTTGTTCAAGCTGACAGGAAAGCGACAGTAACTCAAAACACTCAAAAAAGCATCTCTGAACACATAACACATCCAGTTTTGTGGTGGATGGGCTACAACAGCAGAAGATCACAAGTTCCACTCCTATCAGCAAACAACAGGTATCTGAGGCTACAGTGGACATTTGCAGCAATCACATAATGCAATCAAGTCAACATTGGCCATAGTCAGAAGATTTTTAGCTGTTTTGAGCATCTTCTAAAATCCATGACAAAAAATTAGACTGTTCTGAGAGCGAAGGGACTACGAAGTCTTACAAAAGTCTGTCCACTCGATGGCCAAACAACACCTCTGGGCAGTTGTTTTCAGCCACCTCTTTGTATCTGTCTCTTTGAATAGACTCATAAACCCAAAACTACAACAATTTCAAAAGGATATTTGAAATCACTGGTAAAATATGTCAAAAAAATCTTAAATAATTTGTGCTGTTTTGATCTAATAATCTTCTGTTCTGGCTACCGCGCATGCGCATATCTCAACACGGGTAGGTTTTTTACCAGCAAGCTGACTGGCTCTTTTTATCGAACAGTGTTACTTCTCCCTTAAACAGGCGCCATGCTGAGCAACACAAGCATTCCTATTTTGCTTTCCAACCAGGGAACTCTCTCTCAGTGTTACTAGTAAAGTGGCCAGTGAGCGTATGTTCGTTGTGTGAAATAGTAAAGATGTAGACATTAAATTATAGTAAAGCCGTTCACAAAACTCTGATTATAGAAATTTGCTTCTACAGTGTAATGATTTCAGAGAATGTCATGCACTTACTGTATCGATCAATCTGATGGATGTAAGATAAAATGCCCTTACTGCAAGTGCATGGAGCTTACACAGTTGCACAAGTCATGCATAATGAACAATTTTGTCACAATTTTGTTTTGTTGTCCGTCCTGCTCTAAAACACCACTCCCCACCATCTGCCCTCTTGAATCTGACCTGGCCTGGTGACCTCTAATGTGGGACTGGATGACGATGGCTTTCTGTTTGAAGAAGCGAAAGTTGCGTCGGCAGATGAAGCCACGAATGTTCCTCTGGATGGTGATGGCAGCCCAAGTCTGAGTGCTGCTCCATTTCTCCTCCACCAGCTGGTACAGAGACTCCTTCATAAACACCTGAGAGAATGTATGGTGTGTTTATAACAGTGTAGACAATATGGGAGCCATTTATCATAAAATATATTTAAACATTAGATTTGTGATTCAGTTGCAGCAGAAATCTTCCACTTTACTGTACCTTAGTCCGTCCTAGTCGGTACTGACTATCTTCAGCGCCAACAACCTCAAGCAAGGAAACCACCTGTTCTTTATCAGAGAGCTGTATAGGCCGCTGTGTTAGCAACACACCATATCTATCACCAGAAAAAAGTGAGAAAGAAGTAAAGGTGGAGAGGTAAACAGCAGTAAAGCAGGAGAGAAGATAAAAGAGATGATTGCTTAACAAATGGCACTTGATTAGCATGTATTCTAGAATCATGTTTTTTAAATTCAAATTAGCTTCTCTAAATTATGCACCTTTCCATGAAATACTTGAAAGGGATGCGAATGGGAAATCCCTCCTTTCTAATATGAACAGTCTCTAGTATTCCTCCATGTCTCAACTGTGTAGTGATGTAGTCCACATCAAATAATCCAGGGAGCTAAACAAAACAACATACAGAACCAGGTACTAATGAAGAACTAGAAATAACACAGCATATTGTCACTGTAAAATTAAAAACTCATAACTTAAAGCTGCACTCTGTAAGTTCTGGGGATTTGGAGACCTCTCTGGTGGACATATGTAACTGCACACCAAGTGCAAAGAACATTTTGTAATGTCAGTTGTGCTTTGGACAATCTGATAATTGTGAGCGTGTTTAAAGAGTATTCAAAGAGAGCCAAAACTTATTGAAGGTCTTCCAAGGATCTAAGAGGACTGTCTACAACTGCCATCATATCTTTATCAGTATAATGTTAATTTTGTATCTAAGACCTAAACGTTGAGCTGAACCTTCTTTTTGAACCTGTGTGTGTGATGTTAACATGTAAAGATGTATGATATGGTCTGTAAAACTCCCACCCCTGACTATTAAATGACTATTTCAGGCTTTACATGATCACCTGGAGCAGCGCAAAGACATCATATTTTAAAATGTTTTTTCCTCCTGACTCAATAATACCACTTTCTTTTTTGTTAACAAAAAATTTTACATAGTGCAGCTTTAATTTTTTACACCAATTAAAAATGTCAGTTGCATATTGTATGAATATTTTATGGCAAATAGGCCAATAAAAATAGTCTAACATCACTTCATTATGTCAACAATAATATCCTTTTATAGACATCATGGAAGAATGAGTGAAGCACTTTTAATGCAGCATAGCTCAGAATTTACCTTGACATAGTTTGGTTTAAAACATCGGATAAATGTGGTTTTACACCTGAAAGAAAAGCAGAAGGAACAGATTATGTGCCTTTAGTGTAACATTTGAAAACAGAAGCCCAAGCCAAGCCTTGGAATCGAATGCATCTGACTGAAGAACCAACATTAAAAGTACATGTGTAACACAAGCAACTGAAAACAAATGAGAAAGGCAATGAGGTTCTAGACACCTCTCTACCCGTGTGATGAGCTCAGTGAGTGACTGCTGAAAGTGTGCAGCTACAGTAGAGGCCTGGTGCCGGTAGCTTTTCCCTCTGAAGCCCAACTCTCTCTGCTGGATGTAGCGCTCCTGCACCTTACGGAACAAACCTGACACCATCTGCACCACCACACCATGAACACAAACAAATACTTATTAGCTCAGCTCTTCAGCAGCATTTCCTTTAAAGCTATCACAGATCATATTTAGTATGCAGAAGCAAAACACAGAGTCTGTTGGGTTGACTACCTGCAATCTACTGCGTGCAAAGAGCTCTAATACCTCTGGGCGAAACTGGTCATGGTTTTTGTTCAGAAAGTTGTGAACCTATTGGGAGAAATGCATTCACAACAACACTGAGGTGTCAGAAAAGATCTTAATATTTAAAGATAAAACATATCTTTTCCACATTCTTTAGATTTCATAGTGTTTACATATCACTAATGACAGTTATATGAAGCAGTAATGTGGTGTATGAATAAGTTTATATGAATGAACAGACATATATTGTACTAAAGCTGCTTGCCTGGTAGGTGACAGCTCCTGCATAGTGATACACAGTAAAGACAGGCAGAGGAATCTTGGGCTTGGCGTAGTAGGGGCTGTTGCCATGGTGATAATGACATTTCTGCAGGAATGTGTGGTCTGTAGCCTGAGACAGAGAGGTGGGGAACAAGTGATAAAGTCTAAGGCATACAAAAAAACAAGAAGAGCAACTCAGTCTGAATTGGATATTCTTTACTCTCCGGTTTTGTTATGTTTCTTAGTTTGTACTCTTTTTAGTGTGTAGGACTGAGTATCCCACATTTTACTCCCGTCAAGGTCATTAGAAATGATAAAGCCTGGAGTTTGTGTGTACCTGCGGAAGGCAGGTTTGGTCATCAAGGATGCGAAGGATGCCATGTGGTCGTGCAGAGATGAGTTCCAGACAGGGGTGGAAATTCTGAAGGGTCACGGGATACCACTGAATCTGCTCAGAGTTATATTCCTCCTAGAATACATACAGCCAACATAAAAATACAGCCAAAAAAAACAAAACAAAACAATATATATATATATGTATGTGTATATATATATATATATATATATATATATATATATATATATATAAAACTGAAAGCTACAGAGATAAACTGCACTGTGTGTACATTTTAAAGAGTTTTTAACATAGAATTAGCTAATACACAAAATGTGCTTTACTAGCATCTATTCTAATGACATGATGACTTTAAGGACGTTCTAACGATTTTAACCCCTTAAAAGGCCTGGGTCCAAAGTTTTATTACACACTTCTATAACCTAAGAATAGTTGAACCAGTTTGCATTGAACTCCCTGGAGTTACTGCATAATAAGTCTTAATATGTAAATAGCCTGTTATTTTAAAGGGCTTAAACAAATAATTTATTTTCAATCTTTAATTTCAGTTACTTTCAAAGTGACCTCGTCAGTCAACATCACAATATCACTAAAGATAAAGAAATAAAATTAGGCAAGCCTAGTTTTTCCAGACCACAATCGTCTGGAAAGCATTTGTCAAAGAAATGTCAATGATATTTCATCAACAGTGAAGCAGTCATTCATGTAAATACACACGTGTTTCAACAACATGACTCAGTGAGTCAGTAACAGCTAACCAATCCGTACACAGCAACAAAAGATAAACACTGTAACTGAGTAAAGATTTTGTGCAGAAACTTTATCAGAAACTTACGCATAACAGACTATGTAATAAACTGTTGAGTTAAATCAGGTGTTTTTAACATGAAAACTGCCAGAAAGTGCTGTAATAAGGCCCTAGACACCCCTGTCTTAGACAGTCTGTAAGGTAACACACAATGCACACATGCTAACCTGCTCCTGTGACACTAGGGCTTTGTTCACAAATTGCTGGAGCTGCTCATTTGCAAAATTGATGCACAGCTGCTCAAAACTGTTCACACCCAGGTCCTGTAATAAAATGTCTGTTAAACATTTGATTCATACAATGCAGCCAGAATTTCAAATATAACTTATCACAGCCTTTATCGAGATGGGTGGTGATAAAGTGAAATACATAAAAGGAGCTTCAGATAAGCGACTTGCTATATTGAAGAGCAGTGGTTCTCTAAACGGTTTTCTTTTTTTGCTCCAGACCAACTCATAACACATTGAGATGAAGGAAAAATGCAGACCATCTGGGAGGCCCTGAGGACCAGGTTGGGTTTAAGACACTGTTTAAGAGTTGCATGCTCTAGGACATCATCCAGTTCTCTGAGTTTAGTTTAAGCTAGATCAGGAGTGTTACAGTATAGTTTAAAACTAAACTCCAGGGCAGGTGATCTCCAGGAGCAAGGATGTTCACCCCAGCAGAACAGAATATAATGTCTAACCTCAAACCCGTAAATGTCCACGATGCCAACAGTGCTGTCCATCTCTGTGGGGATCAGCCACTCATTGATGCGTTCAAACAGCCCATCAAAGAGCACAGAGTACAGGGCTTTGGCAATGGCATCCCTGAGTCACAGTGGATAACATATTATATGTACAAAACACAGAGACGCATTGTCACAAAGCACTTTTGCCAGAAAAAATAGCTTTTGTTTCTACATCTTGCTCTTGTGCAGTGCCTCACCTGGATTCAATGGCACTTTCCACAGAAAGGGGGCAGTAGATTCTGTCATAAGTTGTTTCCTATAGAAAGAGATAATAAGAGAAATGTATCTTTTGATTCATCTGGGAGCTTTTACATTAGAAAACATGAATGGTTGAGTGTCAGCATAAAAAAGTGTCTATGATGCTCACTGTGACTCGGTGTGTAATAACAGTCTGTAGGGCTTCAGCTGACACCTGTAATAAGTTACCCACTCTCCGAGCTTCAGCCTCACTAAAGATCCTTGCCACCTCAAATGACTCACTCTGGAAATATTAAACATACACATACACACCCATACACAGACACACACACACACACACACACACACACAACTTAACTTTTTTTTAATACACTGTACACAGCAGTGTGTGAAAGTCAGAGACCATCCTTCATTTGCTTCATTTTCATTCATGCCATTAAGTATTAAGTTATTCATTTTTTTCAGCATCAGGAAAAAACAGTAAACATACAATGAACAGAAAATTTACATAGAAACCTCATCAACTAAATACAAATACATAACATCACATTTTTTTTAGCATTTAATGTGTCCACCCTTTGCTTTTTACTAGCTCTGGGGTGGCTAGTCCATTGTTCTGGAAACACCAGCAGAATCTTTCATTTGCAAAGTTTCTCCTTTTTTCTATTTCCTTTTCTCAGTAAGGGCTTCTTGACTGCTCCACACCCTTTCAGACTCATAGCACTGAGTTGTCTTATCAGTAGAGGGAGGCACAGAAACACTTGTGGATTTTTTGAAATCCAGATTTGTTTTTCCAACATATTTTCCTTGGCCCTCCCTTACACAAGTGGATTATCATATATCTAATCTTTTCAGAAGTACCTCCTGAAAAATGAATAACTTGTACTTCATGGCTGTTTTGACTAAATTAAAGAGAGTCTCTGACATTTGCCCAGTACTGTATATATTTTGATAAAATGTACGCATGTCCAATTACCAGTGAAAAAAAAGCAGTATTCACACATTACAATTTAGTGTATGTTACTGAACAAACCTCATATGAGCTGAAGCAGATGTTGCCTAGCTGTAGAATAGATGACAGGATAGCCCAAATGGTGGCTATCTGATCTGCGTGTAAGCCAATTGTCTCAAGACAGTGTACAAGAAGCAAAAAGTCCTGCTTGTCATGCTTTCCTTGCAGCTCACAGACACCACCCTTTATCAACCATAAAAAAGAAACAAAAGAACAAAGTATTAAAATATATATGTATACACACACACAGTATACACACACTTGTAGGAAACAGGCATATATACTAGAGGATCATGGTAAGACCATAATAAAACCTGGTTGAGATAGTAGTAAGTCTCGGCTCCCTGTAGATACAGATCCTGCTTGTCCCACTGATTCAACCCTGCCAGCAACTCATAAAAAACATGATAGTTCCTTTCTTCATTGGCCTGTAGGAAGAAGAAGACTTATTTTGGACTCATGCCTATATAGTATTTATAACGTTATACAGCATGATCATTAGGTTATAAAATTTAAATGCTTTGTGTGCAGGAATGTTAAATCATTTACCCTAGAAATGACTGCATCTAGTACAATTTAAATGATAAAATAATAGAACACACGTACCTGGAAAACAACTCGTGATTTCTCAAGGAGATATTTTGACAGTGAAGTCCCAACAACAACACCTCTGACAAAAAGTGAAAAGAATGGAATCAATGCACATTTCTTTTATGTTCATGGTTATCTAGAGCTACAGAGAATGCATATTAACATATTAAAAAGGTCCACACTTACTGCCGTATGTGTATGTGTAGGTATTTGCCAAAACGGCTAGAGTTGTTGTTGAGTATAGTTTTGGCATTACCAAAGCTCTCTAATATAGGCAAGACATCCATTGGCTAAGAAAAAAAAAACAACAGAGATCTAAGACATTTTTTCAGTCCATCTCTTTTCAAGAACAGAGTGCAAGACTGTAGAAATGTACATTTGGTTTATTCACAGTACCTGACGGATGTTGTCATTTCTACCCTGATACATGGAGCTTAGGTAGTGGACAATAAGTTTGGCTGCTTCAGTCTTCCCAGATCCACTCTGGCCACTGTAGAGAGAATTTATACTTAATAAGGTACAAGATACACTATACAGACAAAAATATTGGGACATACCTCCTAATTATTGAGTTCAGGTGTTTCAGCTAATTAAGCATAGACAAACACTGGCATAGGATGCCACATCTGCCACAAGTCAGTCTGTGAAATTTCTGTCCTGCTATATCTGCCCCTGTCAACTGGAAGTGCTATTATTGTGAAATAGAAGCACCAAGGAGCAACAACAGCTTAGCCACAAAGCAGTAGACCATGCAAGTGCCTATCTGATGAACTGGGTTTGGCGAACGCCAGGAGAATGTTACCTACCTGACTGCATTGTGCCAAGTTTAAAGTCTGGTGGAGGAAGGATAATGCTATGGGGTTGTTTTTCAGTAGTTGGCCTAGGCCCCTTAGTTCCAGTGAAGGAAAATCCTAATGCTTCAGCATACCAAGACATTTTGGACAACCGTATGCTTCCATCTTCATCTTTGTGGGAATGGCCTGGGGAAGGCCCTTTTCTGTTCCAGCATGACTGAGCCCCAGTGCACAAAGCAAGGTCCATAAAGGCATGGCTGGGTGAGTTTGGTGTGGAAGAACTTGACTGGCTCGCACAGAGCCCTGACCTCAACCCCATCAAACACCTTTGGGATGAACTAGCACAGAGACTGCGAGCCAGGCCCTCTCCTTCACCTTTAATGTTTGGCCACACAAATGCGTTTCTGGATGAATGGTCAAAAATTTCCTCAGACACACTCCAAAATCTTTTTCGAAAGCTTCCCAGAAGAGTGGAAGCTGTTATAGCTGTGAAGTGGGGACCAAGACCATATTAATGCCTATGGATTTAGAATGGTATGTCATAAAAGCTTCTGTGGGTGTAATGTGTAGGTGTCCCAATGCTTTTGTCTATATAGTATATTAATGTTTCCTTACTGTTGGATGTTGGTAAAATATGAATCTCTCACCTTATGACTATGCATTGCTCTTGGGTGGAGTTTTGGGACTGGCAAAAGGCAGCATCCGCGATAGCGTAAACATGGCTAGAGACATTATTCACCAAAAGTCAAACATACTATCACAGCCAGCCATCAGTAAAGTGGGCAGCAAAAGGACACGCTGTGGCTACTTACGGTGGGTTATTGTGCTTCTCTTTGCCTTGGTACTGCTCTCTCAGTTCCTCTGTGTAGATATTCAGAGGCTTAAAGGGATTGACTGACAACAGCATATTGCCAATATACGTCTGTTTTGATCAGATCAAAAAAAAAACAAAAAAACAAAGTGAAAATATAAGACAGGTAAGTGTTTCAAATAAGCTTCAGGTTAAACTAGGCGCGTTGTGAGGACACTGTTTTGGAAAAGGAGAGGCTATTGAAACAGTTTAGACATGGAAATACTATACCAGAGCCAGGTCATATAGCTTATTGTTGAGGAAAGCTAATGCATACATAAATGGAATCCCGTTGAAACCTCTTCTTCAGGTTCAGCAGCACTGAACTCTCACTCACTTCTCTGCAAACACAAATGGGTTTAGATAGCCAGTTTAGGTGCACAAATAAATTCATCATGCATTTTCAGTTTAGTTACTGTAAATAAGCTTTGCAGAGAAATATAAATGCAAGTTCAAATTTACTCAAAATTTTAACTCTCCTTTATAGTAATGTAACATTTCTCTTGAACTCAAACATGATACATAACAATGACATAACTCTGCCATAAATATGTTGTGGCAGATGTCATACGGTGTCATGAGCTGTCACAATGGATTATGTCCAGTAATTTCTAACAGTGTGATGTTTGCATTACTGGTAATTTTTGTCGTTTTTCAGTTTTTGACATAATTAGGAAACGCTTATTGCCCTTTACACTGTATGTAAATTTCATAATGAATGAACCAAAAGAAGTGGCCCAAAATTACTTGGAAAAAATTCTGGTTCAATTGATTCACATTAAAAGTAAAGTATGTTTCTTCTTTCTCCTGTAAAGTTCTCACTTTGGAGATGCGAGGTTTTGTTCCAACAGCAGTGCATGACTTGTTTATGGCATGGTTACGTCAGTTTTATGTAGCAAGGTTCAAGTAAAGTGTGATCGAAATATACAATGTACAGTGTTTATAAAAAAATATGTTTTCAATGCACCATTTGCACTACAACGAAATCATGCATACATTCTCTGATATAGTAAAATGTTTTGGGTGAGAGAGGATAATTCAGGTGAAAGGGCTGTTGTAACTCACTGCAATTGTGACAAGTCCTCCACTTCATCCACCTCCACAGCCTGGCTACTTCCTGGCATGAGGACCTGGAGTAGAGAGTGGTGAGCAGTAGATTTCTATGAGATATGAGGATAATAACAGCTCATACTCACCATAACCCTGCAGCAGCACAACAGCAAACAAGCACAGCAGGAATCGTACAAGCACACTCTGTTGTTCAGTATAGTAGGAGCTGTATCAGCATACTACAGAGGAACGCTGTAGCTTCCATGCATGCAACACTAGCCGCTGTGATAACATCACAGATAAAGAGCAAATGTATTGAAATTGAACACAGAGCTCATTAACTGAAGATAAGCTATTTATAACCAAATACAGGTGCATTTTATACCTGAGTGCTGTTGAGTCTGTCCTCCAACATATTTTGAGTAGGATCCTCTGATTCCCATGGGCCCCTGCCATTGTGTATGGGAATTTTTTGAGCATGTTCATCATCTTGGTACACAGTCCACTTTGTGAGCTTCTCTATGGTTTGATGTGGCAGAAGGTTTTCATTGCGAAGCCAGTCCTGAGGATCACCACCCATTTGGTGATTCTGAGCCCAGTGGAGATCCATATTTGAAGCGAAAACATCCTCACCCATAAGTTCAGCCACTTCTCTGTCTTCTTCCTCTTCATAAAACGATGGCCCCAAACCATCTCTCCGTAGCTCAGCCTCTGCAGAGAGAACTGCTGGGTTTCCCTCATTCCGCTCCCCATTCCTGCTTTGCCCAACACTTCCACCACCTCCCAGAAGAGGCTTGCTCATGGACAGTTTAGTAAGATTGACATGTGAGCCCCCAAGTTTTCCCTTTGCTGCTTGCAGGACACTGGCACTATCTTTGCTGTCTAATGTTGGTGTTTTGTCTGTTATGGCCTCCTGTCCTCTTTCCAACACTTGTTCTTCACAGTTGCCATTCCTCTCTGGTTGACTGGTAGTGTTGGCCTTTTTAACAGACTTCAGCAGACTGAAGTCTGGCTTCACTGGAAGCACAAGACGAGCACCAGGTTTTGGCGGTTTGCGCTCTGGAGAGGCATCACTGCCTGTACTAGTGCCATCAGGAGCAACAGCAGTGTCTTTGGCCTTGCCAACTTTGTTCATTCTGGGGAAGACAATAGCATATTTGGCATCACCTGAGTTGGCCTTTTCTTCTGGATCTTGTGGAGGCAAACAGGGGTCATCAGATACATTTCCCAGGCCTTCAGCAGAGTCATTCTGAGTATTCGCTGCCTCTTCTGTCTTTAAATCTTCTTTGGGACCCTTATTAGACTTTAAAGCACTGCCAGCCATCTTCATTGCCATCCTGTGGCGAAGAAGACTCTTCTTGGACTTTGTTCTGCAATCTTTCTTCTTCAGGACCAGGGCAGGTAGCCAATTTGAAATTCCAATCGCTTGTGTGACCGCAGATAGCTTTCGTCGAACAGTGATGCTCCTGGGCATCTTCTTTTGAATCCAGCCGGAGACACGGCGCAAGGTAGTCATTCCCCTCTTGCGTGCTAGCAAACGTTCGTTTGGCTTTAAAGACACTGTTTCTTCAGTCTCGGTTGTTTCTGTGGCTGTTTCTTCATTATCTTTCTTCTTCTTTGCTTTGGATCTCAGAGACGTAATCCTTACCTTTCCTAAGGTCGGTCTTACTTTCTCAGGTTGAATGTTTGTTTTTTGTTTATCTACAGTTTCTTCATTTGTTTCATCTACTGATTGCTCTTCCTTGGATGTTGTTTTATTTCCATCATTTTTGCCTTTCCCTTTCATTGTAAATAACATACGTGACTGTTTGCTGAGCAAAGTTTTGGGACCTTTTGATGGAGCCGCTGCCTCCTCTTCCTTCTGGATCTCTTCTTTCTTATTCATTGCCTTTGTTTTGCCAGCCAGCTGTAGGATCTGAGACTTCCCCTTCACTGCATCAGTCTTACTGAGAGTCATCCTTTTTATCGGGGATTGATCTGAAGGTACGGAGTCTTCTTTAGACTTCTCTGCAGGAGTAGGCTCTTTCTTACGTAGTATCTTAGATTTCAGCATCTCTCCCTGACTTTGGAGATGTGAAGCAATGTCGAGCGAGTCCGGCTTTTTGGATGGAACAGCAGTTTCCCCCTGCTTGTCTTCGGTATCGCTGATCACCTCTTGAGATTCTACTTCTTCCTCACTACTGATGGGCTCCTCCTTAGGCTTATCTTTGACTTCGTCTTCTGAAGATTCATCTACATCCTCCTTTATTTCTTCCTTTTCTCCTTCCTTCACCTCTTCCCCTGTTTTGATCTCTGTGTCTGATATTTCTTCCTCACTGCTCACTTTACTTGCTTCTGTCTCCGCAGTCTCTTCCACATATTCTGACTCCTCCTCTTTCTCTTCTTCACTAGACTCCTCACTCTGTTGTTCAGACTTCTCTTTTTCAGTCTCAGATTCATCCTCTTCTGAGTACACTATCCTACCTCGTCTTTTAGCACGTTTCTCAGGTGTTTTGCTGGTTGTTTTGGCTGGGGACGTTTTTGAACCATGTTTGGTATTGACAGCCTTACCTTTGCCGGCCTTCCCTGTGACTCCATTACTAGTCTCCTTAGAAGGTAATGGTTTGCCATTTTGTTGTCTCCTTCTTCTTACTCTTTTCAGAGGTTTTTCTTCATCTTCAACCTCCTCAGCTTGCTCTGTTTTTCCATTTTCATCCTCATCTTTTTTGGCCTTCCCTTTACTGACTACATCTGCTTTTTTGGCTTTCTCTTCACCACCCTTGCCCTTTCTTCGTCCAGTCCTGTTCTCAGTAGCATCTTGAGAAATTTTGGATCCTGCCTTCCTTGCTTTTTTAATTTGAACTTCCTTTTCATTCTTGTTTTCTTCCACTTTCTGTTTACCCCCTCTTGCCTTTCTTGGTGATTTAGCAGGAGACATAATGTAGAATTAAATTTGCATGATTTGTTCTCTTCTTCAGTTTTCCAGATGTCAGGACATTTCTTTTATAACCTGCAGATTTGTACATATTTGGGAGACATCAAAACTTTTAAACATGTGACCATGACCGTCATTGTTAATACTTACAGTTTACAGTTGTACATTGTCTTTCCTTTAACTTTTATTTGTTGAAATAGTGAACTGAAGCGGTAAAGAGACCCATACTAGGAGGTGGACAAGATCATGTGTCATGTCTGTCATCTAAAGTGAAAGGTGTGCCTGACCTAATGGTCATCATTAGTACTGGGTTTCAGTCATTAAGCCCAGGATCCTGCATATAAAACTGTTTGGGTGAAAGATCTGCCCTATTTATCAGCGAACATTCCTTAATGCAGTAAGATGCCTACAATATATAAACTGTGATACACTGCATGCTAATATTCCATATGCATATACATAAAATCTTTTATAATAAAAGGAGTTGTTTTCATTACCTTAAAATACAAAAAAATCTACATAAGCTTTGTGACAAACCTCAAATCAAATTCTGTTTACATTGTAAATTCACATAGATCCCTAACACAGTGACTTATGTCAGTGAGGTACTGAATTACTTACTTGTCTTCTTAGTTGCACCGGAGGCATGGCGGGGGTCTTTCTGCTTGTCCTGAGCTGCTGGTATCGTTGACACACATCAAGGATTGAACTCGCTTTGGGACACAAACACCTATGCAGTTTCTCCAAAACAGATGCGAGTACACAAGTACGCACGCTCGAGGGGTCCTGTTAATAATTCACGTTTCCACGGCAGCCCATATAGTTATACACCCATTCATATCGGCAGCTGGTGAACAGACTCTGGAAAGGTGAGAGGCAGTGCTGAAGGAGTGACAAAAGGTGGTGACACATGAGAGAGGGAGTCAGAGGGAGAGACATGTTGAGAAAAATTCCGTTAGAGCATCTCTAAAGATCTATATAAGGTCCTCTCTTTTAATGTATTTTTTCCCTCTGATGCCTTGAAGAGCAACTTAAAGTAAAAGAGAGGATCATCAGCAAGCAGACACCTTCAAATAAGTGCCAAAAGTAATTTCATCTGAACACGAGTCTGTGAAATGACTGCATTACTTGGTGCCTGTAGAACCAAGATGGAAATCACTGCTGAATAAAAGTGCTGCCAAACGTTTTGAGTATATTGCTATTTATTACAACAATTATTGCTTCAGTTTAATATTTACGCAGCTACACACTTTGAGCAAAAATGGTTTTATATAGTACCAAAACCAGGTTATTTGACTTATAACAATAGCAGAATTCTTTGTTATTATACAGATCCATTTTTAAAGAGGTTTTTTAAGGAAGTACATACAACAGGTTTTTCATCATAGAGAAGAACCATATAACCAAGCAAACAACCACTTATGAACCAAATTCATAATTAAAAAAGTACTTGGAGAAAAGCTAAAGGATTTTGCAAGGGCCTATGATGTTAAAAGAAGATTGTAGATTATGTTTTTTTTCAAGAAAATGCATGACATGAAGTGGGAGGGCTAAGTGAGTTTCACTGTTTCAGGGCTACTTGCTTTAGTATTTGGTTTTTGTATTAATTTGCGCAGCTGCATGATGGTCCAATTAACATATTTAATATGTTCTCAAATAAATAATATAACAATTACATTTTTGAACAAAAACAAACATAAAAAACAGTGGCAATACGTGGCTACATGCTTGTCTTTCAAAGGCTATTTTTAATATCTGAAAATTAGGTCTGATTAATGATTGATCACCCTTTATTGAATACTGAACAATTGAAACTTTGTTGTAACAAGCGGGAAATGGTGAGCTAGGACACTGCCCAGAACTCTCTCGCTCAATAATTCAGTGGATATTGTCTACCTGCCTTCAAAAAAGCCGCTGTTTGGAAAGCAGTTCTAACTAATGTATAAAACCGCAGCATTAAATAGCATTTCATAACTCATGCATTAGAAGTTCCTGATCAATGTTCATTCTCATTTCCTTGGCTGTTCAATTAGAAAAAAGGCAGATTATGGAGTCAGATGTCAGCAAAGTGTTTGTGCATAGCCAATTACAGAACAAAGTGATGTTCAATAATAGATTATGAAACTCTTGGTCATGCATGTATGATAACTGACCCTAGAACCACTTCTTCGCACAGGGAATTTTCTACACCTGAACCTTCCTGACAGGCTGTACCACAGACTATAAGCACTATACTGTGAAAATACGGCTCAGACTTTACGTAGTTGCCTCACAGGGCATTCAGCAGTTTACTTCCATTATTATTTGGCCAGTTACAATACATACCTTCGAGATGAGGTTGTCCCTGATTTTGCAATCCCATGGCACAATTTGTATTGCTCTTAAAGGTCAGTTTCTTGCCTATCATGGAGGTCACTGAACCTCTATGGTTCACTATATATAGGCTGGCCTACTGTATGTTTTTATTTATTTTCTCCATAGGCCATTTTATACTGTCATATTTCACAAAGTAAGCTATTATGTTATTTGCTCACAGAGTCATGTACTCTATTACAGTCCAAGATATTGCTTTATAACACAGCAAAAGAGAGAACATATTAAATGTGCTTTCCTTCAGAACAGTTCCACTAGCGTACCTAAGCAGGATAAATAATCTACAGGCTCTGGAAAGAAGGTTTCAGAGAGGATATCGCTACAACAACAGAGAACCAAATTTCATTAGCCTATACAAAGCTACAGAGTCAATTTACATCTCTTAAACAGCAATTACTGCAGAGTTGCTTTGGACATGAACATGTCAACAAGTCACTGTCTTGAAGACAATTACCGTAAAGGTGATTATGGTCACTTTTTATCCTTTCATTCCTACATAAAGATAACAGCATAGTGAAACAGAGCAAATTGTTTTTCACACCTACTCATGGAATCAGTTTAAATATATGCACGTATGCAATCTACTGAGACCAGAACCACCTGTAGAATGATGTGTAAAGGTAGCCTGACACCAGGTGGTTCCTTCTCATTAATACAATAAGATATACAACTCACTACATATATGCTATGTAAGTACTCTTTCACTGCATTCATGTTATTTCCCACCTCCATTTCAAGAGGCATACCTAATACAGCGTTTTATCTCTGTAATTACTGACTCCAGGATAGAGGCCAGTTTGGAACAAGTCATTTCCAGCGTCATTAGAGGGCTGGGCAAAGTTTAGCTCTTATTTAGTTTATACCGGGTCAGAAATACCTTTTTCTCATTTTCTTCCTGGCATTTAGCTCTCTGTGATAAAGTTCTCAGTGAGCTGAGAGGTGGGGGGTCACAAGCCTCTAAATACAGAAAATTACTTTTGCCAGAAGTAGGAACGCACAGTTAAAACCATCTTAGTTAAGACCTGTTGGTGCAACCTATACTGTAGAGAGATGTAGTTCCAATCTGCATCTAACATGCTGCCACCCTCTTTACCTAACATGAATGCAGCTAAACAAAGACAAAGGAAGTTAAATAGCTGAAGCAGGTGTTGCAGAGTGTGGTTGGAACTTCTGGTATATCAAAATAGTACACCACCATAAGCAGCACATTCGTTAATTTAGGATGCATTATGTAGTAGTATGTGGTGTTGAAGGCAGCCTCAAACTCTGCAGGAAGGTAGATCTCACAAGGGCCAAGGTTCCAAATCCCTGTCCTGGAAGAAATGCCACTACTGTACCAAAAGAGTCCTTGGATAAGACACAGAATACAATATAGGCCTACCATTGTAAGTTCTGTGGATAAAAGTGTCTGCTTAAATCCATTCATGTCAGCAGCATCAGGCAAGACCTGACAGCAGGAATATGCCTTTTTCTTTCAGGACAGATTTCCAAGTTCTGTTACTAGTTTTTAAGGTTCAAAATGACCTTAAAGCACCCACTTACATCACAGAGTGTCTGTCTGTTTATGTTCCAGCACGTGATCTTAGATCTGCAGATACTGGCCTTTTGTAAACACCTTCTGTAAAATACAGAAAACATGGAGAGTGGAACTCAATTCCACCTTTTATTAGACATTCAAGCTCAGTGCTCACTTTTAAGAAATTTAACTATGTACATCTTTAACGTAGCATTTAATTAAAACTCTAGGTCTCTTGGTATTTATCTATTTAATTTGATCTGTGTCATTGTCTTATATGATTTTAAATGAACACTCATGATTTCTTCTGTTACTGTTTAGCTTTGTCACCTGTTTGTAAAGCATACTGAGCTGCTGCCAGCATGAAAAGTGCTATAAAAATAAAGATTATTATTATTATTAGGTGGTTCAGCAAATAATTATTCCTTCTATCTTTGTTTTAACAAATACGAAATAAACATTTAATAAATGCATGTCTATAAAATACATATATAAGATCACATCACTTAAATATACAGTAATTACATACCAGTTTAGTAGCCTATAAAAACAATTTCCATTGATACGGTGGAAAAAACAAGAATGTGTTAAAAAACTGGACTTAACTAGTCACACTGCAGGATTTAACAAGTCAAATGCTGGACTGAACTAGCCAATCTAGGCCCAGTTTCCAAAAAGCATTCTAGTCTTAAGATCATCTGAACTGGTAGAGAGAGTTCAGTGTTCAGTGTGATGCTCTACCGTTTAAAGATCATCTTTGTGCTAATATGCTTTTGAGAAACCCAGCCCTGAGCAGAGGATTCAACAACAAATATGACAAAATGTATGAGATTGGGATTGTTTGCTATGTGTATTGCGCATACTGTGTATATGTGTTTTAACTATGTTTTGTTATTGTTATAATGTTGCAATATTAAGCTTCTGAAAGCCAATATTTTTTAAGATACTACAGTATAGACAAAAATACACACACAGAAAGACACACTATCCACTTTTGGAAATGTACAGGGTGTCCCAAAAAAATTTACATCATTTGAGATGTGAATATCTAGCTACGTCTTAGGCAAACGAAATTAAATAGGCTTCATGTTGAACAATACAAGATTTATTTATCAAAATTCGAAGAAGAAATTCAGATTTTATAACCGATTTCACAAAGCTTCACAAATGTAATATCTTCCGATACTGGTGGTCGTCCAGATCCCTTTGCCCTGCATAGACAGCCTTCCTCTTTGAATTTTTTTGCCCAAATCTGCTTTCCAGTCGGTGCATTTTTATTTAATTTTCTCGAAAATGCACGCTGCACACTCTTGTTTGTTCGAGCATATTCTAACACACAAAACGCCTTTTCATTTCTAGTGAACGCCATTCTTCAACCTGAAAAAAAACATTAAAAGTTAAACTTGGTTAGTTTTTACACATTTTGTTCAAATTTGAGATCATTTGAGGGAGAATTGGCTACGTTATTAGACTACGAAATTATGTCAATTTTTGGGGACACGCTGTAGTGGTCTTCTACGGCACAGAGACTTAGTGTAGTGGCTTTTATTTTGAAGCGTCTTTTTCTACATCCGTTTACTAAAGACCACGGAAAAACAGTCCTCTTCAGCTCAGTGTAATGTTACTCGATTTGGGTGGCGATTTCACAACTGTTTCACCTTTACTTGCTGTCTGATCACAGAGCAGTTTATCGACCTGCCGTGCAGTGGATGAGGCGGTACAGACGAATCAAACCGCTGACCCTGGTTCAGCTCATAGCTGAAGAGCGACCTACCTGGACTGGATTTGGACTAACGTTACTTTAGGTGCCTCATTCAATGAATCTCGGCAGTTTGTGTTCAGTCAGGTGAAAGGCTGCAGCTGTTAGACAGCTAACAGTACTCACACAGATAATGTTTACACGGTCATAAAGGAATCAGCTAGAGGTTAACCGGCTGGTGCACGTTCGCGTTATTTTTCTAGCTGTTATGTAACTTAGTTTTACCAGCTAACTGTCATTTAGCGGACACCAGCTACCGACTAGCTAGGTTAGCTAGCTGTCAAATATCCTTCATATCAGTCTGCAGCTTATTACAACTGCTAACAGAACTGCGTTTTGCTAGCATCACTTAGACAAGGCTGCGACAGTTAGTTTAGCTAGTTTGCTTTTTTTTTAAGTTTGTTCTTCTCCTTAGCTAGTTAGCTAACCCAGCTGTTAAAGGTACTTTATATTAATATGTATTATATTGTGACCCCTAAAACCTGATTTTTCCTAGCATCACTTGGACAAGGATGCGGTGTAAAGTTAGCTTAGCTAGCTGAGCTAGTTCGTTAACTAGGTTAGTTAGCTAGTTAAATACGTCCACTTTGGGTTCTTCTCACACTCTTAGCTAAAATGTTAAAACTGAATTATTAGGAAGTGGACGCTGTCTTTCGTGTAAGTGCAGTTTTCTCGTCACTGTTTAACTTTCAGCGTTAGCTGACAGGACAGTAATATTAGTGATGGATTTCACCGAGTGCTATGAGGACACTTGCTCAGCCGTGGCACTGGCGGCCAGACAAGGTGATGGCCGGCGGGTTCAGAAGCTCCTGAGAAGAGGCTACTCGGTGGATGTGAAAGACAACCGCGGCTGGAACGCTTTACACGAAGCTGCTGCTTCTGGCTCTGCACAGTGTGTTCGCCTTCTGCTCAGCGCTGCTGGTGAGACACAAGTAGTTGATAAGATTTTTTTTCTTGGCTAAATTACCAAAAACAACCCCCTGACCCCTGGCTATCCGTTTGACTCCAGTGTGTGCATTGCAGGGTTGTAACGATACGTATTTTTTAGGTTCGATACGTTTTCGATTCTATGTTCAGTTCGATATATTAGGTCTCTTGACTGTACAAAGCTCCAATATAATACACATATTATTTCAGTTCATTTTTTATTCCCAGACAAAATATTGCAAAGTCATGCATAGTTCATGTCATTAATGGCGATCCTGTGAAACAGTGTGACTGAGCTATAAACAATACCAAAAATCTAAACAGCTATATGCTGCGTTTAAGTCTTGTTGGAAATAGTGAAATTAGTTCACATGAACACCAGGGCAATTTTGCAAATACTAGTAGGAAACTCAAATTTTGCTGTGAGCCCCAAGTCAAGGGTTGACAGCCTGCAGTAGATGAATGTATAGTAGATTTTAATAAATCATAAGTTGTAACTGGGATAATCTTCACACAAGATTTATTTTTTCTCTAAACTGGATAAAACATGCATTGTTTGCTAGGGTTGAACCATTTGAGGAAAATGTCTAATTCTCATTTTTCAGATTAATGTTGTGGTTGTGATTTAAATACAGTTATTGTCTATAAATTAAATATAATTTTCTCCAATAAGAAGATAAGCACATCCATTTCTTTGGACTTGAGACTTGAACACTAAATGTAATGTGCTAGATTAGCAGTTCTGCGCTATTAGGTTAATTAAGCTTATGTTAAATAAAACTTGTATATCGTTGTTGTGGGTACAAAACTTTGTATCTCCAGGGTCTTTTTTCCCCCAAAACTTGTAAACACCACCTGCCCTTGACATTTGTCCATGACAAATAGACCAATAGAAATGCTCCAAAATGGAAAAAAAAAAAAACTTTTTACCCTGGCTTCCATTACGAGTTAAGAATTTTTGTTTTTTTCTCCTGAAAAGTTAAAATTTTGAAGATGAAGTTTTGATCATTGACAGTGACGTTCTACATAATCACGAGTTTTTCCTCTCTTATCAGCCAGCTCTGAAGACTACGTCAACTCTCCGACGCACAACTCTGAAACACCTCTGTATTTTGCCGCAAAGAACGGACACATCCGTGCAGCTAACCGACTTATAAAGGGGGGTGCAGATATCAATAAGATGTCCAATGACCTGTCCTGCCCTCTCTTTGCAGGTAAGGTAAAACATTTTGGTCATATATAGCTCACTTGTCAAGTTAATTTGTGTTGTATATAATTCACTGCTTCAGTATATTGCTTTTTCCTGCTTTGTGTCAAGCTGTGGATGGTGGGCATAAAGAAGTGGTGGAGCTGCTGGTCAGTAAAGGAGCAGAGGTCAATGGAACTCATTCCACCTCTGGCTGGTCTTGTCTCCATCAGGCAGTTTACAAGGTACTGACTAGAGACCTCCAAGAACTGTTAAAGTCTTTTGGCACATAGTAAACAACTGAATTATTAGGTCTAGAAAGCAGAAGCAGAGTAAAAGTCATTGTTGCCACTTTCCCAGGGCCACACAGAGATTGTGAAATTCCTGGTGAGTGTGTGTTCACTTGAGGCTGTGGATGACTATGGGATCACGCCATTGTTCGTTGCTGCACAGTATGGACGTCACGAGTGTCTAGAGGTCCTTGCAAATGCTGGTGAGGTTACCTTTTTAATGATTAACTCAGTTGCTCTACATATATTGGACTGCAAGTTTCAAGCTTTCTCACATTGCTTACTTTGGTCAATGTTCAATGTAGCTTTTATTAGAGCACTACAGTATTATTCTACATGACATCAAAAGAACCTCTTATTATATGTTGCTGTATTGCTCAGCAAAGGAGTTTTAAGAGTTATATGGATGCAGAAGCAATGTAAGGGGAATAAAGAAAAGGTCTTAGGAAGCATAATAGTACATTTGCCAGTGTGACTGATATTCACCTATAAATCCTGCAGGCGCGAATGTAAATTGTCAGGCAAAAGACCTGGCCACACCACTGTTTATCGCTGCACAGGAGGGCCATTTATCCTGTGTGGAGCTTCTTCTTGCCCAAAAAGCTGACCCAAACCTCTATTGCAACGAAGATCAGTGGCAGCTTCCCATCCACGCTGCAGCCCAGTTCTGTCGGCTCAGGTGAGATGGCCAGTTCAGTGGCGCAGCAGTAAATATGTGTGACCATTTTTACCTGGTTCCAAATTCATATAGCTTTTCACAGTAGGACTGACCTAGGATCAGATTGTTGATCATGCATGTTGATCATGCAACTGTGAAAGTACAAGCATAAAGAAGCCAAATTAACAGATTAGTTATCTTGCTTCCTACCTATGTTTACTCAAACAAATGTCTGCAGTGACATAGAATCATGTCTTGAGTCATGCAAAGCTACATTTGTTCTTGAGATTGAAAATGTATTCTGGTAGTATACATACTAAACACATTAGAATTAGCTACATATCTAAAAAATACACCAACATTACTCATGCTACTCATGATGTGTCTCAGTGAATATAATAATTGTGACTGGCCTAAAATGGAATTTAGGTTCTTTTAATGAGTATGTACCACGCTTCATAACTGTAGCCATGAGTCCCGTGATGGTCTCATCAGTATTAAAAGTCGCTTACTTTTGAATTTGCATGAAGTTGAAAGGAATCAAAAACTTAAAATTGCACTGATAAGTCCGAGGATCTTACAATAGGCTTTGAGAAAACTAAGACTAATTCCTTTTGAGATAAAACCAAGGAACTTATCATTAACAGTTAGAAATTTGTTTTATCACTTGTTCTTTGCAATGAAACAGTCAGCACTATAAACTGAAGTATCTAGGAATTAAAAAAAAATACTCAGGAAACAGAAAAGGTTTGGGGTCAGTATGGACACCTTAACATTACTATATGGTAAGGGGTGAGAGATATGCCAAAAATGTAATATCATGATACTTGAAGACATTCTCGTGATAAACAATATATATCATATTTGTTTTTCCTATCTTTAATGAGTTAGAATAGACAAGTTGCAACAATAGCATAACATTTTTTAAAAATGTTTTTTAGTCAGCATTTCTCATATTGCACTGCTAATAAACAGGACCTCTTTGTAATGAATGATGTAGTTGGACAGTGTTCTTTAACTACTATGTACTAGGAAAGCATATTGTGATGTAGTTTATCACAATTATAATGAAAATATATAGCACATTGCCCACCCCAACTATATGGCTTGTAAATCTTTGCCCAAAGTGCAGGAAGCAGTTAGCTAGAATGGTTAAAACAGCTGGAAAAATAATTGGTAAACAGCAAAGCCTGTCTGACCTGTATGATAAAGCTGTGCACAGGAAGAGTGTAGCTATACTGAGTGATCCCAGCCATCTCTCCTCTGGCTGGTGTTTTAGAGCACCATCATCCAAAAAGAATCTCTATTAAATATCTTTTGGGTGTCCTTTTTATGAGTGATTGTGTGTTTCTATGCTTACATGTTAATGTAATGTGTTTATGGTGTATGATTGGCTGTGTGAACTATGGATGTTTTAATCATTGTATCTCAGGTGAGACCAAAGAAAAATGTCCAGTCTTGATTGGCTTATTCTGTTGTATTGTAATGGCTAATGGTTTTGTTGTTGTCACATTAATCCTAATCCTTGTTCTGTGTAACTCCCTACAGTATTCTGGAGAAATTGATCTCTGTGACAGGCAGGGACTGTGACCAGGGTAAGGGGAAAGTCAGCCCTGTGTATCTCGCAGTACTCAGTGGTCAAGCGGACAGTCTTCGTCCTCTGCTCAGGGAGGGTTACAGTCCAAATGCCCAGAGCTGCAGGCAGTTTGGATACTGCTGCCCTTTGGACATGGCTCTGTGGTGTAACTCTTGGAAGTATGAACTCAGACATGTGTAAAAAATTAAAGTACACAGCATTTTCATCTGTTGTTTATGGTATTGTGTAATAATATATGCTATCTTGTATCTATTTTTTTCTGTCTCTCAGTTTGGACAGTGAATGCCACCAGAGTCGAGAGATCGCTCAGATGCTGCTGGCCGCCGGGGCGCACGTCACTATGCCCACATATGTCTTTGCACTTCAGGGTCACGTACCTGAACATCTGCCCCTGATCCTGGAGCATGCTGGCCTCCCTAAGGAGCACCATCTGGGGGAGCTGGTCCAGGCATTGCTGAAGGAAGTGCCCAGTGCTCCCTTTTGGCTCCCTCTGCTGCTCAAAGCAGGCCTGGATCCCACACTGCTCCTTCACCAAAAAATGTAAGAAGTAGTAGAAAAGCATTATGTGATGATTTATGTTAATCAACACCAATCTTATTTACATTAAGTTGGAAAAAACAAAGAAAGTGCTGTTTGCTTTTACAGTGAGATAAATTAGGAAGAGATTTTGTTCTACCCCTCCTCTTCATGTGTAGTATTTCCCATGTGGTGTTTTAATTGTATGAAGGTTTGAAGAGGCAGAGACCAGGGTACTTAATTTCTTGCTGGAGTTCATTAATTGGAAGACTCTGCCCTCCACAATGCTTCAGATTCTCTCGTGCCGTCAAGCAAAGGGAACTTGGACCCCACAGAAGCATTTCGGTAAATACTGTTATTAAAAAAACTCAACACAGTGAACCTGCATTGTCTCTCCTCTCAAGGTAACATTACCTTTGCCCTTTAATTAGGGTTTTTCACATATATCTAGTAAAAGAGCTCCATGCAAGTCCGTTGCCATGGTAGAGTAATCGCTTTTCTCTGTGTTCCAGAGAGTGTTCCTGCTCTGACTCATCTGTGTAGACTGGCAGTACGAGCTGCAGTGGGCAGCGATGCTCTGTCTAAATCCTCCTTTGTTCAGCAGCTGCCTGTTCCGACACTGCTGCAGGACTACCTCCAGTTCAATGACATCTCCAGTGCCTACACCTACACGGCTGCCTGACTGACAGTTAGGGCTAATTAAGTGATCTTACTTGTTCCACGGCAGTATTTTGTATATATCTTAATAAAACTTGAATGCCCGTCTCCTGAAACTGGACTCTGGCTTGCTTCATTACACTGAAGTCAAAAGATGTGGTAAGGAAAAAGGATGATTTCCTTCATTTTCTTTTCAAGTTCGTTCTCCTCTTACACAGCCAGCCTTTAGACAGAGCTGGAGTTGAAATTCACCTCTGCTTCATGTCTTTGGTCTGCCTCGTTATCTCCCTTCTCCTCCTCAGCAGCTCTCCTCTCTATCTGCCTCCAAGGTCACACAGGCAAAATGCGCATACTCTTTTCCAATGCTAATTACGGACTGAGGCATGACCATTCAGTTGGACACATCTATTTTTTTGTCATCTTATTATTATTATTTTTTTTTACAGTATTTCCATGGCTTCTGTAGAAGTGCACTGCATGCTGTTAAAAGCTTTTTCATTTTATGTCACTGCAAAGTTTATACATTCAGCCTTGTCCATGTACTTAAAATACAGCACAGAATTTTGAAGTACTTTATGAATATTTGTATGTTTTATACAGATGGGAACACATCCAGTTTCAGATCTGGGCATATGTGCGATTTTATTTGACTAATTCTATATGTGAGCACTGTGCTGTTGCATATTTTAAGCATAACATGAATGCTGATGTATGTTTAATGTATACGTGTTGCTACAGGAACATATGCTTGCTCTTCATGGTGGAAGCATGTTGGCCTCGATAATAGGTCTATTTTTTTTTCTTACGTGTATCTTCAGAGCAGGGTTAAAATGAGGGTTAAATGTAATTGATTGAAACCAATTAGGCTCCTTGTTTGATCAGTGCTCAGCTGCTGTAAAGACAGAGCAGAGTCTGTTTTTTTAGGAGGAGGAATTTATTGAAAGTACATCATAATACCATCTGCCAACAGCAGGGGGAGAACATGTCCAAGCCTTGATGTTGCTGCGTGGGGCAGCTTGGAGCACTCTGAACAGGGAGCCATTTCACACACATACTTCCTAGTCCTACATCCTGCTTCTCTGAATTCTGACTAAAGTGAAGGCTGAGGAACTCGAAGTGAGGCTTGGGCGAGACAATCAGGCTGCCTCTCTGTGGGAGACCCCCCTGAATGCAAGGCATCGGCAATCAGGGACATTAAGGTCCCCTTGTAGTGCAGGTAAGCTTTGGTCCAACAGTTAAGGCTTTGATTTGCAATCAGGCTTTTGAGCTGCAGTCGAAGGATTCCTCTCTCTCTCTTACTGCTCTTGCTCGCTCTCCCCCTCCCATTTCACTTTCTATCCTTCCTTTTTCTTTCACTCTCTCTCTTGCCCCTTTCACTTGCTATTTCTCCATCCTTTCATTCTTTCTCTCCTTTTACTTTCTTTCCCCTTTCACTATCTCTTTCAGTCTATTATTCATCCTTTCTCCCCTCTCTCTCTCTCTTTCTCCCTCACCCCTTTCACTTCCCATCTCTCCATCGTTTCATTCCCTTTCTCTCTCTCTCCCCTTTTACTTTCATCTTTCACTTGCTCTCTGTCCTTTCACTCTTGCCATTTATTTCTCTTCTTTCTCCCTTCTCTCTCTCTCACCCCTTTCACTTCATATCTCTCCATCCTTTCACTCTCTCCATTTCTTATTTCTCCTCTTCTTTCTCCTCTCTCTCTCCCCTCTTTTTTCTTTTCTCCTCTTTCACTCACTCTTTTATTTCTGTCTTGCGCTTTGTTTTTCAGTTCTTTCTTCCTTCTCACACTTCCTCCTCTTTCCCTTTCTCCTCCCTCTCCCTTTCTTTTGCGCTCTCTCACTCTCTCTGCTGCCTCCACTTCCTCTTTTCTCTCTCCCTCCCTTCTTTCTCTTGATTTTCTCTTTCTCCATCCCTTCTCTTTTTTTCTCCTTCTCCCTCCTCTTTCTCTTCTTTCTCCCTCACTCCTTCTCTGCTACACATACATTCTTTGTGTTTACTGAACAAAAAAGAAAAAAAATGCCATCATTCACATTACTAACATCTTGCTTCAGAGATAATTTGAGAGATTTTAGAGGTAATGGAAATATTTTGCCCTTTCACCTACCTCAATTTTCACCAATTTGAGTTGTTGGGCCGATTTAAACCCTTAATTTCCACTAATGGAGTTTTTTTTTCTTTCTATGTTTCACCCGCATATAACCCTAGCGATTTGGCGTGGCTCCTTATCTGATATGCGACCCTGATTCAGAGGAGTGATGCCTAGAATAGGCCATGTAGCCTACATAATTGATGGCACATAATGTAAAATGTATCAATCTTTGGATGCAGTGCAGAGTTTTAGAAGAAGTCACTCTGACACCCAGCCCCAGAGCCAGTTCACCCTGTTTGACTCCCGAGCCTGGTTTGTTTAATGCTCGACATCCCTCACACTGTGAAGCACATTGATTCCAGGGGAATGCAGCAGGACTTTTGAACACTACATGGAGGAGGGGGCTTTGAGGTGCACAGACTCAAGCTCCCAGGCACTATCATCACACAGTATGGTATGCAGCTAGCTCTGTTTCCTTGGTGCTTTGTTCCGTAAAGAGATGCTCGCAAAAACAAAGGCACATGTGCACATTTAATCTCTGCCTTCAGATTTAACACTGCCAGCTCAGTTGGGACCATTTAATATAGTTTTTTTTTTAAGCAGAAATACTTTGCGGTGTATCACGTAGAGTTCATCCCGGTATCTAAATGATCTCTGTGCAATTAGAGATTGTTCTCCTCGGCTCTGTTCTCGTTCCTCTAAATCATCTTTGTGTGTATTAGGTGTATGCTTCTTTACAGTGTGGTGCCAGGTTCAGTTTCATTGTGAAATGTGGTGAAGGCACCCAATACCCTTATCAGCTCATTATCCTGTTCTCACCGTGGGTTTGGATCACTAGGACACCGTTGCCTGGCGACCTGCTGATGGGAAATATCCGCTAAATGATTTGCTTGAAGAGGCAAACTGTGTTTGCCAATATTTCTGTGAACTCTAAATGCTACACAAGTTTGCTTATGAGCCCCAGTGACTGAAAGTGTTGAAAGATGAAAGACAATGTTGTGACAACTGTGAACTGTTTTCATTTCAGTTGTGCTGAAAATAGCTGCATGTAATAATGTACCTAATGCATTTGTTCATTGCAGGTTGTAGCCTAATTTCTTCCTTTTAGATGAGGCTATCACAAGTATGGTTTACTTTGGAATCCTATTACTTAAAGGGACCCTCTGGCCAAAATAAGAAATGTAAACATTGTTACATCTGTTGTAAACATGCCTACTTGCATCCCATAGTGTTGCCACAGTAGTCACGAGAGTGAGATTTTCCCATTTAAAGACTAGGAGGACCCCCCTTTATGATGATGTGTCTAGAAGTTGGGAGGAACTTTTGAAAAACTACAAGTCTTTTGGGGCGGATACTGGAGGGTGGGCTGATGCAGAAAAGAAATAGCTAATGTTACTGCCAGGAAGCCAAAGATCATGTCTGTATTTATTAACTTTTACATCAGTGGTAGATCAGTGGATCAGTGAAGAGGGATTCCCAATGGTTGTATGGCAGATACAGATGCATAATGCATGCTGGGTATTGTAGTGAGAAAACACTGATGGATGAAAACACAAAGGACACAAAACTGTGAATTCTGACTGAGGGATGCAGTGCTGCGCTACAGAATATTACATAACAGTACAAATAACGAATTAAATACTGGTTTTAAGCCGGAACGCCTCTTTAAGTGTGGAGTAGGAGTGCAGGGAAATAGTAGACTCTTTTGTTGACTGCCAGGCTAATGTGTTTTTGTGCGTCACTGCGTTTTTTCATGTCTCACATCTCCAGCTTCCTGAATCATTGACTTTGCGCTGTGGTACCTCTCAAACAGGTCATTGTGTGCTTATTTGTGTGTGCAGATTGTGGCTGGACTAACCGAACCTGGGGAAATGAGCCCTTTTAATGGAGCAGCTGTTTTGTGGAGCATACAGTGGCATGGCTGCAGTGGCACTGAAAAAACAACACCCTGCCCACACAAAGCTACAGGGAATGACTGTGAATATTGCATTGAAGCGGCACCAAGTTAGCTGAGCATCCATGTTCTTCATTACTTACAGGAGAAGATTAGCAGGAATAATTGGTTTGGGTGGATGCTCACCTCATGTGGGGGTTCCAGGTGCAGACTAGTTGCTGAATGTGTGAAGAAGTTGCTGATTGAGAGAAATCTGTAACACCCCAGTGAGGTAACGTCCCTTTAAATAATGACTGCAGTCAATCACTCGGACGTTGTGTTAATCAGTGCAGCACAGAGCCAGACAGGAGAGGAGATGGAGGAGATTGCTGCAGAGAGGTGGAGAGAGCAGTGGCTGCAATTACAGACTGGCCATGAAAGGTAGTTTTTCTTGGTCCAGCTATTCTTGTATTTATGTATGGCTTCATTTTTTTGGGGGTGTCTGCATTAGTCTTATCAAAAAGGTACTAAAGACAGTACAGTACTGCATAAAAGTCAGAGACCACCCTTCATCTGTTTTATTTCTAGTCAAAATGGCAAAGTAAGTTATTCACTTTTCTGAGATTCTTCTGAGGGGATTGGATATAAGATAATCTGCCTGCATAAGTAAGGGGAAGAGTCAAATGAAATTAAGGGAAAAATAGAAGCTCCAAGTTCCAAAACATTTAAAAGATATAGAGACAAAATGGGACATCTCCATAAATAAATAGTACTTACTGTTTGAGAGAGAGGAGAAAGTCAAGCTCCACAGGAGATTTTTGAGGGCTGAAAAATCCACAGGTGTTTCTGTCCATTCTTTCACTGTGAGAAGTCAACTCAATGCTGTGAGTTTGAAAGGATGTGCAGCTGTCAAGAAAGACATAAGAGAAACAAAACAGAAGAAAAATCAAACAAAGAAGCTGCTGGTGTTCTCAGATAGATGGACTGGCCAACCCGAATCCCAAATGTGTTTGGGATTACTTGGATAGTAAAAAGCAGAAAATGCAACCAACTACTAAGACTGAACTTTGGAGGTGTGAAAAAAATATTCCTGCAGATTTCTTTATAAACTGAAAAC